ACAAGTAACTGGGGCATAAGAAGAGAGAAAAAATATATCCTCAAGTGTTAAAAATGGTTGTCCTGTGCTTGTGTACATTTTGTATGTCTTTTTTGGCATACACACACACACACACACATATATTAAAGTACACATTCGATTCAGTGAAGCACAAAATAAGCTTAGTGGAAGGGCCTTCAGCTTTATTTTATGAGCCATAGGGAAAACTATACTAACAATTTTTTTAGGATACTCATTTTTCATTAAATTTGGCTACTGATGTTTTTTAGGTTGTTTTGCATCATCCCTCAGATAGGACCCAAGATAATAAAAAAAAAAGCCAAAGCCATTTTGTGGTAGAATAGAATATGATACTACCTATACTAGATAGGAATACAAAGATGATTCCATGACAGGTAAAATAAAACAAACAAAGAAACAAACAAACCCCACTAGGCTGATACTGGCTAACAAGCATCCTATTACCTGTATGTATAAAAAGCACTGTGCACCCTTCCAAAACTCTCTATCCCAGGAACCCAGAGCCTTCTATCTGGTGAGCTCTATACACACAACATGCTCTTCCCAGCCCCATACAAAACAAGCAGTGGGCTTCCTTGCCCTACTGGTGCCCTGGACACTTCCACAAAGCACACTCCGGGCAACACCCACTTGGGATACCTCAGCCCAATCCAGCTGGGCACAACAGCACATTCACCAAGGCATCACCCCACCTCAGCAACACAGCCCAAACTCTCCCACGGGCACACCACAGGCCTACTAACATTCCCCACGCATGGGGGCACTCAAGAGCAAGTCCCTCCTTTGAGCACCAGGTCCGGCCGCCCTTCCCATCCTGATTTGTTCAGCCCCAAACACCTGCAAGCTTTTTCTAGGGACACAGCTTAGGCCTGGGCAAACACCTGCAGTGCTCAGAGTCCGCCGCGGTTCGGGGCCGACCACTAGCAATTTTCACCTGGGGTATTAAGGGGTTTCCACCGCCCTAGATCCGTGCACAGAAAAACCTGGGCTTCTCTGGCCCCGCCTTCACCCCGGCCCCGCACCATCCAGAGGGACCAAGCCCTGCGCCTCCAACCTGACCCTCCAAACGAAGCTTCCCCTCCTTTGGCTCCGGATTGCCTGCTCCCTGGCCTGCTCCACTTCGACCCCGGAGCTACACCCACGCCAACCTCCTACCGAAAGATGTGGGTAACAGGAGCACTAGAATACCAAAATGATCCCAACGAAGCTCCACGAAGAAAAGGGACTCTTGGGGAGGCAGAGAGGTGTCTTTTGCGTTCTGCCAGACGCCATCATTTTCTGGGAGATCAGCGGGAAACCTCAGAGCCAAGGAGCAGGTACCTAATTGAGTCAAATTATGGGACCCTGCACACCCCAGATTAACAAAGTGTCAGGTGCCAACCACAGGTGGGCGTGTCCTGGGCGGGCAAGGGAGGCGGGCAGGGCCAATGGGGCCGCCTGCAAGGAGGGGCCTCTGCCTTGGGGTAGTGCTTAGGTCTGGACTGGAAAGGGCCTGGCCTGGCTGATTTGGCCACTGCATTCTCAACACCTGATGTTTGATGTTTAAGGAAAACTATTAAGCAACACTGTGCAATTAAGCATATTAAGCCTCAACTCCACCGGGCCCTTACCCTTCCAGAACTAAATGTTTCATTGAAGATGATATATCCATGCATAAAAAAAGATAAGGACCAGGGTGTACTAAGTGGCAAATTTTTGGAAACAACGAATATCATTCGAGTTAGCATGGGTGAAACTTCATTAGGTCATGTAGATATTGAGAACTTTCTTGATGAAACAATGTTTTAATGCTGGTAAATTAAGAATGAACAAGATTTATTGGCAGGGTTGCGAGTCAACTTGTATGGCTAAAGAAAAAAAAAGGAGTAACGTGATTGGTAGTAAAGAGCAAAAAAAAAAAAAAGAAGAGATTGACCTTTTCTTTGTATTAGTTGCCAAAGAAGAATGACATTGACCAATGGGAGTAAACATTTTGAGGGGACCAGCACCCTAAGACTTTTATTTTAATTTTTAACATAACTTTTCCAAATGTGAAATGTTTTTAAATGGATATGGATTTTAAGCCACCAGTCCATTTTAGAGCTTATCCTAAAGAAATAATCAGAACTGGGAGCGATGATGTATAATTTCAGAAAAAATATGAACCCTAAAGATCTAATAATAGTATTAAGGAACTGGTGGTAGGTATCCTTGTGGGATGGAATTCTATACAACAATCAATGTCAAAAATATCAGGGTGAGAAACTATAATATATTCAGAAGTAGGAAAAAGCAGAATCAAATTTGTGTATAACTTTTGATACCCTTTTTATTGCAACAAAAGCAGTTTTTGGTTTTCTGTGTTGACTGATCTTCTATTACATTTGGAATCAGGTAAAGAAAAAATGCTTAGCAATCTGACATATACATCAACATCTCATTTATTCATACAATGGTGGGGGTAGAACCTGCATTGCAGAGGGTTACAGAATGAGAGGATGGGGAGGAAATGAAGGCTCTCAGTACAAACGTCGAATGCTTCTTCTGGAATTACAAAACTTTATATGTATTTAAACAGTTCTGTGTGTGAGATGAGCCACAGACTTTATGGATTAAACAAACCATGGAATTTCGACTTCCTCTCAGACCAACCTAATATTTGAGCTCTTCACAGAGCACTCAGGACACTAAGTGTGGAGGTGATGTATAAAATAAACACCTAAATATCCATGACTGTAAAATTGGATACTCCATGATGACACAGAATAAAGGAGGTATAATTAAGGAGACACTGAATAGAAAATTCAAGGAAGGGAAGTTATCACTACTCTTCATTCTGACAGTAATAAAAAAAGTTATATAACAGAAATGTTTAGTGGTTCAGTGTAGACACTTATTTACGAAAACAGAGAATCTATTTACCCATCTCCACAGCCATCTGTACACCATGATATGTCAATTATATCTCAATAAAGTTTTAAAAATGTTTTTCCTTCTATTCATAGGCTTGAAAATAAGTTTGTTTTTCTTGTGACAAAATTCAAAAGATATAGAAAAGCATGATTAGTGTTTTGTTTCCTAGTTATAGGTCTTTGATTAGGTTCAAGGACTGAAGTTTAATTGCATTTTTTTTTCAATCAGTGAAATTTCCACACTAGGTGTTCATCAAGGCATTCTTACTATAAATTGAGGGTTTTCACATTGATTGCTTCAAGTTTTGTTGAGTTAACTAAACTGAGGAGGCTCCATTTGCTAGGTTCCAAAGCTTGTTGCCTATTTGTCTGGACAAGCTCCATGCCTCAGGAATGGAGTTTTCTTGCCTTTTTTTCAGTGCCCAGACAGTTCTAGGCCTGCAGTAGATGTATAACAAATATGGATTTAACACTGAATGAAACAAATGGGTGTTGCTGTCAAGTGCATTTAACATGCCTCTGCCAGTCTTTCCTGCATCAGTTTAGCAGATGCTAAAACATTCTGAGAGATTTTTATTTTACCAATTTTAGACACTAAAAGCAAAGCTGAATTTGTCTCTAAAAAGAATGAGAGAAATGACTGTCTGCTTCCAGAAAACCTTCCTGAATCAGGCTAGCGAGCTGACTTATGAAGTGAAGCTAATATCTGTCTCTCAGCCTTGAGAACATTTTAGTGACTAAGCTCAGAGGACAGTATTGACAGTGAACTTCCTAAGGTCCCCACAAGGAACTCAAAAGAGTCAAGGTTTTGAGAGGAGCAGAGTAAAAACTCATGTTTCCTCTAGCTCCTCCTAAAGATTCTGTCAAACTGCCAAAGAGAAGAGAATGGTGAAAATGCATGAATACCTGGTTTTGAGCTGTGTGGTAGATCTCTTGTAAGGTTTTATGAACTGTGCTATGATGTAGTTGGTGGTTGGGGATGTCATTATCAGAGTCCCACTTCTTTAAAATAAAACAATGTTAGATGATTATTTGCCCCTAAATTACTATATTTACATGATGCTTTTCAATGCCCTGGTGAATTGCAACTTAGGTGTTTGTGAAAACCTGAAAGAGAATGGCTAGACAGAAGATACACCGTCTTTTTTGATGTTGGCCCTGGGAACCATGCCTCCTCTGTTGCACTTGGTAAGCATCTGCTTGCCAATAGCTGTTACCAGCAAGAGTATTGCTGTGGCATGCCACACCCAAAGCAGGTATTCTGAAACCAATCAAATAAAGGAAGAAGGGCATTTCTCAGATGGAACACATTTATTTGTCCCTGTTGGCAATGAAGGCTTTAAAGAGTAAATATATTGCAAAACATATTCCATAAGTAGATTTTCAATGATACAGCATGTTGTTCTTTCTTATTATAATAGTGGAGACAGAAAATTTCATTTGAGCATTGTGGTCTTAAACTAACTTACATCTCACATCTAAGTACACAAAAAGGCAAAAAGAAAGTTACATTAGCATTAGAAATAGCTTTGGAGAGTAACTGTTTCAGCTGCTGCTTTTCAGATAAAAAATGTGAGGCCAGAGGTTAAGAGAATTGCTCAATAATATAATTAGGTTAGACAATACGGTATTTTACACATTGTTAGTATGTATGGTAGTTCCCACAGACAAATGATGTTTATAACATATCTCATGAATTTCTAACAAGTCACAACTTAAAAAGTCACAGGCATCAGATATTGGTTAATCACATTGCTCACCAACCTACTCCATTCTGGGGTAAGCAAAAGAATTCAGAATTTTTTTGTACAAGGGGATTTGTAATTCTAAGCAAGGCTCATTCTCAAACAGTTAATTTCTAGTCTTCCTTTAAAAGATACTTCTACTGAAACCTGAGAAATAATAGAGATCTGCTCAAGTTCCAACTGCACAAACCATGATTTCCTTTTTGCATATTTTTGGATTTCTCTTTTTTTCTTTCTCTCTTTCCCTCCTTCCCTCCCTCCTTCCCTCCCTCCCTCCCTCCCTCCCTCCCTCCCTCCCTTCCTTCCTTCCTTCCCTCCCTCTCCCCTCCCTCCATCCCTCCTTTCCTTCTTTCTTCTCTCTCCCTCTCCCTCTCTGTCTCTCTCTTTCTGGGACTTGTAGAAATATCTTTTGCCCGCTTTGGGAGAAGAAGGGGAGGGCTGGTCTTTGAATTACTAACTCTCAGTCAAGCCTGTGACACTTTGACTGTGATATGTTGCATTTTTTTTCTCCCACTTTGTCAGCTGGCTTTCTGGTTATGCTGCTTTTTTTTTTCTTTCATGATTTTAAATTGACCTTCTGGTTGATGTCCAATTCACTATTTATATTTATCAGTGTAAATGTGGCAGAATATGCTTTAAAAGAACTACTAAAACCAGAATTGCACGGGAGTTAGCAGTAGTCATACACAAATCTATTCTTAAAATCAAGAAAGAGTGATATTTTCTAGAGATTATCAGCATAGTCCATAATATCACACCATATGAATTTATGATCTATAATTTCTGCTTTTCAGATAAAAAATGTGAGGCCATTTTTGATCTGTAAGGATGTGGATTTTTTAAAGACTCTGGGGCTACTTATTAAGAATGTGTCAATACTTGTGTATTAATTTGATAAATTCTTAAAAGACATGTTCCTTAATAAATTTAGTTTATTCTGAACTTATTAAAAATAAGATACTTTTATATAAGTAAATAAGATACTTTTATATCCTTTTATTTAAATTTTAGTATGTTTTTAAAACAGAACATAGTACAAAGTACTTTTGATATAGACCTTAGGAAGTATTCAAAATTTATTTTTCCCAGACATTTCCCATGAATATTCTTGACCCAACTTTCCTATAGTCATTTAATGTGATTTTAGTAAGCAGAAATTACTTATTTTTCTTTAGAAAGTGAAAAATGATATAGCATACATTTACTTCAATCTGTGTTAAAAAGTGGATTCTGCTCTATAAACAAAAGGGAAGGTATTTAAGAAAGAAATATATATGTGTGTGTATAAAGAAACATATACAAAGAAAGAATGAATTCAAACATTAACAGTGGTTATCATTGGGTAGTATAGTTATAGGTGACATTTGTTTTTTATATCTTCCTCCTGCGCTTTCTCAATTCTCCTTAAATGTGTCCATTCCATATTACAGTTAACAGTTGAACAGCAGGAGTTTGAACTTCATGGGACCACTTATATGTGGATATTTTTTAATAACTATACAGGTGGCCCTCCATATCCTGGGATTTCACATCCAGAATTTAGCAAACCACAAATCGGAAAGACCTTTTCTATTTAGATGGGACCACTTAACCCCCACATTGTTCAAGAGTCATCTACATAAACAATTAAACATAAGAAAGACAAATGACCAACTTATTAACAGAAATCCTAGGTCACACCTTCTTCTTTTGAGTAATTGACACTATTTATATATTCTAAGTGCAGTCTTTCCTCCGACCAGACAGTGTGTGCTTTCAGCACGAGGAAAGAGGTGACAGTGTGCAAACTAAGAGGATGGAGCTTCTTGAGGTATTGGGAGAGCTTCAGCATCTTCAGTGCACATGTCTGCATCTCTGTGAAGTCACTTCAAAGGATTTATGAGTCTCAGGTCTAATTCTGTTGCAATGAATTGGCTCTTTTCCAATGATGATTTTAATTTGAGGCATTCTTCAGCTTTTTAGTACTTTATCCAGGAATGACACTGAAATAACAAGAATTCTTATTTAGATGACAGCATGGTCAACAACTGAACTTCCCCAAATTTATGTGCTAATAATCATGATGCTGGCATTACATAGAAGTGACAAGTTTAAAAGAAGTGTGTATTTCTCACTGTTGTGGTTGCTGTATAGGGCACAAGACAGTGTGACATAAATTGAGATACTGAGTAGGTAAGAGAGAGATGAGTGAATAACTTGACCATTCCCCAATTCTTCTTTTGTCAAAGAAAAAGTGTCCTCAAAGTTGAGCAGCTAAATACAAAGAGCCTCTTTTCAGAAGATATACAGATCCCTCATAACCCACAAAATCATTCCCTGAGTCTCCTCTTTTAACCATGATTGTGGAAGGGGAAAGTATACTGGATCTAGTATGTTGGAGAGGGGTTGCCTTGAGAAAGTATGTCCTCTTCCCCTTATCACAGTCAAGATAGAAAGGAGGTATTGTATAGCCTCGGAGTCATCCAAATAATTCCTGAGGCCATGCTGACCTCTCCTCTTTCTTAAGGCCAGAAACACAGTCTAGTCACAAATGGACAGACCCCTAATAAAGCCTATCAACCCACGTGAAAACCCCAGTAATTTCTATTACCTGACCCCTCATCATTGTTCTCTTTCTGGCTCACAGGTGTTCCCAACATCATAAGTCACCTGCATCAACACTGGGCAATTTCATGTTCTTCAGCACATGGCTGTGTCTTTCGAGTCTGCCTCTTTACTTACATCACCCTCTCTGACCTTGTAGCAGGACTGAGTGCACAGATCTGCAGCTTGGTTCAGAATCTAATTCACTCCTTCTCTATGAGATGTTGACGCAAATGATTAACTTTTCTCCTATAGAACACCTGTGGCCAAAATGTTAAACTTTAAATGAAAATTTGAGTTCAGTTTATTAAGAAATTCCCACCTTTTTATTAAAAGGTGGTCAACAGTCAATGAACACAATTTGAGATTCACCTTGATGTAAAGAATGTTTCAAAAAAGTTGAGGACAACTAAAATTTAGGTAAATTCATTCTCAAATACTTATCAAACACTTCTCATTTGGTCAAATCTATACTCAGAAATTTTGGGAACTTTAAAAATATGGTCCTACTTATAAGTTAATGTAGCATGGGAGAGAAAACACATAAGCACAATGTAGGGTACCCTATAAGTGAATAATCAATGTTTATAAAATTAAAAGTGAGCAAGTGAATAAATGCAACAGAGTTAAGAAATAAAAAACAGTGATTGAAATGTTGAATGCTGTGGGATATATTTACATATGGTTTTTAACAATGGGAATAATGATTTTCACTTGGGGAAACCAAAATCCTTCAAAATCAGATCAATATAATCTCAAAGTATAACTGTGGAAATGTAAAATAATGTTAAAAGTAGCTTAACAATACTAACCACTGGGTGGAGGATATTATAAGTAGTTTTTATATTTTTGTATTTCTCAGTATTTTCTATGTTTTCAATAATAAGTGCAAATTATCCTCACAAGAAAATAATTTATTTTAAAAGTGGAAATAGGCAGGAAGTGCTGTGAGTAACAAAGAGAGACAATTCTTTAGACTGGAGTTATTTGGGAGAACTTCTTGAGTGAGTGAATTCTGAGCTGGGCTAATGCAACCTAGATTGTAAAAAAGATGGAAATGTGCTTGAGGCAAGTAACCTGGCAGAAATGAGGCAAAATCATATGGTATTTTAAGCATTCTTTTGGAATATTTTTAAATGAATTATAACAAAGATAACCATCACCCTCGCAATCTGCTGTAAATAAATTTTGCATAACTTTTCTGTCAAAGTGCCCCAATAAAAAAGAAAAACTAATCACACCAGAGGCTTAGAGGCTAACTTAAAGTACAGTATTCTCTGTCTTATTTTATCCTAAAATCTGCAATGTTTGCCTTCTGCTCCCTCATAATGTATTTGTGTTAATATAAAAATACTACCACTTTCCCTTTGAACTATATGAATAACCTCAGAAAAAATATTCTCCTAGGAAGACATGCCATTTTCACTCATGACTTCCTTATCCCCTTGGTATCCTAGCCACACATTCCCTAGGCATTTGTAAATGCCCATTTGAAAGGGATCATTAAAGCTTCAAAAACTAAATGGCCCAATCTGAATTATTAAATAACAATGTACATTTCATTTGCTTCCATGACCAGTCTTGAAAACAATCTATTTGACAGAAATAAAGTGAGTAGAATCCAGATAATAAACATAGGGCTTTGTGTATTCATTTCTTTTTAGGAGAAAATTGACCAAACCCTGTACATTTTGGTTTAGAAAGAGTTGAATTGCCTGTTTCTTGAGTAATTGTAAATGTCTCTCCCACCCCCTTATCTTTCCTGGTGGCTGCTTTCACTGTCCTCTGTAGAATTTAGGATTTCTGACATAGATTTAGATACCAAATGCAAGGTTTACATTAATGCACATCGCTATGGGAAAGAGGTGGGCCAAAAAATGTACTTAAAAATGTGGCATTTTGCTTCTCTTTTCCACAGGAGTGGCCTGATCCTTTTCTAGAGTTTTGCTTGTTTCTGAAAATGCCCTGGGGAACTTAAGAAATGTTAGGACTGTTGGTTATGGCCAGAGTAAACAAGGCCTGGATGAATTGCTCTGTGTGCTGAAGAAAAATGGAGTTTGGGAGTTACAAGAAAACCAAGAGCTGTCATGACATACTCTGAGAGTGGGTTAAATTTATGAACAAAAATGGACAAATGTGAGAGAGGCTTGGAAACAGGGTAAAAAGCCAAGGCTAAAGGGTACCTGGCCAGTGAGAAAATAATTATAGTGTGAAATAGTTCAGGCTTTTATAAATTTTTTCCTCTTAAGTTTCAGGTAGTAAATATGTTGACTTCGTGGGCCACACAGTCTCTGGGAATCTGTGGCATGTACAGTTAGTCTCACCTTACCTGTGGTTTGGCTTTCCATGATTTCAGCCACCCACAGTCCATCCTGATCTGAGCATATTAAATGAAAAACCAGAAATAAACAGTTCATAAATTTTAAATTGCATGCCATTCTGAGTAGCATAATGAAATCTCAGGTGATCCCACCTGGAACATGAATCCTTCCTTTGCCCAGTGTATCCACAGTATATGCTCCCTGCCTGCTAGTCACAAAGCAGCATGTGGGTTATTAGATGGACTGTCATGGTATCACAGTCCTGTGTTCAAGTCACCCTTATTTTACTTACTTATGGCTCCAAAGTGCAAGAGTAGTGATGCTGGCACTTTGACATGCCAGAGAGAAGCTCTGAAGTGCTTCCTTTAAGTAAAAAGTGAAAGTTTTCAACTTCAGAAAAGAAAAACAATATCCTGAAGTTGCTAAGATCTAAGTAAGGACACATCTTCCACCAGTGAATTATGAAGAGGGAAAAGAAAATTTGTGCTAGTTTTGCTGTCACACCTCAAACTGCAAAAGTCATGGTCACAGTGTGCAATGAGTGCATAGATAAGATGGAAAAAACATAGTATATGTAGGGTTCAGTAGTATCCACAGTATTAGGAATGCACTGCAGATGTCAGAATGTATCCCCCACAGGTAAAGGGGGCACTGCTCTTTTCAATTGAGCTGTAGTGTGGAAAAGTCACAGACAATAGGTAAGTGACTGGACAACTGTGTTCCAGTAACACTTTATTTACAAAAACAGTTACTTTTTCGTTCAGCAATTTCTAATATTCATGTCTATGTTGTGTGCCACTTTGGGTTGTAGTGTTATTTCCCATCACAGCTTTATCAAGAAGCTGGGCATTTACTACACAACAGCTTGGTGTAGGGCTACTTGAGTAGGTGGAATGAAGGGATAAGACATGGTAACAAGCTCAAGAGGAGGAGGACAGAAAGGAGGGAGCCTTCCTAGGAGATCAGGTGAGGGACAGAGGTCAGTGAAAGTGGGAAAGCAAGAGGTGAAGAGAAAGTCTCCATGGGATCCTCAAGAGATTCTGCGCATTTAAGGGGAACTGGGGGAGTTGGAGGCACACCCAAATGGCAAATGCTTGGGTTCCACAAGGAAAAGTAAAGCTTTCTACTTCCCAAAGGTTCATGGCATAAATGAGCAAAACTACAAGAATGCTTTGAAAACCAGTGCCCATGCACAGCACTGACAGAGTCCTCACCCCAGATCACAGAGACAACAGTTATCCAAGAAAAGCAACAACAACATGACGTTTCCAGCTCCTGAATACTTCCAAACACCTTTGGTATCAGTAACCTCCCTGGTGCAACATCATATTTAAATCCCATTTCCATCTTCCATATTTGAGTTTTTAAAAGCTTTTTGAGTTAATTTGAATATTAGGTACCTGTTATGTTCCTGATTTGTTTGCAGACTTTGTGCATGATCACAGCTGCCTTCTTGGGGTTGTAAATAAATATTTACTTCTTTAGATTCTTCATCTCTATTACTGCTAATTGGCAGGGGAGAAAAAGATAGGAAAATAATTTAATTACATACATTTCAGTTTTGAAAGAAGTTAGTTGGTGGCTTTTTAAATGAAATTTCTGGAAAATTAGAGCACAATTTGCCTCAGGTTTTGGATATCTTTGTAAGGCATCTAAAAAGAAAAAAATGTAGCCAAGTCATACTTTTCAAGACTAAGTAAAACCTTGGATTAGAAAATAATACTAAAACCATCCTATATGTTGTGTAAGAACTCTAAACTGCTTCTAGACAAATGCTCATCCTGTAAAACAACACATTTACCTATTCTCAAAGTTATATTAATTAGTAAATACTGTTCAATAAAGCTGTGACATCAAGCTTCATAATGTAAATGGCTTTGCACTGCAATCTAACACAAGGCTTCCTTTTTCCCCTGATAGTGAATATACATGTTCTGTATTTTGTGGAAGACCTATAGTATAGGAAGTAGCAGTTGTTGTCATGAAGACATATGAGAACTGACAGTAAAAGAAATATGTAATCACTTAAATCTTAATTATAAGTTATGTATAAATAACATTAGCTAACATTTTCTGACATTCATCATAAGCAATGCACTCTGTTAAGTTGAGGTAGGAACTACTATTACCCCTACCTTTCAGTCAAGGATAATAAAGATTAGAGAGATGAAGCATGTTTCCCAGGGTTTTAAAGCTAGTGAGTGTGAACACAGGTCTTACTTGTGCAAAGCCCATGGTCTTACATAATATACTGTGCTGCTTCTTTTGGGGTTATCTAATGAGAAGTTTATTTTAGATAAATGAATTGATAAATAATGCTAGCACCTTTATTTCAAGCGTGCATTACTACCAGGGACATAAGCCTGGAAGCACAAAGAGGAAATGCATGCTACCACTTTCCAGTGCTTTCTCATTATTTACTCTTTATCCTCTCATATGAAATAGATGAGGACCTCACTTGAGACAAAAAAAAATGTGAGTCAGGAGCCAAAGTTTTCACAGGATGAGGAAAGGCAAACTTGAGATCCAGTATGAGGAAGGAGAGGGTTGTACATCCGGGTGGTATGGGCTTCCAAGGAGCAGTGATTCTGTGGTGAGATAAGTAATGGTCTGAAAGTTGTCTTAGATGATGAGTTATATATGGGATGTGAGAGAATACAACCTCAATGAGTACGTAACAGTGGGGAATTACAGCAGTGGTTGAAAAAAAACATACTAATCAAGTAGCAATTATAGAATGGGCTGTATTAAAAGACTCAGAAAAATTATGTATTAAAAATTTCCTTATGAGTCTTTTGTAGACATCAGCAGTTGCAGTTCCTGCCTGACCTAGGAACGCCCCTGACCACAAGAACTGGACAAGTGTCAGCAATTTATATCAGAACTAGCAGAAATGTAGCCTGCACATCCTGCTCCTGAACATCTGCGGTAAAACTGTGGATAGAGAAATACAACTACGTGATGACATACACAGGAGGGAATGTTGAAAGCACCAGAGAGCAGAGCTGAGAAACTTCATGTTGCCAGAAATTCCTTTGTCTCCCTCTTTCCATGGCTCCCCTGAATGATCCATCTTACCATCTCAGGTAAGATGGAATTGGAGGCATGAGCCTGCCATCTTCTCAGACTGTAGACTCCTGAATAAACCGCTTTCCTTCTCAACTAGAACCTGCTTCATGAGGTTGGCTTTCATGGTAGTGGGCAGCCAGACCTGTGGGTTACTTTCCTGGTTTGAAGTAATGTTGAATGAATGGCAATCTAGTTGGTTCATGGTCGTTATGAGAGATTGCATACCGTTCTACAGAAGGATATTGGCTCAATATACCCAAATAGCTAAAACAAATCCAAGTACATAGAAGTGGAGATGGAAGGTTTATAAGAAAGGGATAAAAAGAAATATTCCAGCTTTATAGTATATATAGTTCTGGGTACTGAATTTTCTGGAATATAGATTAAGAAATGTGCAACTAAAATTATCAATGGAACAGCTGAATGGGTTCAGGATTTTGACTCAGATAACTGGAAATAAAAGCTTAACTCTTGACAACTTCCTATTGATATGATATTAAGCAAGTTGCTGAATTTCTCTGAATTTATGTTTTGTGTTTTGGAACAACATTGTTGTACTTACCTACCTCTTAGAGTTGCTTTGCATACCAAAGAAGACAATGAATGGTAAAGCTATATTAGCTGTTGCTATTTGCATGACGAATGTTGTCTACTCCGTAAGTAGAGGTCAGAAATTATTAAACAAAATTATTTTGAGTGCCTATAGGTGGTCCCTGCTCACAGGGAGAACATCATGAAGGAAGGGAGATGGTGAGGAGTGTGGTGGGGACCAAAAACATTAGAGATAAATTAATAGGAGTGGGAAATTCGAAGAAGCAGGAGGAAGGAAGTGACTAGATTATTTGCAAAAAGTTCAGCTGTGGCAGTCTGCTCTTAAAAAAAAATTACATTGGTACGTTTTGTGAAATGTTAGAACTTCAGTTTTTATAATGCTTCTTTAGGAGACTGCATTTGTTTAGAAAACTGTTCAGCTATATTTATAAGCTGTTTTTCATTGGTATAGAATTTGTAAAGCTTATAACATTGATTTCTTTGATTTTAATCTCACTGATTTTATTATTGTTAAACAAACTAATTCAAAAACTGTGTGTCTTCTCTTCCCAATCAAAAATATTTCTTTATTTAGATCTTAATCCTCCCAAGGTATTTGTAAATTTAAAGGGAAATGGTGTTTAAGGAAGAGTTTATTTATTTACTTTTAGAGAGAGAGAAGAGAGGGAGAAAGAGAAGGAGAGAAATACTGATGCCAGAGAGAAACATTTATCAGTTGTGTTTTGTATGCCCCTAACTGGGGATTAAACCCAAAACCCAGGCATGTGGCCTGACTGGGAATTGAACTGGTGACCTTTCACTTTGGGGAATGATGCCCAACCAACTGAGCTATACCAGCCAGGGCTAAAAGGTAAATGGTTGTAATAAAATATTTATTTTTTAAATAACCAATGCAATACCTCAGTCCTTCCACACTGGCAGCCTGAGATGTGTGGACCAGTGGGCCACACTCTCTGACTGTTAGCTCCCTGATAGGGTCTGTGCACTGAGGAGGGAGTCTGGAATGCCTCAGCAAAGTGGGACACCAGCTGCCTCATTGACATCGTTGGGAAAATTCCTTCTACTGTTTTCTCCTATCTAAAACTCGAGTCCTTCTTAAAATTCTAACCTTTTAAAAGAAGTGTTCTGAATATGGTATATATTAGTGTGAATATTTCTCTTTGCATAATGTGCTTCAAAGGCCTTCTTTATAAAAGTTACTACATCTGTTTATGTAGTGCTTTTATCTGAGGTTTTCATTCACTTCTCTTTGGATTCCAAGAGGAGGCAAGTATAGTAATAAACATTTTCTAAGAGAATATGGCTGTACTGACCCTTTTTTGCGCTTTAGAATCATCCAGCAGGAAACAATGCTGAGTACAATAAGGATCATACCAAAGGATGTGCCTAGGCAGTAAAACAAGGCAGTTAAATGCATGGAAAATATATGCATAGATTTTAAACTCTATCTTAATATCTAGTCTCTCTAGAGATTGCCAATGATTTTTTTAAAAAAAAATACAACTACGTTCTGGTTTAACAAACACTGACACAGGCTTACCTTCAAGGTTCCCCTTCTGCTTCTTGTTTAATCAAGGACATTAGTGTTACAACCACAGGATTATATGTAAGGAGTGAGCAGAGCAGTGTTGTAACCTTCAGTCCAACAGCAGCCTTTCAACAAGTATGTGAGAACAGTGCTGGTGCTCCTGGGCTCCAGCTCTCCAGGGCCCTGCACATGTCTCTTGTGTAAGGCCTGAGGCAAGAACTATTATATACCACAGACCCTAGCAACTCCCTCTGAAGGAAACTATCATGACTCTTCCTCTCACATACACAGACTCCAGAAATGGGCTTAGAAAACTGGTCTTTGTGGTTTCCAATTTGTGCAAGTGGGCACGACTATCATCCCAAAGAATATTCCCAGGTTGTATTCTCCATCTACAATAAAATGATATGAATGACTGGTCATTTGTAATGGTTCACAGCTAGTATAGAAGCTCTTGTAGAGAACACTCACTCTATACGCATGTGAGGATGCCAGTTCTGTCACACATGGCCTGAGTTTATCACTATTTCCTTTCTGAATGAAATCACAATGTAAGATAGTTTGATCTCCCTTTTTACATTTCATTCATTATAAGTGGGTACTTAATATACTTACTGTTAGAGATGCTAGAGTTTCTCAACAAACTCTTTATAAAACTTACCAATAATGAGAGTGCCACGTGAGCCTAAAAAGAAGAGAAAGGTCACAAATGCATCAGTCTCACACTCCACAGGAGCCCTCAGCCAGGGACAGTCTATCCTAATTTTTGTCCTTACACAGTCTCATTTTGTTCTAATATATATAAAAAAACACTGGTTTTACTCAGTCTCATTTATCTTGTATATTCAGGATATGTGTTTTTTTCTTTTCAACTTAATATTTTTAACATTGAATTAGTAGAACTACAGCTAAAATGTATAAAATAGAGCAAAAGAAAAATCATATAATACCACCATTAAATGTGTTGGTACATTCCCTCCTGGTACATGCTCCCATGCATCTAGGCTTTTACATATGTGTAGAATTTCTTTAACCTCTGAACAGTGGAATTAAGCACTCAGTAGTTGTTAATTTACCACCACAACTACCACTACTGCTACTTGTATGATAACATTATTAACTTTTCATTAAATTTTACATATTTCTCATCTCTCTTCTGCTTTCTTATTTACTTTCCAAAATACATACATAACCTGGAGGTTAAATTTGTTGACCTTTTATGATTTTCTCTATTATATCAAAAATTCTCATAGTTGACTTTCTTCTAGTAGTTTGGTAAATATATCTTTAATTTTTATGTTAGCTTTTCCATGTTGAATTTTAAAACTTTAACTCTTTATTACATCTCTTACTTTTTGTAAGGTATAAAGAAAGTTTTTAGGTTTGTTTCAGTGCTACCTATATTATATGATCATGTTTATCTTCCCTGTGGATTGATGATATATCAACTATTATATTTCATTTATAAGATAATCTTACTGTTATTTATAATAACCCTTATTTTATTAATGTTGATCTTGTTTCTTTTATAAAATAAGTATAATTCACTTAATATCTATTTTTGTTTCACAAATATCTACTTGTGCTGGTTTAAAGTGATTTGTATATTGTAGCTTTACATTTTCTTTTAATATCTGGTAAGGTGGTCCCCCAATTGTGTGAATTTTCTGTCTTTCACATCTACATCTTCAGAATCCTCTAAAGGCATTCATTCAGTCAGGTAGGCAGTGAGCTTTTTGCCAAAGTGGATGCAATCTGCTATTAAGAGAGTGACAAGTTTATAATTTGGGAATATTATTTGTAAGATTAGCTAGCACATTTGAGGAGTTAACTATTAAGCATATCTTGAAGAATCTTGGGACTCATTATTATAAATAAGAATCATAAGGATGGGTGGAGGAAAACTAGCACTAACTTAGGTTAAGATAAGTTATTCATTGTTAATTTTGTGCATCAGCTTCTTGATGCATACAAGTTCAAGGTTTAGGATTTTCTATGTTACATTACCCTCTAGTTGCCAGCAGAGGGCTATTCTTCTCCAGAGCTCAAAGATACAGGATTTCTAATCTGCTGAGTCCAGCTGTGCCCGTTTACAATCTTGTAGTCTACACCAGTGAGGGAGCTGAAACAGCTAGTCTCAGCAACTTGGATGGTGCTTCCTGACTCATGCTGAAAATATTCTTGAAGGATGGCTCTATCACTGATGGGCTTCTGAGTTTTAAGATCCCTGGGCTATAAACAAATCATTACCATGCGATGCATGCAACAATAAAGCAATGTAAACACAAAAGGTTCAGAGGGTTCCCCCAGGACAGATAAACAGGTTGAGAAGTGTGAGGAGAGGAACGCTTGCCTGACTCTTCATTGTTAAGGGCTTTTGGAGAAGAAGCAGAGGCTTCTAGTGCACTCCTTAGTTCTACCATGTGCCATAAACATCACACCACATTTGATGACAGTATATGAGTGAATGGATGAACAGTACCATGACTGATAAGGACCTACAGTCCTTGCACTTGCTCTTGTACTTACGAGATGTGCATGTGGGCAGAGGAGGGTCCCAGGTGTTATCCGCCTGGCACTGGCTCCAGGGACTGCCTTCCAGAGTATTCCCATTTTCACACTCCAAGGTTACATTTGCTTTGTATTTAAATTCTTTGCTCATTGCCAACCCCTTCTGGATTCCATTCATAAACTGTGGAAGGCTACATTTTACCTCTGAAATTAGAAAAATCAGAAGGAAATCTATATTTTATTGATAAATGTTTGTAGTAACTGCCATAAATGAAAAGCTCTATGACCTCAAACCTATTTTCCCTTCCACAAAGACCATTCATCATGTTTTCCATCAAGAAAAACTACATCTTCTCCCCCAAAATGTCATGATTTAAAATTCTCTGACTTTGTTTTCTTAGGTAAAATAATTGAATGTGGAATGTGCTGTAAGTCACTTTTAATTGTGAGCAACTCTGCAACTGGAAAGTTGTGGACAGATTAGGAGTTAGGCTAACTGTATTCCAGCCTGGGTCCACTTGGGTCAGACCCTAAGGAAACAGGAATATCACATTAGCTTTCCCTAGGAATACAATAACTACTGCTGTTCTGCCTCTTGACTAAATGCCTGTTTCTGGCTCATTTCTATGCATAGAACAAAGAAGTTAGAATAGCATGATTCTACATGTAAAATACCAATTTTCTACTTAATTTACTTTATCTCATTTAGCTTAACCTTTACTTTGCTTTCTTTCTCAGAGCAGCAAACACTTTCTTCAATTTAAGCAAAATCTGCTTTTCAGTTGTAACAGTCTATTTTTTTTTCTTTATAAAACCCAACCAGGTAAAGTACTTTTTCCAACAGTATGGTCTGTGGTTTTTCTACATCAGAATATTATAGTGGGTTTACTAAAAATAGACCTCTGGACTCCAACTGAAAATGTCAGAATCAAAGTTCTTTGGGATGCAGGTTAAGAAACTGTCTTTTAAACAAGGTTCCTGGTTGATTTTGCTAATGCTAAAAATGGAGAATGAATAAGCCATGTTCTGAGAGAACAGCTATTAAAACAAAATTTACTTAAATGAAAAGAAAGCAGCTTCCAGAAGAATAGAATATAATTCTTTTATTTTCAGAACAACTATCCCATAGTCTTAATCTAAATAATTAATCATTGAACTATTACCTGAATTTTCATATTCCTTATGCAACTAAGGCAAGGAAAGGGAAACTTTTGGTTTCAGCAAAGCCACAGGGGCTCTGCAAGTGTCACCCATTCTGGCAAATAACCAGAACAGAGTCTCTCACTATCATTTTGGTGGGCTAATTCTTCTTTGTCTGTAAAACCGAGGGGCAGGAGGCCCAGGAGTGTTTCTGAGACTTTTAGGTCAGTGTGGGGGCATAAATTTCCTGTAACCATGGAAGCCATAAAACTAACAAGTTCTTACTATTAGAAATATCTCATCTCTGCCCTTACATAGTATTTTGAAAATGAAAAGAATAGAAAAGAAACAAGCAAAGCAAAAATCACTTAACTTATAGTTCTGCAAAGTTAAAAGAGCCACATTGAAAAGGACACAGTATAGAGTGAAATGTTTGAAAGCAGGGGCTGAGCTGGGGTCCAATTCTAGCACCACCACTCCCTGAGCTGTGGATCACAGACTGGATCAAGGACTGGATTTTGCTTCACCTCAAGTTCCTCCTCAGTAAGATAGCAAGAATACTAATCACACCCCATCAAATTCTGGAGACTAACACAACTCACTTTTGTAAAGATCTCAATAGCATATGCTTTTTTATTTCTACATTTTGCAGCTTTTTAGAATATTGCCAACAAAGATTTTAAAGTTGTATGTTATTTTGCAAACACAGGCAGACATAATGGAAATAATTTTGGGGACTTGTTTCAGAGACTTGTAAAAGTAAATAAACACCTTACTTTTAGTATTGAAGATTAGAGCTGTTGCAAATGTATGTTGGCAATATAATCTTTCTTAAAAGTAAGACAGGCAACTACTTGGCTAGCTGCCAGCTGTGTAGCCTGACACCAAGGAGCAGACAAGAGTCATACAAGGTAACTATGCTATTCACTTAGCTTTTGTTGAATGCAGATTCACTCAAAGTAGAACATCAACATACATTAATATCGCACTCACACTCTAATAGTTGAAGAGAAATGTAACACACACAGAGCAATCAATAGGGAATAATGACCCCAAGTCCCAGAGTCTGTCTGCAGGTCTGGGAGATAGCACAGTGGGCGAGGGAGCCTTCAGCATTTTGCAAAGAAGAATCTCTGCAGCCAGGTGGGCAGCAGGGCAGAAGAAATCCTCAGTCCAGCAGGGCATAGCCTCTGGTGGCTGATGCAAGGGAGATCAGTGTGGCATGGAGCACCACTCTGATGTGTGGAGCTCAGCTGTCTCAGCAGTGGTCTGGAGTCTGCCTCACTTATACCTGAGAGTGGTATACTCCACCCTTCTGGGTCTCTTGATAAGTGTCTTGGCATTTCTGATGGCAAGTGGAGAATTTCTCCAGGAGCCTGTCTATAGGTGGTCCTGTTCTGCACATATGACTGTTCTGATCATGTGTGCAGATATCTTGGGTGTATCTCCTTGGTGAATGTATCTAGTATGACTTAGGTAGGTTCCCTCTTGAACCAAAGTGTCCTGGCTGACTGGTGCCATCTTGGTTAACATGAGTGATTTCATTTTTTTTATATATTTTATGCTATCTTGACTGAACCAGTGCCATTGTATTGGTGCTGCTTTCCACAGTAGTGAGACTCCTTAGGCAGTAATTGCAGACCTAATTCCTCTTGACCTCACTTGTATTGTCCTCACAACAAAGTGCTTCTAGTCTCTTATTGACATTCTGAGGGCATTTGTGAGGACCAACTGTGGTCCTCTGGGGTCCTTTAGAGCTGAAATATTTTATTAGTTAAAAGCTTGTAAAGCATTTTAAATTAGTATGTGATATCATTATATTACTAAAAACTCCATTGGTTCTTCCTACTTATTTGGTAGAGTTGAGGATCCTTGGGAAACTGTCCTTCCCACTGTTTGTTCTCCTTTTCTCCTTTTCTACTGACACTCATTTCACCATCTTCTCAGAAGTGATCTATCTCAACCTTATTAGTTTCATACATCAGTCTTACATAAAAACCAAGCAAGAATAAGAGATACCTTTACAATAATGGTCAGATTGGCTCCAGGTTCCCTCATGTGTACAGAAAATGTAGGCTTTTCCCACCAACAGGTAGCCTGGGTCACAAATGTAGTTGACTGTCATCCCAGGAAGATATGGAGATGCATCCCCTCCAGTGTAATGCCCATTGTGCATCTTGGGTGGAGGTGGGCATACTAGGAGCAGGAAAAGACTCAGTTAAACATAAAAGTATGAGCATGTCAGCACATTTAATAATATCTGTGACTATTAGAGCTGCATGAAGACCCAGGCAGGCAGGTCTCAAGGCACTATATGTCTATGAGTCAGTGGGAAGACTAATTCTGCTAACCCAGACTTCTCAGCCTTTACATAGAGTCATGTGCTTTCTCTATCTGCAGACTGTACCAGCTGGAAGTACCATTGGGATCTACAAATTACTGATTCATTGCTGTCTGTCCTCACTAGAGTATGGAGCTTGTGTGGACAATTACAGCCACAAAGGACACTCTGAGGGCCAGGTGCTGTGATTTAAAGTTAGAAAAGAAATGTGCTACAGAGGCCAAGAACACAAGCATCCACTACTTTTCTCCAGGGCACCCTGAGTTCCCTTTGCTAAAGGTGAGACAACGGGTCAACAAATGCAGTAATGGGTTGAGTGTAACACTTAGATGTAATAAAAGAAGCACAAATGCTTACTTTGGACGTTTCTAATTATTTCTGTAGCATTACCAGTTTTGAAGTAAATTACTCCATCAACATGTACATTTTGGTCAGCACACCATCTATCTAGTATAAAAGCAAGTAGTAATAGAGATGGCATATCCGAATATTTTCATTGGCATTAGTTTTCATTGCTTTTAAAATGTTCTTTATAAACTCTGGGCCTCACTGGTTCTCTCCACTCTCTGATCCCTCCTCTCCTCACCATCCTACATTCCTCACCCCAGTGGGCAGTCATCAGACTACCACCAATTGGCATAGGGAAGCACCTCTAAAACCATGTGATTTTCCTGGCAGGTACTTCTGTGTCTGATATTCATAACAAAGTCATGTTGAAATGTATAAATGACTGTAATGATAGAAGTATGGAAGTTCTTGCCCAGATACACTGATCCATTGGGGGGCAGTGTGCACTGACCAGTAGAATCAGTAAGTTCACAGTGAGGGGCAGGGCCACTCCAAATCCCATTCCCGTGACTGTCACTTGTGCAGCGGATGGTGCTCTCCCCAATGATATTGAAGGTCATCCCTCTGTCAGTGTGGGAGTCACATGTATAAGATATTTCTTTTCCATAGGGAATGTTTCTCAGAGAAGTTCCTGTGTGTTTCCCATTCAGGATTGCGGGAGGATTTGGACAGAAGATTTCTAGAAAGAAGACAAGAGCATTATGTGCAATTAGAGTTTCAGTCAAACTGATTATACAATAATGGTACTCTGGGACTGTTATAAACACATTTTTTTTCTATAAGAATAATAACTGAGGTGAATCAAATTTAAATATGTAAAACACTTTTCTGAGAGGAAACTAAGGAAACTGAGACTTAAATCTCAGTTTTGTAAAAGTCCAAAAGTCCCTCCAGGTAGCTAAGATTTTAATCAATTTGAAAAGTAATTAATTTTGTTTTGTTGGCAACCATTTGATTTCCTACTTTATGACCTTCATTTAAAGATCCCCCTATGTGGCCATGGGTACCCACAAAGCCTCAGGTGCTCAGCCCACATCTTTTCCTACTCTGCCACCAGCTTTTTCTATACCAGTTCTTTTTTCTCCCACTGCAGCCCAATATCCAGGTCAGATAAAGAGAAACCAAAAACTTGAGCTATAGTGCTATATTTTGCTTTTCCTTTTGGAAAGAAAAAAGAAAGGAAAGAAAAGAAAAGATTTCTGATTCCAAGTGTGTTGAAGTCTAATAGTTGAAGTCAAAACTGAGAGAGGAGTGTTCTATTTAAAATGCCACAGCAGACTTCTGGCTAAGATGAAGGTATAGGTAGACATACTGTGTCTCCTTGCACAACCAAAATACGGACAACAATAATTTAGAAAAAAAATAACAACCAGAACTGACAGAAAATTGAACTGTATGGAATTTCAACAACCAACGAGTTAAAATAGACACATTCATCTAGACTGGTAGGAGGGGTGGAGTTGGGCAGCCTGGCTGAGAGGGGTCCTGGCAAAAAAAGTAGTGGCACTGGGTGCACAAGGCAGCAGCTAACAAACCCTGGGTGTGCAAGAAGGCAGCGGGTGGACCCTGGGTGTGCAGGCAGTGTCTGGCAGACCCCAGGCATGGGGTGGCAACAGGCAGACCCAGTGAGGTGGTGATTATGAAGCAGGGCATGGCATACAAGGCAGCTGGCTGACCAGGCAGTCCCACATTTACGTGCAGATAAACCAGGCAAAACTGGGGAGTGAGACAGACCTTGAAACCCAGGGTCCCAGTGTGGGGAAATAAAACCTTAAATCACCAATTAAAAACACCTGTAGGGGTTGAGGTGCCGGAAGAGATGCCCAACCTCATGAGAGAGTTTGTTGAAGACACCCACAGGGTCCTAGAACATACACAAGCCTGCCCACCCAAGAATTAGCACCAAAAGGGCCCAGTTTGCTTGTGGGAAGCAGTGGAAAGGACTGAAATCCAACAGAGAGTGGAGCAAGTGCCATTGTTCCCTTTCAGATCCCGCCCACACATACAGCATCACAACCCAGCCACTGGGTTGCCTTGCCCTGGTGAACAACTAAGGCTCCCCGCTTCACTACATAACAGGTGCCACAAGGGAAAAAAAAAGGCCCAAATGGAAGAACAGATCAAGGCTCCACAGCAAATACAAGTAAGCAATGAAGAGATAGCCAACCTTTCAGATGCACAGCTCAAAGCACTGGTGATCAGGATGCTCACAGAACTGGTTGAATTTTATCACAAATTTGATGACAAAATGAAGGCTACACTAAGTGAAATAAAGGGAAATGTACAGGGAACCAATAGTGATGGGAAGGAAACTGGGACTTAAATCAATGGAGTGGACCAGAAGGAAGAAAGAAATAATGAAACAGAAAAGAATGAAGAAACAAGAATTCAAAAAAAAAATGAGGAGAGGCTTAGGAATCTCCAGAACATCTCTAAACGTCGAACATCCGAATTATAGGGGTACCAGAAGGGGAAAAAGAAGAGCAACAAGTGGAAAAATTATCTGAACAAATAATAAAGGAGAATTACCCCAGTCTGACAAAGGAAATAGACTTCCAGGAAGTCCAGGAAGCTCACAGAGTCCCAAAAAAGTTGGACCCAAGGAGGAACACACCAAAGCACATCATAATTACATTAGTCAAGATTAAAATGAAGGAGAGAATTCTGCAAGCAGCAAGAGATAAGGAGACAGTAACCTACAAAGAAGTTCCCATCAGACTGTCAGCTGATTTCTCAAAAGAGACCTTACAGGCAAGAAGGGGCTGGAAACAAGTATTCCAAGTCATGAAAAGCAAGGACCTACATCCAAGATTGCTCTATCCAGCAAAACTTTCATTTAGAATGGAAGGGCAGATAAAGTGCTTCTCAGATAAGGTCAAGTTAAAGGAGTTCATCATCACCAAGCCCTGAATATATGAAATGTTAAAAGAACTTATCTAAGAAAAAGAAGATAAAAACCTTTTATAGTAAAATGACAGCAAACTCAAAATTATTAACAACTACACCTAAAACAAAAACAAAAGCAAACTAAGCAAACAGCCAGAACAGAAACAGAACCACAGAAATGGAGATCACATTGGAGAGTTAGTAACAGGGGAGTGGGAGGAGGAGAGGGGGAAAAGGTACAGAGAATAAGTAGCATAGATGTTAGGTAGAAAATAGACAGGGGGAGGGCAAGAATAGTATGAGAAATGTAGAAGCTAAAGAACTTGTGACCCATGGACATGAACTAAAGGAGGGGAATGTGTGTGGGAGAGGGTGTAAAGGGTGGAGGGGAATGAAGAGGGTAAAATGGGACAACTGTAATAGTATAATCAATAAATTATGTTTTCAAAAAATAAAATGCCACAGCAGAGAAACATTTTGTCAAACACTGGAAAATCATTGTAATATTGTGTCAAAAAATAAAATTATAATTCTCCAGCAACCAAAAACAAAAGCATGAAATATTGTGACCTAACTGATAGAAAATTCAAAGTAGCTATTATACAGAGATTCAATGAGCTACAAGACAACTCAGAAAGGCAATTCAATGAACTGAGGAATAAAATTCATGAACAGAAAGCATTCCTTACCACAGAAATTGAAATTTTAAACACGAACCAAATTCTGGAGCTAAAAATTCAATGAGTCTAATTGACAATAGATTAGAGAATTTAGAAAATAAGGCAGATTAGAACAAAGACAGAACTAGTGACCTGGAACAGAGAAATTTAGAAATGACTCAGAAGAGGAAAAAAACTAAGATTTAAAAAAGATAAAGAAACCTCATGACAGTTACCAGATATGATGGAAAAAATCCAAAAAACAGGGCTTACAAAAAGGAGAAGAGAGAGAGAAGGGAACAGAGTATATTGAGAGAAATAATAGTTGATAACTGCCTAAACCTGAGGAAGGTATTTAACACACATGTCCATGAAGATAACAGACCACATGATTACCTCAAGACACAAAGAACTCAAAGTTACATTATAATCAAACTGTCAAAAATCAATGATAAAGAAAGAATTTTAAATGTAGCCAGAGAAAAAAGGAGGTAACCTACAAAGGAAACCCTTAAGCTTACTAGCAGATTTCTGTGCAGAAAGTCTTCAGGCCAAGAAAGTATGGAATGGCAGATTCCAAGACTGAATGATAAAAATTGCCAGCCAAGAATACTTTATCAGAGCAAAGTTAGCCTTCAGATATGAAGGAGAAAGGCTTTCTTTGACAAATAAAAAGTGAGGGAGTTAATTACCATTAGACCTGTCTTGCAAGAAATGCTGAAAAGAGTCCTTCCAGCTGAAATTAAAAGATGTTCATTAATAACATAAAAGGAAACAGAAATACACAATACTTTAGCACAGATAAAAATATGTGTTAATTATAGCATGAAGGTTTAAGTAATGAACATTAAAATAACTATACCTACTATACTTTCTCAACAAATTCACAGTATCAAAGAGGAAAACTGTGATAACAAAAATATAAAAGGGAGGAATTAAAGAGTGGAACTCTTATAGGTAAATGAAGATAAGGTGCTATAAGCATAAAAGGACTATATGTAGGTTTTATGTAAATGACATGGCAATAATAATGCAAAAATTTATAGTAGAGTCACAAGACATAAAAAAAAGAGACTGAGCAAATCACAGTGGAAAAACGCCTCTTTACAGAGATAGAAACAGAAGGAAAAAGAAACAAAGGAGATACAAAACAACCAAATGGCATATGACAACAAGGCTATAGAATGTCCTCATACATCAATAACCAGTTACTAGAAATGGATCAAATTCACCATAAAAGACACAGAGAGGCTAGATGGATAAAAACAGGAGAACCAACAATATTCTGACTAAAGAAAAGTCATTTCAGCTAACAACATATGTAGGCTCAAATGAAGAGTTGGAAAGTGGAAACCAAAAGATAGCGACCATAGCCACACTTATATCAGACAAATTAGACTTCAAGCCAGAAGTGATAATGAGAGAAAAAAGGTCATTATGTAATGATAAAATAGTACATCAAGAACATATAACAATCATAAGTATGTATGCACCCTACAAAAGAGTATCAAAATATATGAAGCAACAACTAACAGATCAAAAGGGAGAAGTAGGCAACAACACAAAACTAGGAGGGGATTTCAACATCACCTCCGTCAGCAATGGACAGATCATCCGGACAGAAAATCAACAAGGAAATGCTGAAATGGAACCATACTGTAGAACAAGTGGACTTATGTATACATACAACAGATAATTCCATTTACCAACAGCAGAATACATACATTTCTCAAGTGTAGATGGAACATTTTCTAGGGTAGATCATTTGTTAGGAAACAAAACAAATCTTGGCAGACTTTAAAATTATATAACTTTTTTCTTACCATATGGTATAAAATTAGTTATCAAGAGGAGACAATCTGGAATCACTAGGAATATGTGGAAACCAAATAATACAGTTTTAAGCAACTAATAGGCCAAAGAAGAAATCAAAAGACAACCAAAAATCTATGTCAAAACAAAGAAAAATAGAAATACAACATATCAAATGTTATGAGATGCAGGAAAAGCATTTCTGAGAGCAAAGTTTATAATACTAGATTCAAGTTAAGATATTAAAAAGATCTCAAATAAAAATCCTAAATTTATACCTTGAGAAACTAGAGAAAGAACAAATTATGGCCAAGGTTAGCAGAAGAAAGGAAATAAAACTAGAATTTAATTAAATGGAAAAGAATCCAGAAAAATAATAGAATGGATCAACAAAGCTAAAAGCTCATTCTTCAAAAAGATTAACACAATTTGTAAGCTTTAGTCAGACTAAGAAAAAAATGACTGAGATGAAAATTAGAAATGAAAAAGGAGACATTACTATCGAAGCTATAGAAATACATAGAATCATAATAGACTACAATGAATAATGAGTTGCTAAAAGATTATATAACCTAGAAGATATTAGTGCATTTCTAGAAACACACAGCCATCTAAGAATCAAGAAGAAATAAAAAAGTCTTGACAGACCAGTAATAAGCAAAGAGATTGGTTCAGTAATCAAAAACATTCAACAAAAAAACCTTAGGACCAGATGGCTTCACAGATACATTGTACCAAACATTCAAAGAAGAATTAAATAATCATCAAACTTTTATAAAAAGTTGAGGAGGAAGGTATGTGTTCAAATTCATTTTATAAGGCCAGCATTAAGTAATCTGATACTAAAGCTAGCTAAGGGCAACATAAAGAAAACTATAGACCAATAACCCCAATGACTATAGATGTAAAAATTATCAGCAAAATATTTGCAAACAAAATTCAAGTACACATAAAAATCATTATACACCATGACCAAGTGGAATTTATCCTGGGATGCAAGGATCTTTTGACATAGGCAAATCATTAAGTATAATACCTCACATTAATAAAGAGATATAAAAATTACATGATCATCTTAATAAATACAGAAAAATGTTTGACAATGTGCAACATCCTTTCATAATAAAAACCCTCAGCATACTGGCTATAGAAGGAACATACCTAAGTATAATATAGGCCACATACAACAAACCCACAGCTGATATACATTTTGGTGAAAAATGGAAACTTTTGTCTCTAAGATCAGGAACAAGTTAAAAATTTCAACTCTCATACCACTCTTATCCAATATAGTACTAGCAGTCCTAGCTAGAGTGATTATGCAAGACAAAGAAATAAGAGGCATCCAAATTGGGAAGGAAGAAGTGAAACTGTCATTATTTGCAGATGATGTGGTGATTCTGTATATAGAAAATACAAAAGACTCAACCAAGTAAAATGTAGAACTAATTAATCATTTCAGTAAAGTTGCAGAATACAAAGTCAACCTCCAGAAATCAGTTGTATTCCTACATGCTAATGATGAAACCTCTGAGAAAGATATAAAGAAAACTATTCCATCTATAATAGCATCAAAAATAATAAAATACTCAGGAATAAATTTAATCAAGTGAAAGATCCATATAATGAAAATGACAAGACTTTCCAAAAAATCAAAGAAGACATAAAAAATTGGAAAAATATACCATATTCATGGATGGGGAGAATTACTGTAATGTTATTAAAATATCTATACTACCCAAAGCCATCAATAGATTCACAGCAATTTCCACCAAGATAGCAATGACATTCTTCACAGAAGTAGAAAATACCCTATAAATTTTATGGAACCACGAAAGACCCTAAATAGCCAAAGCAAATCTGAGGAAAAAGAATAAAACTGAAGGTATCACACCTTCAGATTTCAAATTATGCTACACAACTACAGCAATAAAAATGGTATGGTATTGGCACAAGAACCAATGGACACATAAACCAATGGCACAGAATAGAGACCCCAGAATTAAAGTATTGTTTGTATGGTCAGCTAATATTTGATAAGGTAGCCAAGAGCAACAGATGGGGAAAGAAGTCTCTTCAACAAATGCTGCTGGGAAAACTGAAGCAACATATGCAGAATAATAAAACTGAATTCCTATTGTACACCACTCATGAAAATTAACTCAAAATGGATCAAAGCCTTAAATATAAGAATGAAACTATAAGAGTCCTGGAAGTAAATGAAGGAAAAGAGCTTCTCAACATTGGTCCTGGAAATGACTTATTAGATATGACAGCAAAAGCACAAATGTCAAAGCAATAATCAACAAATGTGAACTCATTAAACTTAAAAGCTTTTGCATAGCAAAAGACAATTAACAAAGTGAAAAGACAATCTACAGAAAAATTTTGCAAACCATATATTGGATAAGGTAATATCCAACATATATAATAAAGTTATACAACCCAACAACAACAAAATGTTTTGATTAAAAAATGGGCAGAAGTTCTAAGTACATATTTCTCCAAAAAGAACATCCATTGGTCAAAGGGTACATGAAGAGATGCTCCACATCCTTAACCTTCTGGGAAATTCAGTTTAAAACCACAGAGGTGTCTCCTACCTGTTAGAATGGCTGTCATCAAGAAGACAAGTGATAATAAGTGCTGGTGAGAATGTGAATAAAAGGGAACCCTTATGCCCTGTTGGTGGTGATGTAAATCAATGCAGCCACTATAGAAAACAGTATAAATGTTGCTTAAAAATAAAAATAAAGAACTACTATATAATTCAGCAATTATACCTCTGAATATTTTTCCATCTAAAATGAAAACACTAACTTGAAAAGATATATGCACCCTATCATTTTCACTAGGAGATTGACCTTTTCTTTGGACAGAGTTTACTATTAAAGTAGGAGAGTAGAGGAATTTTACCTGAGTTCAAATCACCCACAGTTTGAGATAAATTACCTCCTAAGATTAAAAATGAAAACAAGAAAACCATGCAACACTTGATTTCAATTTTCAAGTATCTGAGAGACTACTCTGTGCGAGAAGGATTATGTTTCTTTTTTGTAACTACAGGGTCAAGTCAGTATCAACTGGAGGGAATTATTAGGAAAAATATTTCAACTCACTCTCACAAACAGGTGCCTCCTTATCCCAAGTGACATTACTGCCTAAGAGGAGACAGGCAGCAGACGGGGAACCAAGGAGTCGATGTCTAGAAACAAAGAATGAAAAATGATTATACCTTTCATATATTTCCCACTTAAGTCACCATGAGAAAATAATACCAGGAGGATTTTACAAATGACAGGACATATTAAAACATGGGATATCTCAAGGAAGAAACCCAATCTCCATCTGCAAATTAGTCCTCTCTTTTAAAAAAATATTTTATTTATTTATTTTTAGAGAGGGGAAAGGAGAAAGAAAAAAGGGAGAGGAATATCAATGTGTGGTTGCCTCTCATCTGCCCCCTACTGGGGACCTGACCTGCAAACCAGACATGTGCCCTGACTGGGAATTAAACCAGTGACTTTTTGCTTTACAGTCCGGTGCTCAATCCACTGAACCACACCAGCCAGGGTTGCAAATTAGTTCTCTAATGTTAAGAACAAACTTCAATTCTCACCTCTTTAATCTATCTTCATTCCCAGTCCCTCACAACTCAATGCAATAATTGTATTATCCATAATGGTACATTTTCATAAGTATTTTCATCCTTATCTTTAGGGAAGTGCACAGAGTTATGTAATCCACATGTACCTTTGTGAAGGCAGTTATGAGCTCCTTGAAGGCAGAAAATATGTCTTATGAAAATATGTACAATCTCTAGCCCTAGCCAAAAAAGATATTTAAGCTTGGGGTGCTCAAAAAATATTTGTTCATTGAAGTAATGAATGATAGCTTTACTGAAGATTTAGTGAATGAGAGCCAGAGGAAACAGTTAATCACCTTCACACTTTAAACATGAAAGGCAGGAGTACTCACCCAGTGAGCCATAAAACAATTCAAAGTAGGGCACAAATTCTGGAATATTTCATCATTATTTATTTTTTATTTATTATATCCCTATACTGTTGCTGCAAGAAATGTTACAAAAGATACCCGCAAAGCTAGTCAAGTGTTCTAATGTACAGCAGGGCTAAACTGGACTAACTGAAAGCTAAGGTGTCTAATGCAATGTCATGTAACAGGAAAATAGTTACTGGAATAGCTGTGAACTTTGCCTCTTGATTACTAAAAACACATGATCAGGGCAGTAACCGTTTGTAGTAGAGACTGTTGGTACCTCCAGTATCCATCTTCCTATTAATAATGGAACCCTGTATTTTTAACTGGCCAATGCCCACCTTTAGTAAAAGCTTCATGTCTCAGCTTCCCTAACAGCAAATGTAGCCACTTTCTTGGTGGAAGCATGTAAGTGGAGTGTCTGAAAAGTGTCTCTATTCTTTTATTCTTCCTCTTCCCTGTCCCAAGTTTGGACCAAGAGATGAGACAGTCTCAAATGGAAAAACCCCAGGTTTCTGTGTATTGTGGAGCCTCCATACAAGGCCTACACTGCCCATGGTTCTTAATCTGAGAGAGAAATTACTATCTCGTTCAAGTTTCTATTGTTTTGTTTCTTTTTCTCTGTCTTTATAGCTTAATTGAATCCTAACTGATATATCCTCTCATCCCATAACAGTAACATAAAGATGATGAGGACCTTATAGCAAATGCTGAATATATATTTTAAAATTATATTTATTTATTTTTAGAGTGGAGGGGAAGGGAGGGAGAAAAGAGGCCGAGGAATATCAATGTTTGGTTGCCTTTCATGCACCCCATACTGGAGACCTGGCCTGCAACCTAGGCATGTGCCCTGACTGGGAATTAAACCAGTGACCCTTTGCTTCACAGTCCAGTGCTCAATCCACTGAGCCACACCAGCCAGGGCAAAAAAAAAACACATTATTTTTGTAGGCACTTCGAGTCACTTTTATATTTAGGTGGCAATTTAATTTAACTTATTAACTTCTTAAAATGACTTTAGAGAGAGGGAAAGGGAGGGAGAAAGAGAGGGACAGAAACATTGATGTGAGAGAGGAAACATCCATCTGTTGCCTTTTGCATGACCCCAACTGGTGACCTGGCCTGCAACCCAGGCATGTGCCCAAACTGGGAATCACACTGGTGACCTTTCACTTTGTGGGATGATGCCCAGCCAACTAAGCCACACCAGCCAGAGCTATTAAATTTTTTAATGGTTATGTTGTAAAATATTTTCACATGTGTCAACACATATTTAATCTTCAAAATTTCTGCAAGCAATTTGAGAATCATTACAGTAAGAAAAGAAGATAATACCTGCACTACACATGTGTTTTCTTCTGCCTGTCTACTACAAAACTTTTAAAGTTACCTTAAGAGCACAGGATCATGGTGTTCTCTGACTTTTGACCTTATAAATGATGCTCTTAACCTGCTGACTATGACTAAACTAGAGCATTGGAGCAACAGTGTGAAGCAGGTTCCAGCCTATGGTTAGCTGTAAAAACAGTGAATGTTTTGAAAAATAATGCAAGACACTAATATGCTGTAGTAATGATTACATTGGCAAAAAATTTTCCTGACCTTATTGCTACTGCTCTGAAGTTCTTTTATTGGAATCTAATTGTGGGCTCTCGTGGCCATTAGCAATCTTGTTAGCAATGAAGTTATACCTTTGGCCAAGAAAAGCCATGAGATTCCTTTCCCTGTAATCAATATATGTGGGAGATCATTCTGTGTTGCATGGGCCCAGCTCCCACTTGGATACACACAGGACCCATGCCCACAGATAGGTTCTCCTGTGGGGAATCAGGCCTGCAATGTACCTAGGCCGCTTTGAGACTTGCTTTTGCTAAAACTCTCTCATCCTGAATTGAGGCAGAAAACATTTACTCTAAAGTACCTTCCTAAAATCCATGCTAAACCTTCCAAGGATGAGTATAACTTGTTCAACCACTTTTGCCTTTTCATTTGCAAATATCCCTTTTCTGTGATGTGATTAGCGGCATTGGCTCCTTTGTTTTCTGTAAAAGGTAACCACCTAAATTGAACCTGTGCATAGTAAATGAAGACTATCATGTAAAATGCCGAGAAACCCAATAAAGGCCGGTCATGATAAGGGCCATGACTTTTGCCCCCCTTGAGAGAAAAGCCATGCTCGCCCTGTTCCTCCACAGGACATGGTAGTCCATGTTAATGTCTCATGTCTCACCCACAATGTGGTGGACCCCACAAGCCGGGGTCTGCATCAAATGTACACACTGTGGAGAAGCTTGCAGACACATTGGAAGACTGGGATAGAGTGCCATTCCTACCTTTTCCTATTTGTTTATGTGCTTTGACCTATTTTTCAGTAGAGGGAATCTATGGAGACAATTATTAAAAGTAGGTTACAGATATGATTCTGTAGCAGACCTCTTTTTCTTAAAAAATACATAACTAAATTTTATTGGATTATAAAAGTTAATATGTATTATAGATACATTTAGAAGTCATGGATAGTTCAATGACAAAAAATACCACCCATGATCCTACCATTAATCATAGTTAATATTTTGCTATGAATCCTTCTAGGCTTTTTATCTAAAAATATATATATATATATTACACATACACATATATATTTTACCTAACATATATATACACATATATATTTTAATCTAAATTTATATATACCTTAGATGTCAACTGCCTCAATTACCCTTAGAAGGGAAAGCTGGTTAAATTGGACACAAGCACCAATTCCACATCTGCAAAGTACAGATTCCCACCTGGCCTTACAACCTGCTCAACCATGAGCTGTCAGATTCCTCAGCCTCAGCAGTTTTCATATGACTGCTGCTCCCATCAACACAAAGACACCCGTCAACAGAAAGAGAGTGGAAAAGCAACCCAAAGAATAGGGGAAAATACTTGCACACCACTTATCTAAGAAGGATTCAACATACAGAATATATAAAGGATTCCTGCAACTTAATAATAAAAAGCAAGCTCAATGAAAATAAGGGCCAAACAGTTGAATAAATGATCCTCCAAAGATGGTATACAAATGGCCAATAAACACATGAAATGATACTTCACATTAGTAGTCATTAGAGAAATCCAAATCAAACCCATTTCACACCTTCTAGGATAGCAATATAGTAATTTTTAAAAAATAAAAGATGTAAGTGTTGATGAGGATGTGAAAATAGTGGAACCTTATATATTGCCAGTGGGAATGTAAAATCATGTAGCTGTGGTAGAAAAGAGTTTGGTGATTCCCCAAAAAGTTAAACATAGAATTGTCATATGATCCTGCAATCCCAATTGTAGCTGTATGTATATCTGAAAGATTAAAAACAGAGACTCAAATGTACAAGTATATGGGTTCATCACCTGTTCTACCTATTTTTAAGTATTTCCTGAAAAGTTGTATTTTTCCTATAAAATGACACATTTCATGAGTATTTTCAATTTCATTATGATCTAGAGTAGTGGTCCCCAACATTTTTGTTACCAGGGACCAGTTTCGTGGAAGACAATTTTTCCACAGACTGGAGTGGAGGGAATGGTTTTGGGATGATTCAAGCACATTACATTCAAGCTCACCTCCTGCTGTGTGGTTGGGTTCCTAACAGGTCGTGACACGTACCTGTCCAGAGGTTGGGGAGCCTGATCAAGAAGATATAATATTTTATAAAGTGTTGAATCCCTTCAGTATCTGATGTGTATTTGTAGATTTGTTATCTTGTGAAATTACATTTGGCAAAGTTCTGTTCATTTTAACTGGCCACTTCAGAAAAGGCCTGTTTTTAGATGTATTTATCATTACTATTGTTTCTATTTTTCCAGTTCATTAACTTATTTTCATTATTAAGTCCTTAGTTCAGCTGTCTTGTTTGTGTTTTTAGTAATTTAAAAATATTTTGTTCATTTATTTGAATTTTTCTTATCAAATAACAAAAATATTAAATATTTCTCTAAGAATAGTTTTGGCAAAAAAATTTCATGATTAATATTTGCATCAGCATTAATATGAATCTAAATAATGTACAGTTTACCACTGTAGGCTATTAATGCAGACTAGCAATACTCAAATTCTAAGGAAATTCCATAGTGTTTTCCACAGTGGCTGGAACAGTCTGCAATTCCAACTGTATACTAGGGTTTCCTTTTCTCCACAACCTCATCAGCACTTGTTTGTTGATTTGTTTATGATGGCCATTCTGACTGGTGTGAAGAGGTATCTCATTGTGGTTTTAATTTTCATCTTTCTAATGGCTAGTGATGCTGAGCATCATTTGATACATCTCTAGGCCCTCTATATGTCCTCCTTGGAGAGGTATTTGTTCAGGCCCTTAGCCCATTCTTTAACTGGATTACTTGTGTTCCTGGAGTGGAGTCATGCAAGTTCTTTACATATTTTGGATGTCAAACCTTTGTTTGAGGTATCATTGGTAAGCATGTTTTCCCATATGGTTGGTTTCCTTTTCATTTTGCTGATGTTTTCTTTAACTGTGCAGAAACTTTTTATTTTGATGAAGTCCCATTTGTTTATTCTTTCTTTTATGCCCCTTGCTCTAGGGGACATATCAGTGAAAATACTGCTGCATAGAATATCTAAGATTTTCCTGCCTATGTTCTCCCCTAGGACTTTTATGGTGTTTCAACTTATATTTAAGTTTTTTTTATCTATCTTGAGTTTATTTTTCTGTATGGTGTAAGTTGGTGGTGGAGAAAGAATCCTGAAACACCAGTTCAAAAGAACCTATGAACCCCAATGTGCACAGCAGCACAATTTACAATAGCCAAGTGTTTCAAGCAACTTAAGTGCCCATCAGTAAATATGTGGATCAGAAAACTAGGCACACTGGGATGGGGGTAAAGGGTAGAAAACTGTACTTGAACAACAATTAAAAGACCCACAAACTATGGTACATTTACACAATGAAATACTATGCAGCAGAAAGAAAGAAGGAGCTCCTACCCTTCACAACAGGCTGGATGGAACTGGAGAGCATTGTGCTAAGTGAAATAAGCCAGGTGGTGAAAGTCAAATACCATATGATATCACCTATTGGTGGAACCTAATCAACAAAACAAACAAGCAAGCAAATTATAACTAGAAACATTGAAATAAAGAACAAACTGACAGTAAGCAGAGGGGAGGCGAGAGAGGTATAATGGGGGGGAGGGGAAAGGCTCATCAGGGAACACGTATAAAGGACACATGGACAAAGCCAAAGGGGGTGCATTGAAGGTGGGTGGTGGGGATGGGTGGGGTGGGGAGGGAATGGTGTGAGAAAATGGAGGCAACTGTACTTGAACAACAATAAAAAAACTCTAACTTCATCCTCTGGTATATATATTTGGGAAAATTCAATAATTCTTCTACCTCAGTTGTCTCTTCTGTAAAATGGGGCCTATATGTGGTATTCACTTCTAATATAATTTTAAAGCTTAAGTCAATTTATGTAAAACTGTAGGTAGAGTGCTTCGGCCAGCTGTACTTAATAATCATTCATTATTATTTTTCTATATGTAATCTGCAATGGCAGTTTTAATTTGCTCTCTGACCAAGATACAAAACTCTGTTTTAATTTCTTCTTTGCTTATGAATTTCTAATGTTATTATATTATAATGTATACCCTCTACTTAACAGTATGTAGTCACATAAAAGAAGTCAAAACACATATAATGTGGGAATTTTTTTTTTTAGGAAATATATCAAATTAGTATATGTTTTGGGTTCTTGGTCATGTAAAACTTTACTTCTGTACTTTGACTGGGTATAGATATTTCTTGGCACAGTATTTTTCCTCAAAACACTAATTTTTGCTATCTATTGTGTGGAAGAAACATTTGATGATAATATGATTTTTTTCTGTTTATTTTACCTCTGGATAGTTGAAAAAATTTTTAGATATCTGATTTTCATACATTTTCTCCATGGAGGATGAGGGTCTCTTATCATTAATCTTGCATTTAGTAAATCTTAAGATTAGGACAATCCAGTCTTTTTCTTTCTGACCTGGGAAAGTACCTTCCATTATGTGCTAGTTGTTACCTCACCTCTTTTTGTTCTTTATTTTTTTTCTTATGTCTCAACATGTGTGAGTGCATGTGTGTGTGTGTGTGTGTGTGTGTGTGTGTGTGTAATTTTCAGTGTGGTCCTTTGTTTACTCAAGAGAAGTTAATCCAGTATTCACGTGATCTCTTTGATTTCTTTTTCTTTAGAATTGAATCTTTTGATCACTGTTGCTTTTTTAGACTACTGTGTATTTATTCATGTATAAACTTTACTGATATCACATCATTAAATCTCACAAATGCCTCTTATTGTTTCATAGCTTCTGTGTTGCAAACACATATGAGAGATTTCTAATATCCTGTTTTGCAGTTCATTCCCTTGTTTATTAAAGTACACTGATTTGTTGAGGAATATTTTCTCTGATATCTTAGATTGTTCTTTTTTTTTTTCAATTGCTGTATCTTCTTTCCCTTGTATGTCCTGATGTTTTGTTTTACTCATGAAAGAAAGAGATCTAGGCTTTTTCACAATGGGAGGTGAGAGGGATTGGTGAAGAGATTGTCTGGAAAGGTATTAAAATCTCTAGACTCAGACAAAGTGAGCAGGGGGTGAATGTTGATTTATCTTAGTTTAATATTGCTGGATGACAGGTACAATGACTTGAGTAGGATAGGATAGGGCTGAAACCAGGGGCAGTTTTTACAGAAAGATGTAATATACATAGTTACCTTTTTTCTCTCTAAGTTTATTGTGGCAACTAAAAGTTAGTGCATTCTCTTTAATTACTCCCTCTAAGTTGGGGCAATGGCTTCTGCTCAGTTACTGTACCAAGGAACAGTCAAACTTGGTAAAGTTTTTTGTACCAAACAAAAAACTCCATTAGTGTCCATCCCCTCTCTGTGTGTGTTTTAATGCCTACATTTCCCTAGACTGCTGTTACATAAGAATTACTCTTCCAACCCTTTGTTTAGGGGCATCCAACTCAGCTCAAGTACCTGATGTCAAGTACCTGATTTTTTGAATCCTTGCAGGATTCAAAAAATATTTTTCATTTTCCTCATTTGTCAGGTCGATACTTTTTATTCAGTGGCTAACTTACCAGATTTCACATGTACTAGCTTTGGCAGAAGCATGGTGACTTCTTTAGTTTGTTACACAGACACAGATTGTTCCTGCTTTTTTAGACTCCTTTTATCATATTTTTATCTCTATGAAGAAGTCCCATTGCTTACTGTTTTAAGTATAGAGGGCAGTGGTCTAGTTTGCCTATCTAAGACTGGGACAGAGATTGACATTGCTGTTCTGGAACTCATACTCCAGAGAGAGTGCTCCCAACTCACCCTTCATTACAAGAATAATTAACTGTTGATCCAAACTGGGTATCTGTGTTTATATGTACCATGCCATTTATGGGTTCAGGTGGAGTTCCACATGATTTTCCTGTAAGAAAGAAGCAGAATTTTAAACTAGGCATACAGCTCAATTTACATTTGTTTTTTAAGATTCAGACTGAGTGTAGCATACTAAACAGCCTATATATCTGTGATTTTTCCAGAATTGCCACCTTGAGGAGACTCACCATATAACCTTAGAATGAAGCAGTTATGGAGCACTGCTTTTAAAATGACTACCTTGTATCTTAATTTGTATCTAGTAATACAAATTAAGTATGGCAAAAGAATGGTTTTCATCCTACCAGCCTAAATCAAAGGCTTGATAATTTAGGATTTCCCTCCATCTTAGTTAGTGAAGCACAGTTCACTGCAACCCACATAATTTTCTTTTGTGTTCCTTTTTCATTAATATTTCTAACCATCAAATGTAACCTCCAGTGAATGGAAAATTTCCCTCCAATTCCTTTTGTGTGAGTCTTTTCCATGAAATGAGTATCTTGTCAAGGTGCAGAATCCCAGACAATAAAACAGGATGACTTACAAGTCTACCCTCCATTTAAATATTTTGGGCAAACTTAGATTTCTCACCTTCAAAATCAAAACAAATCAAGTCAAATTCCACAGATGCTTTGAGCAGGTTACTCACGTTTACAGATATCTTTGGCACTTGACCAGACCAACTTTTCTAGACAGGTGATAGAGAATGTATTCTCAAAATACCCAGGGGAACATTTGTAGCTCAAAGATGTCCCAATTGGAAACTCAAACCCATCAGTTAGGGTTGTAGGCTTGGCAAATAGAAATTGTTCTGGAGCTTTACAGTAACCTGGAGACCAAAACCACAGGAATACCAAAGTGAGCAATGAGACTTCCATTTTACCTGCCTTTCTCTTCAATTAAGTGGATATATGGGATCACAGAAACAGAGGCATAATAATTGCAAACGTTTTCTTGAAGTTACCTTAAAATGGTATTTTCCAACAACACCTAGTCATGAAAAAAATTTTTACCACATAAATACTATTCACCTTTCTGGACTTTCTTCTCTTACTTCACATGTCAGTCCTCCTATCAGAGTGTCTGTACCAAGAGTTAACCTCATACATTGGTGTTAATGTACCAGTGCATATCAGGGCATATTTTACCATCTCTTTCCATTTCTTCCTCCCTGTCCCTTATTCAGAATGTCGTTATAAGCTGCCTCTCTGGCACTAAATAGCATTTGCAGTGGGTTGAATGATGTTCCCTGCAAATGATGTATCCATCCAGAAACTCAAATATGGGAACTTATTTAGAATAGAGGTCTTTTTATATATAATTAAGGTAATGATCTTGAGATGAGATTATACTAGATTACTGGAATGGGCCTAAATTCAATGACTGGTGGTTTCTTTATAAAAGAGGAAAAGGGATTTGAGAGGCAGAGACACAGAGGAATAGGCCATGTGAAGACAGAGTCAGGGATTAGAGTAATGTATCCACAATATAGGAGTACTAAGAATCTGGAAGAAGCAAAGAAGGATTCTCTCCTAGACCTGTAGAGGAAAATGGGGCCCTATAAACACTTTGATTTCAGACTTCTAGCCTCCAGATCTGAGAGAGAATAAATTTCTGTTATTTTAAGCTACTTAGTTTCTGGATATTTGTTATAGTGGCCTTAGAAAACTAATAAACCATTCTCCTCTTTCTGCTGCTAAACTAGACATGTAAGGACAAGAACAAAATGTATTAAGCTATTAAGCAGCACCTTCTAAGAAGCTATGTCTTCTTTGTGAGAAAGTATATTGTATGCTGCATATTTTGAAATAGAGTCTGGGGCTCAGATGGCGTTGGAGTAGGAAGGAGCAGATTCGGCTTCCCTCTGCTCAGGGGAGAAAATTCTGGCTGATCTATGGATCAGCCAGAATTTTGTTGGTAGAGAAGCAACCAACCAACATACTTCAGCATATGTGAAAATAGGGGACCAAGGATTGTGGTGGAACTGAAAAACCGGACCGTAAGAAGAGTGCTGCAATAAGGTAGGGTCCCAGGGATCAGGGTGGGGTCCAGGGGCTGCAGCCCTAGATCCAGTGCCCTCTGCTGGGCTTGCCACAGAGTCCTTGGGAGAGAGCTGGGACAACTGCTTCCTCCCCAGCAAACAAGGTCTGAGCGGCACTGGGAGGAATCCAGGTGCTAGCAAACACACAAGGGCTGTGAGCACCTTTGGAGGCTATGGACACCAGAGGGGCTGGGTTGCACAGCGGGCCCTGATCCCCGCATCACAGGTCTGGCTGGGGGGTCTGGCTGGGGGGTCGTTTTTGGCTTTGGGAGAAGCCAGGCCATTGTGTGGAGCAGCAGGCTTGAACAGGAGGAATTTCTCAAGAGGAAGGAATGAAAAGACAGACACTCTTTGGGGAATTCTCCTAAAGTGATCAATCGCTCCAGCCTTCCTGCCACCCAGCCGAGGGCATGCATACTCCCAGGGAAAGCATCCCCACATCCTAGTCCACAGCAGTAACCCTGGGGAAAGGCCTGATTCCCACACCCAGGGTGCAAGGCTGAGGAGCCACGTTAGCTTCCCAGACAGTGCGGGAGCCAGTCGCTGACCCAGGAAGAAAAGCCATACCAATCACTCCTCAGCCTACCTCAGCCAGCAAGAGCAGAAAATCTGGTTTAGCCACTTTGAAACCAAGAGACTTTTTAATTTGATTCTATTTTTTAACAGTTCTTAATATTTTAATTTTAGTGTTTTTATTCTATTTTAATTTCTTTTTCCTCTCTTTCCAACTTTGTTGTTTTATTCCTTCCTCCTTCCTTTCCTCCAATTTTATCTCTTCTTCCTTCCTTCGTCTGCCTTTTTTATTTTTATTTTTTAAAATTTTTTCTAAATACCTACAAGTGAGACAAAATCCTGGATCTGTGAAAAGACCAAAGTTGAACCCAAAGAAGGGGCATCACAACAGCTGAGACAGTGAGACAAATTTCACTCTTCTATTACAGAAGACCTGCAAGTTATTGCATATTTGTATTATTATTATTTTTCCAGTATTCTTACATCTTTTTAAATAGTATTTTTGTATCCCTCTTCTTTTTTTATAGTCTGCTTTGCTAGACTGGATATATTGTATGACCTGACAGCTTTCCCCTGATATCTCTTTCCATAGTGTATTGCTAATCTACTGTCCTTTAACTCACCTGTGTCCCATTAGCACACTACTCGAGGTTCTGTACTCCCTATTCTTGTTACCTAGATCTCATAGATTCTGTCATACAATTGCTGCCCTAATATTATTGTAACTAATTGCTGTTTCATGCAATTGTAATTACTTCATAATACCCCTCCCAGATCTTAGCCCATTTCAAAGTTTCCTGAACTCTATTACTGTAGTGGTTAACTCTATTCTCTCACATACTGCAACTATTTACTATCCTTTACTCTCACCTTACTTCAGAATCTGACCTGCCACAACCTCCCTGCTTTATAGATCCAACTCACAATCCCTCCTTCCCCAACAAGAGTCTTATCTTCTTTCCATCCTTTCTAAAAATCAGCTAGCTGGGTGGAAGATCACAGTTAACACTATACATAGTCAAAGGATCTCCTATCTCTTCTCTACTGGCTGCTACTGTAAATATCATAGAATACTCTCTTGCTGTCTTAAACCATTTTTCCTTCCCCCTCCAACTCATCACAAAAAAGAGCACGTGTAGACGGTAAACACCAGGATACCCACTGGAAGAGGAAACCCAACAACAAAGGAACCACTAACAGATAACAACAGAAGAGGGTGAAGGAGGGAGTGGTAACCACACAAACCTCAATCTAGGACCTATCTGGAAATACAACTAAACAGTAGAGACAGTACCCAATACAAACATCTGAACAAGAGCAAGAGAGAATCCTCAAAACCTTGCACACACGGAAGAACCAGCTTCAACACAACCTGCCCTCACCAGCACAACAAAATACAAGAGGTGCTGGACAGAGTGACCCTCATTTAACCCGCTGGTGAGAGGGAACCACCAAAGAAAGACCCAAAAACAATCAAAACCCAAAGGCAAAAACAAAGCCAACTTAAATGAGAGCCCAAGACCAGTGAGCTCGGGAGATCAAGGAAACTGCACCACTGAAACTCACTGCTATTCTACTAAAGAACTTCACACCACAAACCCAAGGAGCCAGAACAGATCAATGTAAGAAGCTGAGGCTAATAAGAAGAGTCTCACGAACAATGGGCAGACAAAGAAACAATCCCCAAATGAAAGGAAAGGAGGAAGCCTCAGAATGCTAAATGAAATAGAGGCAATTCAACTATCAGATATTGAGTTCAAAGCAATGATTGTCAGGAAGCTCAATGAGCTCACAATGAGCTACCAGAAACTACAGGGAAGCTACAATGAACTCACTGAAAACTACATCAACATGAAAAAGTAAATATAAACTCTCAAGAAGGGCCAAGAGGAAATGAAGAATACAATTTCTGAACTGAAGAACACAGTAGAAGGAATGAAAAGCAGGATCGATAAAGGAGAAAATTGAATCAGCGAGCTAGAGGACAAAGTAGAAGAACACACCCAGAAAGAGCAAGAAAAGGAAAAGAGGCTCAGGAAGAATGAAGAGGGATTAAGAGAAATGCAAGACAAAATGAAACGTAATAATATCCGTATAATAGGGATACCAGAAGGAGAAGAAGAAGAGCAAGGGATAGAAAACCTATTTGAAAAAGGAGTGATGGAAAACTTCCCTAATTTGATGAGGGAAAAAGTCACACAAATCCAGGAAACACAGAGAGTTCCCGTCAAGAGGAACTCAAAGAGGGTGACGTCAAGACATATCATAATTAACATGGCAAAATACCAAGACAAAGACAGAAGCTGAAAGGCAGCAAAGGAAAGGCAGGAAGTAACATATAAGGGAGCCCCAATAAGGCTAACAGCTGACTTCTCAATGGAAACACTCCAAGTCAGAAGAGAATAGCAAGAAATATTCCAATTATTCAGAAATATTCAGCCAGAGGTCTGAAACCAAGGCTACTTTACCCAGCAAGGCTCTCAATCAAGACAGAAGGCCAAATAAGCTTCCCAGACAAAAAAAGTCTAAAAGAATACAGCTCCACCAAACCAGCGCTGCAAGAGAGGCTAAAGGGCCTGCTTTGAGGAAAAGAAAGAAAAGAGAGATAGATAGAGAGAGAGAGTAACACAGGTATGAAAATGGCAATGAATAAGTACCTATCAGTAACAACTTTAAATGTAAATGGATTAAATGTTTCAAAAAAACATAGAATAGCTGAATGGATAAGAAAACATGACCCACATATATGTTGCCCATAAGAGACCCACCTTAGGAGAAAAGATCTACACAGGCTAAAAAATGAAGGGCTAGAAACAAATTTTCCAAGCAAATGGACAGGGAAAAAATGCTAGGGTAGCAATACTCATATCAGACAAAATAGACTTCCAAAAAAGGGCAATAAAAAGAGACCCAGAAGGTCGCTTCATAATACTCAAGGAAAGAATCCACCATGAATATATAAACATTGTAAATATATATGCACCCAACATAGGAGCACCCAAATACACAAAGAAAATCTTAGAGGCTATTAAGAAGGATATTGACAGCAACACAATTATAGTAGGGGATTTTAACACCCCACTGTCCAAAATGGACAGACCTTCCAAAAAAAATATCAACAAAGATATTGTGGCATTGAACAATGCCCTAGAGGAAATGGACTTAATTGATTAATATAGAGCCCTTCATCCCAAAGAAGCAAAATACATATTCTTTCAAAATGCACATGGAACATTTTCAAAGATAGACCACATGATAGGACACAAAGCAAGTCTAAACAAATTTAAGAAAATTGAAATTATACCAAGCATTTTCTCTGATCACAAGGGACTGAAACTAGAAACCAACCCCAAGGGAAGAAACCCAAAACAGTCAAAATCATGAGGATTGGATAGCATGCTATTAAACAATGAATGGGTCAAAAATGAAATTAGGGAAGAAATCAATATTTTTGGAAACAAATGAATGAACTCACAACAACCCAAAACCTATGGGACATAGTGAAGCACTCCTGAGAGGGAAGTTCGGAATGACACTGGTACACCTAAAAAAGATAGAAACATTACAAACAAATAACCTAACCCTATGTCTACAAGAACTCAAGAAAAACAACAAAGACAGCCCAGAGCAAGTAGAATGAAAGAAATAACCAAGATCAGAGTAGAATTAAATGACATAGAGACTAAAAGCACAATTCTAAGGATCAATGAGTCCGAGAGCTGGTTCTTTGAAAAGATAAACAAATTGGACAAGCCTTTAAGCAGGCTCATCAAGAAAGAAGAGAAAGGATCCAAATAAATGCAATTAGAAATGAAAGAGGGGAGATTACAAATAACACCACAGAAATACAAAGGATTGTAAGAAATTACCACAAAGAACTGTATGCCCAGAAATTTGAATACCTAGGTGAAATGGACAAATTTCTAGAAAAATATAATCTCCCAAAACTCAATAAAAAAGAAGCAGAAAGCCTGAACAGACCAATAACAGCAGAATAAATTGAAGCAGTAATAAAACAACTCCCGACACACAGAAGTCCAGGTCCAGATGGTTTCACCGGTGAATTCTACAAAGCATTTAAAGAAGAGCTAACCCCTATCCTTCACAGACTATTCCAAAAAAATTCAGAATGATGGGGGACTCCTAAACTCTTTTTATGAAGCCAGCATCATCCTAATCCCAAAACCAGATAAAGACACAACAAAGAAAGAAAACTTCGGGCCAATATAACTGATGAAAATAGGCACTAAAATCCCCGAGAAAATATTGGCAAATCACATCCAGCAACACATTAAGAACATCATACCCCATGACCAAGGGGGATTCATCCCAGGGATGCAAGGATGGTTCAATATTCGCAAATCAGTAAATGTAATACATCACATAAACAAAAGCAAAGACAAAAATCACATGATCATATCAATAGATGCAGAAAAAGCATTTGATAAGGTACAGCGCCCATTTTTGGTAAGAACATTTAGCAAAGTGGGAATAGAGGGAGCATTTCTCAACATAATAAAGGCCATATATGAGAGACCTACAGCCAACATCATACTCAGTGGGGAAAAACTAAAATCTTTTTCACTAAGATCTGGAACAAGACAAGGCTGTCCACTTTCACCACTCTTATTCAATATAGAATTGTAAGTTTTAGCCACAGCGATCAGACAATAAAAGTAAATAAAAGGCCTCCAAATTGGAAAGGAGGAAACAAAACTGTCACTGTTTCCAGATGACATGATAGTGTACATAGAAAATCCTATAGACTCTGCTAAAAAAGCTCTGGATCTAATAAACGAATTTGGCAAAACAGCGGATACAAAGTCAATATCCAGAAATCAAAGGCATTTTTGTATACCAACCATGAAACAGCAGAAACAGAAATCAGGAAAAAAATCCCATTTGAAATAGCAAAAAGAAAAATAAAGTACCTAGGAATAAATCTAAACAAGGAAGTAAAAGACCTGTATTCAGAAAACTACAGAACAATGAAGAAAGAAATTAAGGAAGACACAAACAAATGGAAACATATACCATGTTCATGGATTGGAAGAATTAACATCATCAAAATGTCCATAGTACCCTAAGCAATTTACACATTCAATGCAATACCTATGAAAGTACCAATGGCGTAATTCACAGACTTAGAACAAACATTTCAAAAATTTATATGGAATCATAAATGACCCCAAATAGCTGCTGCAATTTTGAGAAAGAAGAGTAAAGTAGAAGGGATCACAATACCTGATACCAAACTCGATTACAAGGCCATTGTAATCAAAACAGCCTGGTACTGGCATAAAAACAGGAACATGGACCAATGGAACAGAACAGAGAGCCCAGAAATAAACTCAAGCCTCTATGGTCAATTAATATTTGACAAAGCGGGCAGCAACATAAAATGGAATAAAAACAATCTCTTCAACAAATGGTGTTGGGAGAACTGGACAGCTACATGCAAAAAAATGAAACTCGAGCACCAACTTACACTTACAACTTACACCATACACAAAAATAAATTCAGGGTGGATAAAAGACTTAAATATAAGCCATGTTACCATTAAAGTCCTAGAGGAGAACATAGGCAGGAAAATCTCATATATTTCATGCAGCAACATTTTTACTCATACGTCCCCCAGAGCAAGGGCCATAAAGGAAAGAATAAACAAATGGGCTCTCATAAAAATAAAAAGCTTCTGCACAGCTAAAGAAAACAGTATTAAAATAAAAAGAGAACCAACTGTATAGGAAAACATATTTGCCAATGATACCTCAGACAAGGGTATGATCTCCAAAATATATAAAGAACTTAAACAACTCCACTCTAAGAAGACAAGCAACCCAATTAAAAAATGGGCAAAGGACTTGAACAGACACTTCTCCAAGGAGGACATACAGAGGATCCAGAAACACATGAAAAATCCCTGGCTGGTGTAGCTCAGTGGATTGAGCAGGGGCTGTGAACCAGTGTTGCAGGTTCGATTCCCAGTCAGGGCATATGCCTGGGTTGCAAGCCACGGTCCCCAGGAACTGCACATTGATGTTTCTCTCTTTCTCTCTCCCTTCCCTCTCTAAAAATAAATAAATAAAATCTTAAAAAAAAAGAAACACATGAAAAGATGCTCAATGTCACTAGCTATCAGAGAGATGCAAATTAAAACCACAATGAGATACCACTTCACACCAGTCAGAATGGCCATCATAAACAAAGCAGCAAACTACAAGTGTTGGAGAGGTTGTGGTGAAAAGGGCACCCTACTACACTGTTGGTGGGATTGCAGACTGGTGCAACCAGTGTGGAAAACAGTATGGAATTTTCTCAGAAAACTAAAAATAGATCTGCTTTTTGACCCAGCAATTCCACTGCTAGGATTATATCCTAAGAACCCTGAACCACCAATCCAAAAGAACCTATGCACCCCAATGTTCACAGCAGCACAATTTACAATAGTTAAGTGTTGGAAGCAACCTAGATGCCCATCAGTAAATGAATGGATCAACAAACTGTGATACATTTACACAATGGAATTCTATGCAGCAGAAAGAAATAAGGAGCTCCTACTCTTTGCAACAGCATGAATGCAACTGGAAAGTATTATGCTAAGGAAAATAAGCCAGACAGTGAAAGACAAGTATCATATGATCTCACCTTTGACAGGAATCTAAACAACAAAACCAACAAACAAGCAAAATATAACCAAAGACACTGAAATAAAGAACAGACTGACAGAATTCAGAGGGGAGAGGAGAGGGAATTTCAGGGGAATTTCAGGGGGAAAGGGGAAGGGTTTACAGGAACGAGTATAAGGACACACGGATAAAAACTAGGGGTGGGTGGAAATGTGAGGGAGGAGGGGAGGGTTGGGTGGGTGGGGTGGGATGGGAGTAAAAGAAAAATGTACTGCAACAACAATTTAAATAAAATAAAAAAAAAAGAAATAGAGTCTGAACTTCAGCTATCTCTTCTTTGGAGGAGACTACTTTTGTTTGCCAATTCAGTGAGCCTGGCTGGGGTCTATACATTTGCATTTAAAGAAATCTCACTAGATTCTGATCTATACAGCTGAGTTGGAGGATGAGGGAGCTCAAGGAAAGGTTAAATGCTTTTGATTGTGTGTGGCCTTTTCTCACTGGATTGCTCTTCTCTCTCAGGACTGCCCTGCTGGGCATGTGGTATTCCAAGGCTGGTGCCACACCTGAGTTTACTCCAGGTTTCATTCCTAAGATGGCCTACTACAGTCAGGCCTCAAGGACCAGGCAATCTGCTCTATTCCTTAGAAAGAAATAGTCTCTTTCTTTTCACAGTAGTTTACTTGAGCTGATCTTTCTTTGCTTCTTCTCACTCCCAAAGTTTAAGGACAAACATTAAAATGGAGTCCAGAGGTAAGCTGACAAATAAGTTTACTTTGAGTTGATATCTTTAGATCCAAAGGTAAAGTGAGCCCTTTTTATTACTTAACATATTCAGCATAAGACTAGTTAATAAATAATATCTATATTGTCAGTTTTATGTTTTGCATGCCCATGAACTTGTACAGAGCGTTTCTTAGTTATCTTGATATTTGTTAGTGTTCACAGACATTTGTTTTCCTGTCCTCTTCAACAAATACATTTTTCTTCCTGATTCACACAGGAAGTGCTTACTGCCTTCTTCCTGCCCAGACCCTTTGAGCCTCTTACTCTACTCTCCTCACAAGTTATTAATTAGCATCTTCCCTACTCAAACATAGCTTGGCACTGCTGGAACCATCTGTTTTAGCTATGGAATGAAATATTGACACTTCCACTTATGACAAAGATAAACTCACAAATAAATACTACAATCTTGTTATAGAAATATGAAGGATTTGGTACAGGTGTTCTGAACCCATTTAGGGTTATGTGGAGGTCGGTACTGACCAAGAGGAACAGAAAGTTCACAGCGAGGGACAGGGCCACTCCAAATCCCATTCCCGTGACTGTCACTTGTGCAGCGGATGGTGCTCTCCCCAATGAGATTGAAGGTCATCCCTCTGTCAGTGTGGGAGTCACATGTATAAGATATTTCTTTTCCGTAGGGAATGTTTCTCAGAGAAGTTCCTGTGTGTTTCCCATTCAGGATTGCGGGAGGATTTGGACAGAAGATCTCTAGAATGAAGACAAGAGCTATAAATTACATTAAAATGTTTATATTTTAATCTGACTTAATTCTACAGTTATGGGATGCTCTGATGCTGTTGCCAATAAAACAACAATTACACTCTTAGGGAGATTATAGACTGTGAAATAAATATGTTAGTTCTTTGCTGTGGTGCAGCTAAATGAAATGACACCTAAATCAATGTTTATTACAAAAGTCCAAAAGTGACTTTAGCACCCTGAACTCTTCAGAGAGTTAAGATTTCTGAATAATTGAGAGCTTATTCATTTGAAAAAAAGAGAAAACTTCTTAACTACATTAACAAGAAAATCATTGATGTAACAAGAAAATCATCCACTAACCCAATAAGCAGATTTTTGAGCACCTGGTGTATATCAACCACAAGATATACAAGCTCTTTTAACATTAAGGATCTTTTTCAGAGAAATACTTCAAAATATACATTTACTCTTTCTTTATTAGTGATGAAATCTTTTCTTGATGACTTGAGGCTAATATTCTCAAAAACAAAATGTTGACAGTAATGTCACATTAAAATGAAACATCCTCCATACTTCCGTGAATGCTCCAAAAGGCTCAGCAATGTTGTGACTTTTGAGATACTTACTAGTTTTTACAGGTTTTATTCCTCATTGAAGAAACACATGTTTCTTCTTTTGAATGAAACTATTTGGAGAAGCCCCTTTCCGCTTCTAGTTTGATCTGTATTTGGGAAAAGGATACTGCAGCTTGATAGAATCAGGGATCAACTAATCATAGGGTAGAGTAGCTTAATTAATGTTTATACTCTAGCAAGCAATTTTAGGTATATCTTTGGGTTGATGAGAGGGTTTTTTTTACTTCATGATTGATAACTATACTTTAAGAAAGTTAAGACTTTACACTAGGAGACTTCCAAATAAGAAAGATCTAATTATCAAGTTTCATTATATAAATCAGTACAAAAAGTACAAGTAATTTTAAAGTGAAATATTCATGTGAAAATTCTATTATAAAAATTATTTTTCAATAGTTATGATGAGAAGATGAAACAACACTCTGTTTGATTTAGTGAAGAAACAGACTGGATGTTTTGGTAGTGTTTTTGTATTTAACTCACTGTCATCTTAAAAACAAATAAACAAAAAATAACTCCCTTAATTCTATTTCCCTCTGCAGCTAAAGCTTCAGTTCTCTACATCCTTTACATTAGAATTCCTTTAAGATGTTGTCTATGAATTTTTACGCCCCTTCATTCTCCCTTGAACTCACTCCAATCAAGCATGTGCCCCCACAACTCTACTGAAACTGCTTTTACCAAGGACACTCATTACTTCCAAGTTGCTGAACCCAATGATAATTTTCTGCCCTCCTCTTACTTGATCTCTCTGTAGAATTTGAAATGATTGCTTGATCTCATCTCCTTAAATGAATTTCTTCACTTGGCTTCCAAGATATGCTCATCCTCCTGCTTTTTCTCTTAGTGTACCAGCTGCTTCTTCATCTCTTCTGCACATTCCTTCCCTTGTTTCTGGGTTCTTATTGTTGGGTTGACAGAATTTAGCCCCTGCCTCTATTGTTATTTGGCCACACTCATTCCCTAGGTGACCTCATTTAGTCTCTATTTTAATCTCTATGTGTAACCCATCAAAAAATCATGTCATTTCTACCTTCCAAATGTATCCATAACTCAAGCACTTCTTATCACCTCTGCCACTGGTATCCTGAGCCAACATCTGTGATTAGATTTTTACAGTAGCTTCCCAATTTGCACCCTCAGGCCTTCTACTATACCTGACTTTTGGCCACTTAACTGCTTTCCTAATCCAGCACGCTGACTGATACCACTGTTACCTCACTTGCAAACAACATTGGCTGTGTCAGCCTCCACAGGGTGAAAGACAGGCACCTGAACAGCCTCTGCTATTCTACTGCAGTGGAGGTCAATGCAACTCCCACATCTAAGCTAATATGACTGGATCCATGACCACTTTGGCTCCTTCTACTTCTAGGCTTAGATTGAGTACCATGCAGCAGGTCATGTGAGGTCCCCAGAGTCTGAACTGAGGGATGAGTGAACACAACATGGAAGCCAGGGGTTTAAAATTCTTGGGATAAACATGAAACAGGAGACAGAAAAGAGCCAACAGATAGGCTATTAATCCTCTCTCTGATAAAGAGATTTGGTTCCATATAGATGTTCTATGTGACCAAACAACCAACTTTTTTTCTTGTGAGGCTTATGGCCACCTTGGTAACATAGTATCTTTTATTTACTTGCTGTTTTTTCCTTCTTGCCTCCTTTTTTCTTATCCTTCGGGTACTGCTGCTCTGGGAGTGTACCCTCCAATGGAACATTGTTACATAAAAATTCCCTCTGGTACTATTTCTGGGGAATCTCCATCTAAGATATACCCATTCAACTTAGTCCTCTCTAGAGTAATGAGTTATATCATTAAAAGTAAGGTAGATTGTGTTACTTTTCTACTCACAATACTCCAATGGCTTTCCATCTTGCTCAGAGTGAAAACAAGTTCCTAAGGTTACTTTTCTCTTATCACCACCTACTACTGTTGTATTTGCTCACTCTACAAAAGCCATATAAGCTTCTGAGAAAATGTTAGGGCAGGGTTTTCAAAGAATGCCAAGAATATGTCTGCCTTGGGACTGTCTCTGAACTTTCTAATCCATCTGAATGGAAGGTTCTTCCTCTATGTTCTCACATTGGTAGTCAACTAATTGCTGTCAATGCTTAAATGAGAGCAATTACTTTCTCAGCGAGGACTTCCTTAATCACCTTATTTAAAATGGAAACTTTATTCCTTCCCTGGCATTCCTTATTGCTATTCACATAACTATTCTATTACATTACCTTGGTTGTTTTCTTAAACACTTAATATTATTTGAAATTGTTTATCTCTGTTTCCTTGTTTACTTGCTATTTTTAAGTATATTTATTTCTGTCCAAGAATATAAACAACATGGGAGCAGGGACCTAGTCTATCTTGTTTAGAGGTATAATCCAGGAGTCTAGAAGGCTGTTTGGGACATAGTAGGTGCTAAAAAAATGTATAGAAATGAATGGGTGATTCAGAAAATGATAGAAAGGCTTCAGTGTGTTCATCACTGTTGAGAAGAAAAAAAGAAAAAATTGACAAAGCTTCAGGGCACAGATTTCTCTCCACCTGTAAAGCACTTTTCCCATTATAGCACGTAGTATGCTACCAAATATTTTTTGGATGGGACCAAAAACCATTGGTGCTCAGGGTCACTTTTCCAACAAACATTCCTTATAACTAATACAACAAAGAAATATTTCTATCAAAAATAAAGATAAACAGAGCAGCAGACACTTGATCATTTCATGGGACAAAAACACAGTAAGAAAATAAAAAAAAGACAAAATTGCAGATCTGAACAGATATTCCTTCTACTCACGTTCACACACAGGAGCACTGCTATTCCAAAGACTTTTCATTCCAACCAAGACACAGTAACTAGTAGAATTTCCCTTTAAATGAAACCTAAGAAACAAAAGCAGTAGTGACTTGGGTGAGCATACCATTTCCCTTTTCCATTCTTTGATAGATCTCAGCTTCTTACTTTCTGCTAAAATACAATATAATTCTTAAGCAAAACCTAAGGTTAAAAGGCTTAGCTCATTTGGTTTCCCAGGATAGAGGTTCAGCAACAAAAACATTTTGAAAAACTGTAGCTTCCAGTGAAGCATAAAGCAATAACTGTCAAAACTCATGGTGTGACAGGCCTGTACTGAAGATGGAACAAAAAACTTGGGCATTTTCTTGATCTGGTTCCAGATCTTCAGGAGTCCATCTTTCCCTGACTTTTCTCTGACAGCCCCCTTTCTGTCATTAGGTGGAACTTTGTCCTCTAATGGAAAATGTGTAGCATTTTCTATTCTTAGTGGACCAGGAAGGAAATAGCTCCTGATTTATGAGTTGTCAATCATAGAACATGAGGAAAGATACCAAAGACTGTTCTTTTTGCCATTACATGTGAAGTATTCCTTAATCATACATATGGTATATCTGGATTCATAAAGAGTAGAGTCTGATTAACTAGTAAAAAGAAGAAAAGGTAAGGAGAGAGATTTCTTTCGAGCACTATTATCCTAAAACATCTGGTTTATTGTCACACAATTAGTCTTCTGACTTGCCTCCAGGTTTTTTTTTGTTATTTAATGATAGTCAAGGAGTCCTTGGAATTGTTACCCCAATAACAAATGTACCTGTTTAAGAGGGATCCAAATGTTTAAGAGGCTCAAGTATGTTTTGCTTGCTTGTTCATTTTGTTGATTAGGTTCCAGAGACATTGAAATTAAGAACAAACTGACAGTAACCAGAGAAGAGGTGGGAGGGGAGAATGGGGGAAAAGAGGGGAAGGGTTTTCAGGAACATCTACAAAAGACACATGGAGAAAACCAAAGTGGGATAGGATTGAGGGTGGGAGTTGGGGATGGCTGGGGTTTGGGGGAATCATGGGGGGGCAGATGGAGACAAGTGTACTTGAACAACAACAACAAAAAGAAATCCTAAAAAAAAAGCTCAATTTTATAAACAGAGTCTAATGGCCATTGCTAAACAGGGGCCTCTCACACTAGCCATGCTTCAGGGAGAACTGTCTATACTGAACTGCCTTCCTACCACACTCAATTGTTGCCCACCCTGTGTTCTTGCCATAAAGCCAGTTCTCACCCATTTGGAGCTGCACAGCTATATCCTCCTTAGCATCTCCACCAACAAATTAGAGTGGTTGCATTCTGACCAATGTTTTGGGTTTTGGGTGTTTTTTTTTTTAACCAAACTGTGTGGATTTGGAGTCCTCATTTACATGACAATGAACCAATTATGAACCAGGGAAGGGACTTCTGTCTATGTAAGTCAGCTCCACTCTGGGTCAGGAAGCACACTTTCCCTTTCACTAAAGACTATGTTTCCCTGGCTGGGGCTGACTTGCCTGACCACCTGGAGAGGGGTCCCAGGCCACCTTGCTCCAGGGCCACTTCTCAGCCATGCTACTCCACATTTGTGGTGTATCATAACTAAGCTGTAACACTATTGAGCTGTTTCACAGTCGTATTGTTCTATACTAAGTTGTATCACAATTGAGTTGTTCACAGGGGTGCTATTTGTTCCTAATCAGTATTGTGTCACAACTGAGCTGTGTGAATGAAGTCTCTTCCTTCAGTGCACACTAAATTGATGATTCTCATTTGCATTTAATGGGTACCAATGACTGTCAGTTGGATGGAATACATCGAGAACAATTGTTTTGCAGTATAGGCTTTTGATCTCTTAATAATGTTGGAACATAATACCGAGATCATTTAGAGTCACACAAAAAGTTAATGATATTACCTGAAATATGACCACCAGTCTTCAGGCTCCTTCAACCAACCCAATACCAATTAGATGACTTAATCACATTATAAAATACTTCTAATTAGTCTTTTATTTCTATTCCAAATTCTTATTGGTTTAAGAATATCCCAAAACAGTCATTGCATGTTACTTGTCTTATAATAAATGTTTTGATATATTAAACTTTTTTTTAAAAACAACCCTTCTGGAATATGTATTTCTTACTATCCACAAATTACTATTTATTCATACACTTAATGTTCCACCTAAATAATTAAGATCTGTTGTTACAGTTCTACTGTTCAGTTATTTATACATTTTCCTTTAAAAATATGTGTTCATGGTTCCATATAATTCTTACCATTCTTCTCAATCTTTGTTTTAGACATTAGGCTCTTTTAGTATGTTTTCCAGTAGGCAGCCCTCATCTTGGGTAAATCCCCTTTGCCCAGGGTATCAGCAAATTACCATTCAGTACTGAGTCTCTTATCTCTAATCCAGGTCACACTTACCCCTCATCACAAATGAAGGACACTTTTGCCCCAAGCTGGAGATTAAGTGGAAGGAGCACATGGCCATTAGGAAGTTGGTCCAAGAAGTTGGCACATGATTTCACTGGATGAAAGGAAAAACAGAGATAACACAGACAGTGGAGAATAAAGCCCCAAGCTAAAAATTTCAAACCAGACAAGAGTATATGTACCTGTGCATCTGGGTACTGCAGGACTCCAGTCTCCCTGGGGTGTACAGCGCAGAGAGGAAGCCCCTCTGAGGTCATAGCCAGGCTCACAGCTGTAGAACACTTCCTGCCCAGGGGAGAAGTTGTCCCTGTCACTGAGGGTGTGCTTACCATGCAGGATTTCTGGAGGTGGCTGACATACTGAGGAAAGAACAAGTGAAAGTTATTATGAATTGTGGGGAAATATTTTTTTGCTAAATCTTAACCCATCTAAGGAGTTAGAGACTCCAGGATAATTAGAGCAGTTTAGGTCTAACCAAGAAAGACAACTGACCAAATCATCGCAGGTTTGATTCCCAGTCAGGCACATGCTTGGGTTGTAGGCCACGGCCCCCAGCAACCACACACTGATGTTTCTCTCTCTCTCTCTTTCTCCCTCCCTTCCCTCTTCAAAAATAAATAAATAAAATCTCAAAAAAAGTTGTTTAAAAAAAAAGAAAAGAAAGACAACTGATTCCCCAACCTCTGCATTTTATTCATGTGGAAATTAAGAATAAGGGAGAGATGTAGCCAAAGTCCTCACAGCATGTAAGAGCTCAGATAGGGTTGTGATGTAAAAAGAAAATCATAGAACTTAAGGAAAGACTGTCTCTCACTATAGATTCAATAAGTATGGACTATGTCTCTATATTGGTAAACAGGCTCATAAGGGCACCTGGTGATGGAGATGGACAGTGCAGGCAAAACTGACTTCTGAGAAACTTGCTCTTGGTCCTTTTCCTTTTAGGATTGTTCTTTTCTCTCAGAGTTTCTCAGTTGTCAGTAAGGTCAAGACTAGGGTCCATTCTACAGATCACTTTCTCCTTTCTGTCTTTTATGTCCTGATGATGGGTGTCTTAGAGTGGTTGGGTGTGTTAGGAAACATTCTCCAGACCTTAGATATACACACTTTCCTTATTTTGCATTTTCCTCTAGGTTCATATTACCTTTCTCTTCCTTTCTACTGCAGTGAGAAGAATTCAATGACTAAAATTACTGGAGGCAAAGAAACAAATAAGCATTATTTTAATTTACAACCTAGGCCAAACTGGCTGAAAGAATCTATGCTGTTTATCTACAATGCAATTAAAAGCGATTTTGCCAGGCTTGTTCTCTCCTGGTCTGTGCTTCCCTCGAAATCTGTGGATGTCATGACTTATATGAGTTAAGGTCCTTAAGTATTTGCTTTCAATTACTATGCTTTGAAAACATTTTTCTTCCAATTCCAGTTGGAATTAGAACCACCACCCACTACTTTGCTCTCTTTTCTCCAATGCTGTAGACACTACTAGGGTCATCAGAACCTTCCATGTTGACATATTGCAAAATCATTTATTACTGATTTAGCATTTAATTGTGTCCATGCATAAAAAAATGATGCTGTAATCACAAGATTTTGGAAGTTCTGCTTTAGGTATTCTGGAACCATTTAGGATGTGGGGTAGTGTGCACTAACCTGGATGTCCACAGCGAGGGGCAGGGCCACTCCAAATCCCATTCCCTTGACTGTCACTTGTGCAGCGTATGGTGCTCTCCCCAGTGAGAATGAAGGTCGTCCCTCTGTCTGTGTAGGGGTCACATGTGTAAGTTACTTCTTTTCCATAAGGAAAGATTTCCAGAGGTTTTCCTGTGTGTCTTCCATTATAGATATCTGGTGGATTTGGACATAAGATTTCTGGAAAGAAGGCAAAGGCTGTGAGTTTCATTGAGGAGTTTTCTCCAGAGATATTCCACAGTCATAGGGTGTTAGAGTTGGTGCTACCTAAAAATCATTTGTGACAGTACCTCTTTGGTGTAGGCCTTGGATGAGATGAGCCAAATGAAATAGGATCTCAATGTCATTTTTCATTGAAAAAGTACATAACAAGTGGACTTGTCTTGAGTCTCCCTGATAGTTAAGTCTTCTGGATAATAAAACTTCACACCCTTAAATTAAGTTCTGAAACTTAGAAAAATTAACCCTTTGAAATCTAACTCACTCAGGTACTTAATAAATATTAGTTGAGCAGTAGTTAATCTGTGCCAGCCACTCATTAGGGCCCTGGCATATGGCACAGGCAAAGTCGTTGTCCCCCAAGGACCTTCTATTCTCAAGAAATATTTCTACAATGTACCCTCAGGTACTAATCACCCTAAAGATATGAAACTCTTCCTTGATAATGTATTTATACTGGCCATTAATCTTGATGATGACAGGATGCTGGCACAATGAATTGAAGCATCTTTGGTCATTGTGATAATTCTAAACCATTCAGGTTGCTGTGTTTTTCAAATGTTTGGATCTGTTTATGATTTAATTTTCTTCTTTACTTTCAACAAAGCTTCAAATAGTTACTTCTCTCTATTATCTGCTTGTCTGTTTAAAACACTTCCCTCCTCAGTTCTAATTGGCATTTCTAAGTAGCCTTAGGGTTTGGAGGAAGCTACTTCAACCAGCAAGAGTCATGAAAAATAAGAAAGATAGTTCAGTCAACAAGTGAGCTCTAATATATGTCACTAGGCCAGCCACTTATTATGTCTCATCAAGAAACATTGGGCTTCATGTATAGCAGACATCTACATGTAAGTTATTCTCGTATATTTTACTATAGAAAGTACATTTGACCTCTGAGTACATTTTTGGCAAAGTAAACATGGTAGTAATATTTTATATATACGTATATGTGGGTTTATATATTCCAATTTTTAATACCAAAAGACAAAGCAAAGTCTTATCTTCTTTTGGGCAACATATAAATGGGAAGAATAGAACTTGGTATTGACACTACACATCAGAGAATCACTGTTTGAATCAGCTTATTACTTATGAATCGCTCAATATAATTTATTTAGGGACACATTGAGAGCACAAGTAGTCTTGCAGTGTTTACCTCATGAAATGTTGCTCCTGACTTTCCCTTCATTCTTTCATTCCTCTGATCTATCACATCCATAACACTTATTTGTTCTTTGTATTTCCTGATCATCTCCCCACTTGGGTAAAAATAATATGGGAGAGAGAATTAACTGGTTCACTGCTATAACACCAGTGCTGAGAAGAACATCAAGTACCAGGTATGTGCTCAGTAAATAGCTGTGGGAATGAATGAATTTTTTTTCTATGTTGTTTTTAACACATTTTTTAAAATTTTATTTTAATCATTGTTGAAGAATGAATGAATTTTTTAATAGAGACAGACTCATTGATAGAGAAGGGGTTGACAGTTCTGGGCAGTGGGTGGGGGTAAAAGGATTGGCCTAAAAATGAAAATCATTATGAAGGATGACAACAGTGTGATGATTGCTGGAGTCTGGGGGCGTGGATGGAGGCAGAAAAGCATTGGGGGGAGGTTTATGGTCATAAAAATACAATAAAAAAGAATTATTAAAGAATAAAACGTAAGTAGTAATATGCATCTAAAGTAAAAAATGTTTTATATTTATATATTAGAAAACAAATAGAAAAATTTTAGAGTGATTGCATCCTGATGATAGAAAAAAAATGAAAACAAAGAATTAGGAAAGTAAGGGAGAAAAAATCATCACAGCCACACATTATTTAAACTCTCCTGACCTAAAGGGGACCTAGGATATGTCTCATAGAACACAGTTCAAAATGATAGAGAGAGAGAACAAATGCTTCCCCAAACTCATGGTGCACAGCAAAGTGCTTCACAAGAAACTGATCACAGATAAATACGCATAAAGTCAGCAACTATTTCACCATAATTCAGAATAAAAAACAGAAGAACCACCCAGGAGTGGTCATAGGTCAAAATAATAACCAGGTTAAGGGAGAAATTGTTCTAAAGTGTTTTTCCTTCTACTCACGTTCACACACAGGGACACTGCTATTCCAAAGGCTTTCTGTCCTGGCCAAGACACAATGACTAGCAGAACTGCCTTTTAGGTGGAATCTAAAGAAGATAAAGGTAAAGAATAGGTGAGCTGGTTTAGGAAAAACGCCATTCAGTTTACCAAACACCTTAACATCTGAAACCAACAGGTGGCACAGGTTTGGAGGCCATTCCAATCTACAAGGATCACAGCCTCCAGTAGGGGAGAAGAGTAAAACACTATTAGCTGGTCACATAACATGAAGCCCCAGCCTTAAAGAAGGTGGTCATAGCAGAGCAGCCATCTCCTTGATCCTGGACTCAGACTCTGAGAAGTGAATCTCTAACTGATTGTTCCAAGGCAAACCTGATAAATCTACTCATTGCCCTGATGGAAAACTCAGTCTTCTAACTCAACAGCCATCTAATTCTGATGGTGAGAGAAAAACTAAAACAGCTCCCAGTTTGGACTGAAAAACAAAACAAAAAGAGAATAACTGCAAAGAGAAAAAAGCCTGTTCTTTTGTCTCTATATCTGTGATGGCTGCGAGGGAGGCTTACAACAGCACGTTGGGCCCCTGGATAATAGATTTGAAAACTCTAGAGGAAAAGGAAAGGAGATCGGAAATTACTTTGTATGAAACCATCCAAAGTTCTCAATGTTACATGGGACCGTGGTGACTCCTAAATCTTATTGGGTACTGGCATTGGGTGCCTGCTAGGATTCCTTGGAACTGCCTGAGCCAGATCTTTCATTGCTCATGCTTGATCCTTCCCATGCCCAGATGTGCACACAGTGAAGAGCACCAGATTCACACAAACAAGTTAATGACCTTACCTAAAACCATCACATCAGCCACCATGATCACAATTCAGAGCACCTAACCCATTACTGACCAGTAGACATATGATTAGATTAAAATGCTTAGTGTTATACTTTTGCTCCTATTACAAATTTGACTTTTGATGATTAAAGAAATGACTGATAAGTCTTAAATAATCTTAATTATTTTAAGTAAGCTTTTTCTAACACATCAAACTTTTCTTGGGACTCTCCAAATTATTCTTAGCCTTCTCTCCTTGGAAAATATGTCTTTTGTTCCCCAATGTATAATATAAGTATTCATAATCACTCATTATATTATATGTATACATGCCATTTAATAAATGTCCCAATTTTCCCTTCATATCTCATATTATTAGTTCCACCTGTTTCTTACTCTTACTTTTCTTTTAGTTTGTTTGGTTTTTGTTTAAATCATTTTATTGTTGTTCAGTTACAGTTGTCTGCATTTTCCCCCCACCACTCCCCTCCATCCCAGCCAAATCCCCCTCCCCTTCCTCCCTGGCTTCCACCCTCCCCCTTGGTTTTGTCCATGCATCTTCTATGGTAGTTCCTGAAAACCCTTCCCTCCATTAATCCTCCCACCTGCTTGTCATTACTGTCAGATTTTTCTTACTTTCAGTGTCTCTGGTAATACTTTGCTTGCTTTTCCCTTTTGTTGATTATGTTCCAGTTAAAGGTGAGGTCATATGGTATTTTTCCCTAATTGCCTGACTGATTTCATTTAGCACAGTTCTCTCCAATTACATCCATGCTGTCTCAAATATCTGATATCAAACTGTATTACAAGGCCATGGTAATGAAAACACCCTGGTACTGGCATAAGAAGAGACACCTAGACCAATGGAACAGAACAGACAGCCCAGAAATGAACCCAACTCTGTATGGTCAATTGATATTAGACAAAGGGAAAAGAAGCATAAAATGGCATAAAAAGATACTCTTTAACAAAAGGTGTCGGAGATCTGCACAGGTACATGCAAAAAAAAATGAGACTCAATCACCAACTTACAGCAAACACAAAATAAATTCAAGGTGAATAAAAGACATAAATATAAGTCAGGGACACCATAAGGGTCCTAGAGGAAAACAATGGCAGCAAAATCTTACTCTTACTTTTCTTACACACTTTCAAAATTTAATGCTCCTGCAATGTTTTCTTTGTTTTTGTTTTTGTTTTTCGCCACACGCAAACCTCCCCTTTTGAATGAACTTTTAAGTCCAATTTCAGTCTCCAGAAGGCCTGGCAAGATCACACTCACCCCTCATCACAAACGAAGGACACTTTTGCTCCAAGCTGGAGATTAAGTGGAAGGAGCACACGGCCATTAGGAAGTTGGTCCAAGAAGTTGGCACATGATTTCACTGGAGAAACAGGAAAACAGAGATAACACAGGCAGGTGGAGAATAAAGCCCCAGGCTAAAACCTTCAAACCAGACAAGAGTGTATGTACCTGCGCATCTGGGTACTGCGGGACTCCAGTCCCCCTGGGGTGTACAGCGCAGAGAGGCAGCCCCTCTGAGGTCATAGCCAGGCTCACAGCTGTAGAACACTTCCTGCCCAGGGGAGAAGCTGTCCCTGTCACTGAGGGTGTGCTTACCATGCAGGATTTCTGGAGGTGGCTGACATACTGAGGAGAGAACAAGTAAAAGTTATTATGAGTTGTGGAGAATTATTTTTTTTGCTAAATCTTCATCCTACAAAGGAGTTAGAGACTCCAGGATAATTAGAGCAGTTTAGGTCTAACCAAGAAAAACAACTGACCCCTCAATGTCTGCATTTTACTCATGTGGAAGTTAAGAATAAGGGAGAGATGTAGCCAAAGTCCACCCATGAGTAAGACCTAGAGAATTAGAACCCACTCTTTTCCTGCATGAGGTTTAGAATATATCCATCAGTCCACCAGGCACAGGAACACTTCTTGTGGTGCTGGCTGTTTAGTACAAAGGTATTAGTATTGGTGGGCTTCCCCATGCACATACTTGCTAAAAGGTCAGCTAATTTACAGCTTCATCTTTCAGATAATGAGAAGATTGCCTGAGTGTAAATCTGTTTAACAGACTTCCCTTCATCTCTGTTATCGTGTTCTTATGATTGAAGTTAGTAAAATTCGTATTTATATCTCTGTCTGTTTGTCCTGCCAGCTGCTCTTTCAGTGATCACTCAAGCTAATACAGGTTAGTGGCAGCACAGTGAACTTCACCTCTATCCCTGTGCATCCACCACAATTATTTACCAAGGCACTCCTAAGCCAGCAATTATGGCATAAGAAGACAAAACAAGCCATCAAGAACAAAAGCCCCTCAATATGCCTGTCCTTGTACAGAGAGGGCACATTGCTTAGAGACTATGTGAGTCAATGTTTCAGCCCCTTTGATGTGTGCTTAGAGCATGAAAACTCATTTTAATGTTAACCTAATTGATATCTAATGAAAGATGAATGAAAAATCTCTTTGTCTTTTAGAAAGATACTTTCACTTTTAACTTCATATTCCTGATGGTAAAATGTACGATGTAGAACAGAATAGATACACCCTAAGGTCCTTGTGACTATTCTGAGGCTAGGATGTTGGTCTTGATAAACAGTCTTTCTTTCTGTGATGGGTGCTGATAGAAATATGGAAAGAACCACAGCATTCAAGCTCCAAGGTGTGACACACATGCATTCTATTCTTGGGTATGCCACTTACTGGCACCTGATTTGGACGATTTACTTAACCTCTGAGAGACCAAGCTAACGTCCGTGTCATATAGATAAATGATTAACACTAATTGAAAGGAAGATTGTGAAGAGTCAATGAGATAATGAATATGAAGTCCTTATGACACAGTTGACCAGAAAGTTCCCATCATTTTTCCCATGTAACTGAGACCCAGTAGTGTGGCCTCAGAATTATCCAATATGAGAGTCCCAAATATCTCCTTTCTTGATTAATTAAGCTCTTGCTTCTCCAGATAAAGGCACAAGCAGAGAATGCACACACACACGTACCCCTTGTTTATTTCATGCTTCATCCCAAGAAACTTTCCTCACACTCTTCACCACGCATCTTCTCCCCAGAACATACACCAATACCCTGGTCCTCCTACAGCCCGGGTCCTCTGCAGGCCCCTTCAAAGCCTCAGTCAGACTCACCCCGGAAGCAGCTGGGCAACTCTGGCTCCCATCTGTTTTGGGCCTGGCATCGCACACTGGAGGGTCCTTTCATGACAAAGCCAGGCTCACACCTAAACCTCACGATTTCATTTAAGGAGAAGAAGCTTCTGTTCTCAGACACCCTTATTCCATTTTCAACTTCTGGAGGGGTGCATTTATTAGGTATGAGGCACTGAGGCGGAGGGCCACTCCAGGTGCCAGAATGATTGTCTTCGCTGGTGCAAAAGATTGACTTCTCACCCACAAGGACAAACTTTTCCCTTGTCTTTTGATCAGTGCAGCTATAGGTCACCACTGTTCCATATGGAAAATACTCTCTGTTGGTGCCATAATAATCTCCATGGGCTATGGCTGGGGGTGGCCTGCAATGAATACCTAAAGAGGGGACAGCAAGTTAAACAAAACCTCAATATCTTACAAGCTATATTTATACATTTTGGCAAGCAGGTTTTTAAAAATCCGATTCACTAAATGTGAATACTCACAACACCTCTCTCTGCTCTTGTCTAATCTTTTCTAATGTACAGACATGTCTTTGCACAATGTAGATTCAGTGATCACGATGTGATGGCTCCTGCCCTTCTCCATTAACATTATTTCAATAAATGTGTCATATCTTAAGGGTCTCATTTTAAGTGAGAACTTTCATGTTATTTCAATGTAATTAATTAATTCAGTTCTCTTTCTATAGAAGGCATTTGGCACGATTCTATTGGTTAGTAATATGATGCAGCACACAGTATGGCATCTTTACCAAATAAACAAAAACAAAATCTCTGGCACAACTAATAAAATAGAGATAAAGCACAAATATAAAATATCACACCTGACCCAATAGTCACAGATTCAGAAGAAATGAAAATAACTGAGTATGTGTTCCACTGTATCCTAGTAAGTTGGAAAATGTGAGTATTAAGGATGTAGTGCCAATATTGCCAACGTTTTGCCAAATATTGAGTCAGAAAAATGGAGGATATACAAGTGGGGAAAATGTGTTAAAATGCTACTCGTAAAAACATTTTGAAAAAACACACCTCATTTTATGGACAAATTAAGTCTAATATCTAAGTATGAGATTACTCCGAGGCATTTTAAAGCTTTCCAAAGCATACAACATATTTTCCGTCATTTTTGGCAGGTATACATTAATGTAGAAAGATATTTCTTTATTTATTTTTACTTTAAAAATATTTAAGAAGATACAGATTTCTTGTAGAAAATTTATAAAATATAAATGAAAATTATCTTTAAGTCCATTGCCTAGAAGCACCACTGGTAATTCTTTAATCTGTAATCTTAAATAAGAGCAGACAAACACACCATGTTTTCCAAAATACCTTTGTTGTCTTAATAATATTTCAGTGTAACAATGTATTCTACAGTTTAATTTTTTTTTTAGCTTGGGATAGATTTTTTCTGTATTTCTTTATTTTAGTCATTGTTCAAGTACAGTTTTCTGCTTTTATTTGCATTCCAGCCTACCCACCCATCCCTCCCCAACTGCCTCCCATTTCAACCCCCCCCCCCCAGGTTTTTGTCCATGTGTCCTTTATATTTGTTCCTGTAAACCCTTCCCATTCTCCCCTGAAATTCCCTCTTCACTCCCCTCTGGTCACTGTCACCCTGACCTCTATTTCACTGTCTTTGACTATATTTTGCTTGTTTCTTTGTTTTGTTGTTTAGGTTCCTGGTAAAGATGAGATCATATGGTATTTGTGTTTCACTGCCTGGCTTATTTCGCTTAGCATAATGCTTTCCAGCTCCATCCATACTGTTGCAAAGGGTAGGAGCTCCCTTCTTTCTTTCTGCTGCATAGAATTCCATTGTGTAAATGCACCATAGTTTTTTGATCCATTCATTTACTAATGGGCACATAGGTTGCTTTCCAGCACTTAGCTGTTGTAAATTGTGCTGCTATGAACATTGGGGTGCAAAGGTTCTTATGGATGGTGTTTCAGGATTCTTAGGATACAGTCCCAGCACTGGAATTGCTGGGCCAAGAGGCATATCTATTTTTAGTTTTCTAAGGGAGTTTCATACTGCTTTCCATAGTGGTTGTACCAGTCTGCAGTCCCACCACCAGTGCACTAGGGTCCCCTTTTCTCCACAACCTGTCCAACACTTTTTGTTTGTTGTTTTGTTTATGAGGGCCATTCTTACCAGTGTGAATTGGTATCTCATTATGGTTTTAATTTGCATCTTTCTGATAGCTAGCAATACTGAGCATCTTTTCTTGTGTCTCTTGATCCTCTGTATGTCCTCCTTGAAGAAGTGTCTGTTCAAGTCCTTTGTCCAGTTTTAATTGGGTTGCTTGTCTTCTTAGAGTGGAGTCATGTAAATTCTTTCTTTATTTTGGAGATTAAACCCTTGTCTGAGGTATCATTGGCAAATATATTTTCCCATACATGTGGTTTCCTTTTTATTTTAATACTGTTTTCTTTAGCCACAGAGAAGCTTTTATTTTGATGAGATCCCATTTGTTTATTCTTCCCTGTATGTCCCTTGCTCTAAGGGACATGTCAGTAAAAATGTTTCTGCATAAAATATCTGAGATTTTCCTACCTACATTCTCCTCTATGATTTTAATGGTGTCAGGGTTTATATTTAAGTCTTTTATCCACCTTCAATTTATTTTTGTGTATGGTGTAAGTTGGTGCTTGAGTTTCACTTTTTTGCATGTAGCTGTCCAGTTCTCCCAACACCATTTGTTGAAGAGGCTCTTTTTACTCCATTTTATGTTCCTGCCCCCTTTCTCAAATATTAATTGACCATAGAGTCTTGGGTTTATTTCTGGGCTCTCTGTTCTGTTCCATTGGTCCATGTGCCTGGTTTTATGCCAGTACCAGGCTGTTTTGATTCCAGTGGCCTTGTAATACAGTTTATATCAGGTATTGTGATCCCTTCTACTTTACTCTTCTTTCTTAAAATTGCAGCAGCTATTTCGGGTCATTTATGGTTCCATATAAATTTTTGCAGTGTTTGTTCTATGTCTGTGAAATATGCCATTGGTACTTTCATAGGTATTGCATTGAATGTGTAAATTGCTTTGGGTAGTATGGACATTTTGATGATGTTAATTCTTCCAATCCACGAACACGGTATATATTTCCTTTGTTTGTGTCTTCCTTGATTTCTTTCTTCAGTGTTATGTAGTTTTCTGAATACAGGTTGTTTACTTCTTTGGTTTGGTTTATTCCTAGGTAGTTTATTTTTCTTTTCACTATATCAAATGAGGATGTTTTCTTGATTTCTTATCTCCTGTTTCATTGATGGTGTACAGAAATGCCTTTGATTTCTGGATATTGACTTCGTATCCCGCTGTTTGGCCAAATTCATTTATTAGGTCAAGTAGTTTTTTGGCTGAGTCTATTGGACTTTCTATGGACACTGTCATGTCATTTGCAAACAGTGACAGTTTTGTTTCCTCCTTTCTGATTTGGATGCCTTCTATTTCCTTTTCTTGTCTGATTGCTGTGGCTAAAACTTCCAGTACTATGTTGAATGGAAGTGGTGAAAGTGGACAGCCTTGTCTTGTTCCTGATGTTAGGGGAAAAGTATTTTAGTTTTTGCCCATTGAGTATGATGTTGGCTGTAGGTCTCTCGTATGTGGCCTTTATTATGTTGAAGGATGGTGCCTCTATTCCCACTTTGCTGAGTGTTTTTATCATAAATGGGTGCTGTACCTTATCAAATGCTTTTTCTGCATCTATTGATATGATCATGTGATTTTGGTCTTTGTTTTTGTTTATGTGATGTATTACATTTACTGGTTTGTGAATATTGTACCATCCTTGCATCCTTAGAATGGATCCCACTTGGTCATGGTATATGAACTTTGTAATGTATTGATGGATGCGGTTCGCCAGTATTTTGTTGAGGATTTTCATGTCTTTGATCATCAGCGATATTCACCTCAAATTTTCGTTCTTTGTTGTGTCTTTACCTGGTTTTGGGATTAGGATGATGTTGGCCTCATAAAAAGAGTTTGGGAGTGTTCCATCTTTTTAGATTTTTTGGAATAGTCTGTGACAGATAAGGGTTAGCTCTTCCTTAAATGCTGTGTAGAATTTTCCTGTGAAACCATCTGGTCCAGGGCTTTTGTGTGCCAGAAATTTTTTGATTACTGCTTCCATTTCCTTTGCTATCATTGGTCTGTTCAGGCTTTTTGCCTCTACTTCATTGAGTTTTGGAAGATTGTATTTTTCTAGAAATTTGTCATTTCACCTAGGTTTCCAAATTTCTTGGCATACAGTTCTTTGTAGTAATTTCTTACAATCCTTTGTATTTCTGTGGTATCAGTTGTAATGTCTCTCATTTCTGATTGTGTTTATTTGGGTCTTCTCTCTGTTTTTCTGGATGAATCTACTTAAAGGCTTGTCAATTTTGTTTATCTTTTCAAAGAATCAACTCCTGGATTCATTGATCCTTAGAATTGTGCTTTTAGTATGTATGTTATTTAATTCTGCTCTGATCTTGGTTATTCCCTTCCTTCTACTTGCTCTGGGCTGTCTTTGTTGTTGTTCTTTGAGTTCTTGTGGACATAGGGTTTCTATCTTGTAGACATAGGGTTTCTATCTTTTTTTAGGAAGGCCTGTATGGCTATGAACTTCCTTCTCAGGACTGCCTTAGCTGTGTTCCATAGTTTTATCGTTGTTGTGAGTTCATTTTCATTTATTTCCAGAAATATCTTGATTCATTCCCTAATTTCATTTTTGCCCCATTCATTGTTTAATAGCATGCTATTTAATCTCCATGATTTTGAGTGTTTATTGTTTTTCTCCTTGGGGTTGGTTTCTAGTCTCAGTCCCTTGTGATCAGAGAAGATGCTTGGTATGGTTTGAATTTCTTGAATTTGTTGAGGCTTGTTTTGTGTCCTATCATGTGGTGTATCTTTGAAAATGTTCCATGTACATTCGAAAAGAATGTGTATTTCGCTTCTTTGGGTTGAAGGGCTCTGTATATATCAGTTAAGTCCATTTCATCTAGGGCATTGCCACAATGTGGCACTGTTCAATGGCACAATATCTTTGTTGATATTTTGTTTGGAAGATCTGTCCATTTTTGACAATGGGGTGTTAATATCCCCCACTATAATTTTGTTGCTGTCAATATCTTTCTTGAAGTTCTCTAAGATTTTCTTTATGTATTTATGTGCTCCTGTTGGGACTGCCCTGCCTGGTCTCAGGAAGCTATAGCCCTCCTGACTTAGGCTGAGTGAAAGACCTCCCGACCAGAAGCCATGAAGGAGACAAAACTTATTTCCCTGGCATGAACGCTGCCTGTTCTAATGTCTGGCTCTCATTGCATGATCGGCAGTCAATGACAGGTAACAATTCTCTAAGAAAGAGAATGAATGTAAGACAGACTCGATCATGTGAGAATGCCCTAAGGGAAGAGACTCGGAGCTGTGGATACCAAGGGGTGATGGACATCAACCCCTGCCCCCTCGGATTTGTCAAAGCCTGAGTCCTTGTTAGAAATCCAAGTGTCCTGGCTGCTTTTGTCTTCTCTGTTAACTCACGACTGTGGAAATAGCAGGGGCGGTGCAGCCCAGACCAGAAACGGTGGAACCCTGGGGTAATCAGGCCTGGGACATAGAATATGCAAGATCCTGTGATATGTTTGCTGGAGGATGTTATTAACTTGGAATTTAAAGGTACAGACAGGAAACCTTTGGAACCTGTAGTCCTTTCATATGTTAAAACCCCAATCATTGCCCAGAATCACAGTGGGGGTTCTGTCTGCATCTTTGTAAGTCACCTACATCTTTTGATCTTTTATGCCAGACTGTGAATCCAATTCTGTTTTCTGTGAAACTAGTTTCTGTGAAATTAGTTTCTGTGAAACTAATTCTGTTTTCTCAATAAAAATCTGCTTGGGCATGGAGACGAGGTGATCTCCCCACTAGAGAGAGTCGCCATTCTGTTTTTACTTCCCCACAGAAACTTCTTGACTCTGTGTATGTCTTTCTCGTGTTTTGACGAGCCATCCGCAGTGTTCAACTCTCACTGCCGTCTGGTGAGCATGCATCATGCTCTTATGTTGGATGCATATATATTTACAATGTTTATGTCTTCTTGGTGGATTCTTCCCTTGAGTATTATGAAGTGACCTTCTGGGTCTCTCTTTATGGCCTTGTGTTTGGAAGTCTATTTTGTCAAATATGAGTATTGCTACCCTGGCTTTTTCTTCCTGTCCGTTTGCTTGGAAAATTTGTTTCCAGCCCTTCACTTTCAGCCTGTGTAGGTTTTTTATCCTGAGGTGGGTCTCTCATAGGCAGCATATGTGTGGGTCATGTTTTCTTATCCATTCAGCTATTCTATGTCTTTTAATTGGAGCATTTCATCCATTTACATTTAACGTTCTTATTGATAGGTACTTATTCATTGCCATTTGCGTATCTGTGTTCCTCTCTCTCTCTCTCTCTCTCTCTCTCTCTCTCTCTCTTACTTCGTTTCATTAAAGCAGTCCCTTTAGCATCTCTTGCAAAGCTGGTTTGGTGGAGGTGTATTCTTTTAGACGTCTTTTGTCTGGGAAGCTTCCTATTTGATCTTCTCTCTTGATTGATAGCCTTGCTGGGTAAAGTAGCCTTGCTTGCAGACCTCTGGCTGTCATTACTTGGAATATTTCTTGCCATTCTCTTCTGGCTTGGAGTGTTTCCACTGAGAAGTCAGCTGCTAGCTTTATTCGGGCTCCCTTGCTGCCTTAAAGATTCTCTCTTTGTCTTGAAATTTTGCCATTTTAATTATGATGTGTCTTGAGGTGGGCCTCTTTGTGTTCCTCTTGATTGGGACTCACTGTGTTTCCTGGATTTGTGTGAGTTTTTCTGTCATATAATTAGGGAAGTTTTCCATCATTCCTTTTTCAAATAGGTTTTCTATCCCTTGCTGTTTTTCTTCTCCTTCTGGTATCCCTATTATATGGAAATTATTATGTTTCATATTGTCTTGCATTTCTCTTAATCCCTCTTCATTCTTTCTGAGCAGGAAGACAGCATACCTTGTTCAAAGAACAAGGAGGAAGGGAGAGAGCCACTGCTTCAATACATGACCTGATGCTGAGAGTTGACAGAGAGGAAGCTGGGCTACTTTCACTAACTTTGCATTTGTTTACTTCCCTGAAGAGAATGATCTTCAAATTGGGAAATGTTCACCCAACAAAAGAGGAAGCTGGGGGCTGTTTTAACTAAATGATACACCAAGATAAGGAAAAAAACAGAAAGACCTGGGAGCTTAGAACACTGCAAGCACTTTTCATCAAATGACCAGTCTCTTTTGAAATATTGGAAGAACATCATTGCCAAGAGAAATGAGACTGTTTCTTAGTAATTCCAGGGGGGTGATGCTAGGATTAACTGGTGGGACAAATAGGAAGAGATTGTAACTCACGTTCACAGAGTGGTGGCTCCATATCCCAAATGACAGTATTATCTGAGATGATACATTTGGCAGATGGGTGGCCAATGAGATGAAACCTGAAGGTAAAAAGTGAAAATTATTCCATCCACCTCCCATCAGCTTCCTCACAGCAGGAATACAAGGCAGATCTGACAACGTTTGATCTGGGGGAAGTCTAGGGACTAGCATAAAGTCCACTTGTTTGATCTGGGTTTTCTTGTTTCTCTTTTCCTATCCTCTAACTATTGCAAGGGCTATTTCATCTTTAATTTCTCATGACAATACTCTGCTTCTTAATTTTTGGCTTCATTATGGATTGCACCAGGAACCAAAATAAACAATCCTTTTGTAGACCTGTTCAATACTTTACCTCTTAAATTCTGTATTTTTCTCATATTATTATTAGTGCCAGTTTTAAATCTTTGTATTTTTCTAATATGCATATATAATTAGCACTGCTATGTCATTTTAACTTAGGCATGGTTCTTGTAAGCATCATTATATGTGGTGCTCTTGATCCTATTTACAAGCCATTGTATTTTGTATATGAAGCAGAAAGGTGAACTATTTTAGGTGTTCTAATAAATTGAAAGTTAAATATGCAATTTTAATTTCATTAGAAATTTCATTTCATGTGTGCATGTGGCATATCTACACAAACATTTGTACTTAGGTCTATATTCTCAATTATAGTGTAGTCAAAATATGTATAGTTTACCTATTGCCCATGTAATATAAGTATAGCACATATTTTCTTGCTCTCTCCAATTTTTTTCAAGTTTTATGGATACATTTTATAACTTTGGAGATTGTTATTTAATTATTACATTGCAGAGTTACAATTTTGAAAAATTAGTTCTATCATTCCATTAGGGTTCTTAACTTTGTTGAAAATATTTGACCATGCTTTTTGAAAATTATGTGTTTTTTTTCTTTTTTGGATTTTACAAATTTTACATCACTGACAGTTTTTTATACTTCATCATTTTTCATTTAAAAAAAACTGTTTCTGGATGGCCTGGATTTTTTCCTACTGTGTATACTTATGTGTCATAACTTTTTCGTGAATGTATATTTGGAGGCTATAGACATGAATATAGCTTGGCTCATTAGAAACACTATCTTTTGCAATTTAGTGATGGAAAGGATTACAGTTATATCAATGTGCACAACATTTTTGCATGGTTTATAGTTATGAATTTCCCTTCTGAATTATTGAAGCCACTAAAATTTCTTTTATTTTTCTTCTTTCATATTTAAAATAAATTTATCAGCATGGCATTGGTTAATATTATTTATAGGTTGCTAGTGTACAATTCTATAATACATTATCGGCATATTGCAATGAGTGTTTGCCACCCAAATGTAATCTTTTTCCCTGAAATAAGAATGTTTCCCTAGTGATGGGTGGGTATGCATTATTATTTTTCTTTCTACATTTTTTACCGGTATTTTGAATCCTCATACTGTCTGTTTACACATACCTTCTCTTTGGTCTCTTTCTTTATTCTATTTCACCAAATTCACAGAGAATTTGGTTGTTCATTTCTTACTTTCTGTACTAATTTTATTCAATATTCAATGTGTTTGTCATAGATTTTGAGTTTGACAATTGTGCTTTTCATTCGTGTGCAAACATTCTCAGTTTTCAAGGGGCTTTACAGAAACAGCATGCAACTGAATCCTACTAAAAATGTAAACAGGAGTGGATTCCAAGATGGCTTCAGAGTAGGTGGAAGCTACACAGACTGGCTTTTGGCACTCACCAAATTTACAACTAAATTACACAGCCGCCAACCTGAACAACCAACTGAACTCTAGCTGACCTGAAATATTAAACCAAGATGTACAGAAGAAGTCACATAGCTGCTGGAAAGACAGGAAGAGATGCAGGAAATGATAGCCCCTGCATTCAGGTGCAGCAGTGGCCTCAAAGCCAGAGAGACAACATGGCTGCAAAACTCCATCCTCCTAGGAGTGTGAGGTTTCATCCCCGTGCAGGGAGACCCAGCCTAAGGGCAAGAGAGACAAGAAGGGGGAGCCCTCATAGCAACTGCTGGTAAAAGTAAGTGGGAATGCTGTCTGCCTGAAATATTCAGATGGCACACTGCTAGGGAAGAGCCCTCCTATTGTTACAGAACCAGCTGGGGAGTTCACAGTGTAGACTCTGACTGCTGGTAGGGCCACATGGCCATCTCTGGGTTCTGTGGAGGGATCTGCTGGCTACACACAGAGGTGACTTTAAGGGGCTGTCTTTTTAGTGGTGATGCTTTTGGAGGCAACCCAGACAGTGGCCACAATATGTGGCTTGGGAAAGAGAGGACAGTGCACCCCACCTGGAGCGCACAGTCAGATGCCCGCCCATCACTTTTTGAGTCACTCAGCTGGCCTGGTCCTTGTGTCTTCCTGTAGGGTGGTTTCTGTCTAGGAACTAGATGGGCAAGTGCCAGGCTGTGTGGCTACATCGATAGGAGGCAAATCCAATCTCCATTGCTAGTTCAGCCTCTGCTACCCTGAGAAGGGGAAGAAATGTCTACTTCTTTTCAAAAGGGTTGTAGACACTGCCTATAATGGGAGACCATTAGAATGAGGACTGGCCATATATGAACAACCTACAGCCAACATCATACTGAAACACTAACTGAAAGTGAACCCTGTAATATTGGGAACAAGTAGATGTCCACCTTCAATTCTCTTGCTCAACATATTCCTGGAAAGAATATGTGGCTGGAAGTCCTAGACACAGTAAACAGACCAAAAGGAAAAATAAAAGGTATCCAAACTGGAAAGGAGGAAGTACAATGGTCATTATTCACACATGACACAATATTGTACATACAAAATCCCAAATATTCCCCCCAAAACCTCTTGGTTCTAATGAATGAATTGGACAAAATGTCAGGATATAAAACTAATATTCAGAAATTGGTGAGAATTTTATGCACAAATAATGAACTATCAGAAAGAGAAACTACAAAAACAATCCCCTTTACTATTGCAACAGTAAAATAAGGTACCTAAGAATAAATTTAACCAAGGAAGTAAGAGTACTGTACTTGGAAAACTGTAGGACATTGAAGAAAGAAAATGAGAAAGATACAAATAGGTAAGATAGAAAAATTAACATCATTGAAATGTCCATACTACCCAAAGCTATCTGTGGATTCAGTGAAATTCCACTAAAATATCAACGGCATGTTTCACAGATCTAGAACAAATAATTCAAAAATTTGTGTGCAACCAGGAAAACCCTGAATAGCTTCAGCAGTCTTGACAAAGAAGAACAATGCTGGAGGTATCACAATGTCTGATGTCAAACTATACTACAAGGGCATTGTAATCAAAACAACCTGATACTGGCATAAGAACAGGCATGTAATCAATGGAAAAGCACAGGGAGCCTGGGAATCAACCCATGCCCATATGGACAATTAATATTTGACAAAGGATACAAGAGCATACAAGGAAGTAAAGGTAGTTTCTTCAAGGAATGGTGTTGGGAAAACTCTACAGGTACATGTGAAAAATGAAACTAGACAACTAAGTAAGTCTATGCACAAGAGAAACTGAAAATTGAAAACAACCTGTCAGTTGTAAAAGCATAAAAATTCTACAAGAAAACATAGGCAGTAAAATCTCAGACATCTCACATAGCAATATGTTTGCTGATATGTCTCCTAAGGTAAAGGGCACAAAAGAAAAATAAATAAATGGGAGTATGTCAAACTAAAAAGCTTCTTCACAGCAAAGAAACCATAAAAAAAAAGAAAAAGGGAACCCACGTCATGGGAGAACATATTTACCAATGATATATCCAATAAGGGGTTAATTTCCAAAATATATAAATAATTTATACAATTAACACCAGGAAGGCAAACAATCCAATTTAAAAAGTGGGTGGAATAGCCGCAGCAATTTTGAGAAAGAAGAACACAGTAGAAGGGATCACAAACTATGATCCCTTCTGATATAAAACTATGTTACAAGGCCTCTGTAACCACAACAGTATGGTCCTGGCCTAAGAACAGGCACATACACCAATGGAACAGAATAGAGTGCCCATAAATGAACTCAAGTCTCAATGGTCAATTAATATTTGACAAAGGGGGAAGAAGCACAAAATGGAGGAAAAAGGACCTCCTCAACATATGGGGTTGGGAGAGCTGGACAGCTACATGCAAAAAAAATGAAACTGGATCACCAACTTACACCATACATAAAAGTAAATTCAAGGTGGACAAAAGACGTAAGAATAAGTTGTGACACCATCGAAGTCTTGGAAGAGAAAGATAGGCAGGGAAATCTCAGGCATTCTATTCAGCAATTTTTTCACCTATATGTCCCCTACAGGAAGAGGCATATGGGAAAGAATAAAAAAAAATGGAATCTCATCAAAATAAAGAGCTTCTGCACAGCTAAAGAAAAATAGCATGCAAATGAAAAGAGAACTAACTCAATGGGAAAACATATTTGCAAACGATACCTCACACAAGGGTTTGATCTCCAAAATATATAAAGAACTCACATGACTCCATTTTCAGGAGGAAAAAGAATCCAATTATGAAATGGGCAAAGGACCTGAACAGACACTTCTCCAAAGAAGATGTACAGAGGGCCCAGAGACATATCAAAGGATGCTCAGCATCACTAGCCATCAGAGAAATGCACATTTAAACCACAGTGAGATACCACTTCAAACTGGTCAGAATGGCCATCATGAGCAAATCAACAAACAACAAGTGCTGGTGAAGTTGTGGAGAAAAGGAAACCCTAGTGCACTGTTAGTAGGAATGCAGGCTGGTGCAGCCACTGTGGAAAACAGTATGGAAGTTCCTCAGAAAACTAAAAATGGAACTGCCTTTTGACCCAGCAGTACCAATGTTGGGGTTATACTCTGAGGATCCTGAAACACCAATCCAAAAGAACCTATGCACCCCAGTGTTCCCAGCAGCACAATTTACAATAGCCAAGTACTGGAAGCAACCTAAGTGCCCATCAGTAAATGAGAGGATAAAAAAACTGTGGTATATTTACACACAGGAATACTATGCAGCAGAAAGAAGGGAGCTCCTACCCTTTGGGACAGCACTGATGGAACTGGCAAACATTATGCTAAGTGAAATAAGCCAGTCAGTGTGAAAGAGAAATACCATATGACCTCACCTATAAGTGCAACCTAACCAACAAAACAAAGAAGCAAGCAAAATACAATCAGAGACAATGAAATCAAGAATAAACTGACAGTAACCAGAGAGGACAGGTGAGAGGGATAATAGAGGAAGGGCTATCAAAAGCATGTAAACAGGACACATGGACAAAGCCAAAGGGAGTAGGTTCGAGAATGTGAAGTGTGGAAGGGTGGGGCAGGGTGGCATGGTAGGGTGAAAATGGAGACAACTGTACTGGAACAACAAGGAAAATGTAACAAGTACAAAATATGAGAAAAAAATGGTTGAAGGACCTCAATAGACACTTTTCCAAAGAAGACACACAGATGGCCCTTGAAATTTTCAAGGGTAGAAGTAATCATGCTAAGTAAAATAAACCCATCAAAGAGAGAAAAATACCATGTTTTTTTCATTTACATGTGGAGTCTAATGAACAAAAGAAACTCATGAACAAAATAGATACAGAAGTATGGATACATGGAACAGACTGACAGCTGTCAGAGGGGAGGAGAGGGGGACTGGATAAGAGAACGTGAAGGGAAATGTCAAAGAACATAGTTGCAGAACCTGCAGACACAGCCAACAGTATGGTGATGGCCAGAGGGAAGATGGGCCATGGTCTCAGTGGAAGTGGACAAAAGTGTGGAGCTGGAATATTGTAACAGTGTCAACAGTAAAACTAAAATTAAAAAATATACACAAACCAGACATTTTTCTAAAAGTCTTCCTGATCTCTTGGAAGTAACTCTGTTTTGTAAGAAGAAATACTGATTCTTCAAATTGGTCTGTTTACATTTTTTCTGGGATTTGTCATGAGCTTAATGGTTTCCTATTTCATACCATAGACAGGTTCACCTCACTCAGTAATGCAAGATGAAGAGGGAACAGTCAGAGTATTTGGAGACTGTACTTAAAAGTGCTCAGAGAAAGAGAAATGTATAGATTTACTCTAATTTTACTTTGTCAGATTACATGTACTCTGGTCTTCTAGGCCTTGGGTGGCAAATACATTTGCTGAGGACCATAAATGACTCTCCAGTGCCAACTGTGGCACAAATGTAGCCCAGATTCTCTAATGGGCTCAGCTGCTTGAACTGAGAGTGCAGTCAAGAGTCCACTGTGTGCTGAGCAAGGGTAACCACCAAGGGCAGGACAACCACCCAGTACAGATTTTATGTTGGACATTTTCACATGGGCCCTGTTACAGGGCTGTATAGTGTTCTTCAAAAAGGTATGTTAAAGTCCTAAACCCCAGTCCCCATGAATGTGACCTCATTTGGAAGTAAGGTCTTTGAAGATGTAATCAAGTCTACATGAGGCCATTAGGGTGGCCCTAATGCAATAGGAATGGCATCTTTATATAGATAGAACTTTGGACATAGAGCCATACAGAGAGGAGAAATGCTGTGTACCACGGGAGGCAGCGGGAGACACAGATGCAGAAGGAAGATGGCCATGGGAAGACAGAGGCAGAAGTGGGCGTGATGCAGCCACACACCAAGGAAGGACTGAGGCTACCAGTAGCTGGCAGAGGTAAGGAGAGAACCTCCCTCTGAGGCTTTGAAGGGATCATGCTGTGCCAGCACCTTAATTTTGAACTTCTGGGCTCCAAAACTGCCTGAGAATACATTCCTGTTGTTCTCAGACACCCAGTTTCTGGTACTTTGTTACAGCAGCCCTAGCAAACTAATAGTGCATTTACCTTTAAGATTTGTTTTCTCACACAATGCTCCATGGCCTTCCCTTTGTTCCAGCAATGTGCACTCTCACTTAGCGCTCTTTGTATGGTTTGGCTGTGCTCTCCCCACATTTTCTTCCTTTGCACGTGGTGAGTACCTCGCTTTTGTTGTATGCACTGTCGTGTTTTCCAGAAAGATTACACATGTCCCCCTTTATCTTATCATACCTTTGTTCATTTCAATCAGAAACTGAAACACTTAAGTTCAGGTTTTTAAGCAGCAGATGGTTATAGTCTAGTCCCCTTCCTACTGTGGTGTGACTAAACGGTAGTGTTGCCATTCTGCAAATCTTGAATCAAGAGATATTATGGCCAACTTACCCTGCATTACAAGTATACTTAATTCTGGATCCAAACTGGGTGTCTGTGTCTACGTGTACCATGCCATTCACTGGATCTGGAGGAGTTCTGCATACTTTACCTGTGGCAAGAAACAGAATTTTGGAGCCAGGTAGAGTAATCTGAACTTTTGTAGTACATGAGGTCCCAACCTCACTGTGTAGCTTTCCAACAAGTACATGCAATTCTGAAGGTTCCACATATTTTTGACTTACCCAACTGAGTTGGGCTGCCTACTAGACACCACATTAAGACAGACCTATCTAGACCTGTCTTATCTCTACCTGAAATTTGTCATCAAAATGTAAAGGTTAATTATGGATTTATTGCATAGTAGTTTCTTCCTACCTGGTTATTCAAACAATTTATCTTCCTTATTTTTTCCTGTAAAATATGTTGCTTTTCCTGCAAATATTTCTTGGAAAATTGTCATGAAACAAACGTGTCAACTAATAGTTAGGGATGATCTACAACACTGACTCTTACATCCACCCATGTGGACACTTGTGAGAAGCAAAGTTTCCTTGTCTCTAAACTTGGAAAACTTAGATATCCAAAGATCCTATGGATAATTTGACAGACATGGAAAAGCTCCAATGCAAGGTTTACTCACGTCGACAGACATCCTTGGCACTTGACCACTCCAGGTTGTCTAGACAACTGATAGAGAATGACTTCCTATAGTACCCAGGGAGGCATTCATACTTTAGTGATGTCCCAACAGGAAACTCAGATTCATTGGTTTGGATTTTCAGCTTAGCAAATTGAAAATGACCTGGGGCATTACAGTAACCTAGGAAACAAAATATCAAGAACATCACATTTAACATAAAGCTACCCAGGGACCTTATTTCTCTCTCCCGTTAGATTCAGTGTCAGAGCAAAAGAAACTTTTAGTCCTGGAGAGATAATTTCCACATAGCCTTGGGAGGGGAAGTTCCATTTTTAGCACAGGCCCTTTAGAAAATATACTTTCTGAAAGGGTATTCCACTCTTTTGGTCGCTTTCTTCATATAATTTACTGTAAAAGGCAGCTTCAATTCTTTTCCACATTTTTTTTTCTGGGAAAGAGCTCTCCTGCCCAGGTTCCACCATCCTGTCTGGTTTCTTTGTCCTTTAGTGCATCAAGTCCCCCATGGAGGCCTCTCAAGCATGAATGGAGAACTCAAGGTATTTCTTGACACTAGGAAGCAGCCACCAGTTCTGTAGGTCTGATTCCTAAGCAAGCCATTTTGACACAAGGAGGAACTGATAGCATCTCCTTAAAATAAAACAAACTAACATACTGCACTTACCATTACAAGAAGACATTGTTGGAAGTGTACATCGAATTAAATTCTAGCTTTAGCTCCACGCCCTTATGGCCTATTAGCTCTAGGCTCACTTTGGATTCAAAATGTGAATCCAATAAAGTACATATGCTTGGAAAAATAGAAATCATTTCCACTTGGTTTTGACAATACCTTCTCTTTTAGTTTTTCTTTCAGCTGTCCTCCACCTCTCTTCCAATTATTCATTCACATAGAAATGGTTATACCATAGCCAATTCTGCACCCAGAGTATTCTCATTTGGAAGATCATCAAGCAATTTCTCACCTCTTGAGATTACTCAATAATTTCTCTCTCTATAAATATTGACTTATTTTTAATATTTTCCCTGGGATATTAGTTTATTTATATCACCCTTTGACTTTTATCTTACAGCTGAAATATTCGTTCTCCTACCTTCCAGTTCAAGGAGTCCCCAGTATGATTGAAATTTACCCCTAAGGACAAATCACACATGAAGATGTCTCCAGTCTAGTAATCTAGATGATAGCACAAGGGTTGCCATCTCAGATAGAGGTCTGATGAAAAATAAAATCATAGAACTTAAGGGAAGACTGTCTCTCACTATAGATTCAGTGAGTATGGACTAGGTCTCTACATTGATAAACAGGCTCCTAAGTGCACCTGACATTAAAGCCATGGTGATGGAGGAGGACAGTGCAGGCAAAAATGATTCTGGGAGACTAGACCTTGGTCCTTTTCCTTTTAGGATTGTTCTTTTCTCTCAGAGTTTCTCAGTTGTCAGTAAGTAAGGTGAAGACCAGGGTCCCTTCTACAATTCACTTTCTCCTTTCTGTCTTTTATGTCCTGAAGATGGGTGTCTTAGAGTGGTTGGATGTCTTCAGAAACATTCTCCAGACCTTAGATATACACACTTTCTTTATTTTGCATCTTCTTTTGGGTTCATATTCCTGTTCACTTCCCTTTTTCTGCAGTGAGAAGAATTCAATGACTACAATGGCTGGAGGCAAAGAACCAAAGAAGCATTATTTTAATTTACAACCTAGGCCAAATTGGCTGAAAGCATCTGTGGTGTTTGTCTACAAAGCAATTAAAAGTGAGGCACACTCCCCAAATTTTGGAAGTTCTGCTTTAGGTATTCTGGAACCATTTAGGATGTGGGGTAGTGTGCACTAACCTGGATGTCCACAGCGAGGGGCAGGGCCACTCCAAATCCCATTTCCTTGACTGTCACTTGTGCAGCGTATGGTGCTCTCCCCAGTGAGAATGAAGGTCGTCCCTCTGTCTGTGTGGGGGTCACATGTGTAAGTTACTTCTTTTCCATAAGGAAAGATTTCCAGAGGTTTTCCTGTGTGTCTTCCATTATGGATATCTGGTGGATTTGGACATAAGATTTCTGGAAAGAAGGCAAAGGCTGTGAGTTTCATTGAGGAGTTTTCTCCAGAGTTATTCCACAGTCATAGGGTGTTTGAGTTGTTGCTACCTAAAAAATCATTTGTGACAGTACCTCTTTGGTGTAGGCCTTGGATGAGATGAGCCAAATGAAACAAGATCTCAATGTCATTTTTCATTGAAAAAGTACATAACAAGTGGACTTGTCTTGAGTCTCCCTGATAGTTAAGCCTTCTGGATAATAAAACTTCACACCCTTAAATTAAGTTCTGAAACTTAAAAAAAATAATAACTCTTTGAAATCTAACTCATTCAAGTACTTGATAAATATTATTTGGGCAGGTATTCTGTCCCAGCCATTCATCAGGGCCCTGGCATATGGCACAGGTAAAATCATTGTATTCCAAGGAGCTTCCATTCTCAAGAAATATTTCTACAATGTACCCTCAGGTACTAATCACCCTAAAGATATGAAACTCTTCCTTGATAATGTATTTATACTGGCCATTAATCTTGATGATGACAGGATGCTGGCACAATGAATTGAAGCATCTTTGGTCATTGTGATAATTCTAAACCATTCAGGTTGCTGTGTTTTTCAAATGTTTGGATCTGTTTATGATTTAATTTTCTTCTTTACTTTCAGCAAGGTTTCAAATAGTTACTTCTCTCTATTATCTGCTTGCCTGTTTAAAACACTTCCCTCCTCAGTTCTAAATGTCATTTCTAAGTAGCCTTAAGGTTTGGAGGGAGCTACTTCAACCAGCAAGAGTCATGAAAAGTAAGAAAGATAGTTCAGTCAACAAGTGAGCTCTAATATATGTCACTAGGCCAGCCACTTATTATGTCTCATCAAGAAACATTGGGCTTCATGCATAGTAGACATCTACATGTAAGTTATTCTCAAATATTTTACTATAGAAAGTACATTTGATATCTGAGTATATTTTTAGTGAAGTAAACATGGTAGTAATATTTTATATATACGTATATGTGGGTTTATATATTCCAATTTTTAATACCAAAAGACAAAGCAAAGTCTTATCTTCTATTGGGCAACATATAAATGGGAAGAATAGAAGAGCTTGGTATTGACACTACACATCAGAGAATCACTGTTTGAATCAGCTTATTACTTATGAATCGTTCAACATAATTTATTTAGGGACACACTGAGAGCACAAGCAGTCTTACAGTGTTTATCTCATGAAATGTTGCTCCTGACTTTCCCTGCATTCTTTCATTTCTCTGATCTATCACATCCATAACACTTATTCGTTCTTTGTATTTCCTGATCATCTTCCCATTTGGGTATAAACAATATGGGGAGAGAGAATTAACTCTTTCACTGCTATAACACCAGGGATGAGAAGAACATCAAGTACATAGTATGTGCCCAGTAAATAGTTGTGGGAATGAATGAATTTTTTAATAGAGACAGACTCATAGATAGAGAATGGGTTGACAGTTCTGGGCAGTGGGTGTGGGGTAAAATGATTGGCCTTAAAATGAAAAACTTTATGAAGGATGACAACAGTGTGATGATTGCTGGAGTCCGGGGGGTTGGATGGAGGTAGAAGAGCATTGGGGGGCAGGGTATATGGTAATAAAAATACAATGCAAAAGAATTATTAAGGTACAAAATATAAGTGGTAATATGCATCTAAAGTAAAAAATGTTTTATATTTATATGTTAGAAAACAAATAGAAAAATTTTAGAGTCATTGCATCCTGATGATAGAAAAAAATTAAAAACAAAGAATTAGGAAAGTAAGGAAGAAAAAATTCTTCAAAGATTCACATTATTTAATCTCTCCTGACCTAAAGGGGACCTAGGATATGTCACATGGAACACAGAATTCAAAATGATAGAGAGAGAGAACAAATGCTTCCCCAAACTCATGGTGCACAGCAAAGTGCTTCACAAGAAACTGATCACAGATAAATACGCATAAAGTCAGCAACTATTTCACAATAATGCAGATTAAAAAACAGAAGAACCACCCAGGAGTGGCCATAGGTCAAAATAATAACGAGGTTAGGGAGAAATTTGCCTAAAGTATTTTTCCTTCTACTCACGTTCACACACAGGGACACTGCTATTCCAGAGGCTTTCCATTCCGGCCAAGACACAATGACTACCAGAACTGCCTTTTAGGTGGAATCTGAAGAAGAAAGAGGTGGTGAACAGGTGAGCTGGCTCAGCCAAAACGCCATTCAGTTTGCCAAACATCTTAGCGTCCGAAACCAACAGGCAGCAGAGGTTTGGAGGCCACTCCAATCTGGACAGACACAGCCTCCAGCAGGGGAGAACAGTGAAGCACTGTTAGCTGGTCACATAACACGGAGTCCCAGCCTTGAAGAAGGTGGTCATAGTAGAGCAACCATCTCCTTGATCCTGAACTCAGACTCTGAGAAGTGAATCTCTAGCTGATTGTTCCAAAGCAAACCTGATAAATCTACTCATTGCCCTGATGGAAAACTGAGTCTTCTAACTCAACAGCCATCTAATTCTGCTGGTGAGAGAAAAACTAAAACAGCTCCCAGTTTGGACTGAAAAACAAAACAAAAAAGAGAATAACTGCAAAGAGAAAAAAAAGCCTGTTCTTTTTGTCTCTATATCTGTGATGGCTGCGAGGGAGGCTTACAACAGCACGTTGGGCCCCTGGATAATAGATTTGAAAACTCTAGAGGAAAAGGAAAGGAGATCGGAAATTACTTTGTATGAAACCATCCAAAGTTCTCAATGTTACATGGGACCGTGGTGACTCCTAAATCTTATTGGGTACTGGCATTGGGTGCCTGCTAGGATTCCTTGGAACTGCCTGAGCCAGGTCTTTCATTGCTCATGCTTGATCCTTCTCATGCCCAGATGTGCACACAGTGAAGAGCACCAGATTCACACAAACAAGTTAATGACCTTACCTAAAACCATCACATCAGCCACCATGATCACAATTCAGAGCACCTAACCCATTACTGACCAGTAGACATATGATTAGATTAAAATGCTTAGTGTTATACTTTTGCTCCTATTACAAATTTGACTTTTGATGATTAAAGAAATGACTGATAAGTCTTAAATAATCTTAATTATTTTAAGTAAGCTTTTTCTAACACATCAAACTTTTCTTGGGACTCTCCAAATTATTCTTAGCCTTCTCTCCTTGGAAAATGTCTTTTGTTCCCCAGTGTATAATATAAGTATCCATAATCACTCATTGTATTATATTTATACATGCCATTTAATAAATGTCCCAATTTTCCCTTCATATCTCATATTATTAGTTCTGCCTGTTTCTTACTCTTGCTTTTCTTTTAGTTTGTTTGGTTTTTGTTTAAATTATTTTATTGTTGTTCAGTTACAGTTGTCTGCATTTTCCCCCCACCACTCCCCTCCATCCCAGCCAAATCCCCCTCCCCTTCCTCCCTGGCTTCCACCCTCCCCCTTGGTTTTGTCCATGCATCTTCTATGGTAGTTCCTGAAAACCCTTCCCTCCATTAATCCTCCCACCTGCTTGTCATTACTGTCAGATTTTTTCTTACTTTCAGTGTCTCTGGTAATACTTTGCTTGCTGTTTCCCTTTTTGTTGATTATGTTCCAGTTAAAGGTGAGGTCATATGGTATTTTTCCCTAATTGCCTGACTGATTTCATTTAGCACAGTTCTCTCCAATTACATCCATGCTGTCTCAAATATCTGATATCAAACTGTATTACAAGGCCATGGTAATGAAAACACCCTGGTACTGGCATAAGAAGAGACACCTAGACCAATGGAACAGAACAGACAGCCCAGAAATGAACCCAACTCTGTATGGTCAATTGATATTAGACAAAGGGAAAAGAAGCATAAAATGGCATAAAAAGATACTCTTTAACAAAAGGTGTCGGAGATCTGTACAGGTACATGCAAAAAAAATGAGACTCAATCACCAACTTACAGCAAACACAAAATAAATTCAAGGTGAATAAAAGACATAAATATAAGTCGGGACACCATAAGGGTCCTAGAGGAAAACAATGGCAGCAAAATCTTACTCTTACTTTTCTTACACACTTTCAAAATTTAATGCTCCTGCAATGTTTTCTTTGTTTTTTGTTTTTGTTTTTCGCCACACGCAAACCTCCCCTTTTGAATGAACTTTTAAGTCCAATTTCAGTCTCCAGAAGGCCTGGCAAGATCACACTCACCCCTCATCACAAACGAAGGACACTTTTGCTCCAAGCTGGAGATTAAGTGGAAGGAGCACACGGCCATTAGGAAGTTGGTCCAAGAAGTTGGCACATGATTTCACTGGAGAAACAGGAAAACAGAGATAACACAGGCAGGTGGAGAATAAAGCCCCAGGCTAAAACCTTCAAACCAGACAAGAGTGTATGTACCTGCGCATCTGGGTACTGCGGGACTCCAGTCCCCCTGGGGTGTACAGCGCAGAGAGGCAGCCCCTCTGAGGTCATAGCCAGGCTCACAGCTGTAGAACACTTCCTGCCCAGGGGAGAAGCTGTCCCTGTCACTGAGGGTGTGCTTACCATGCAGGATTTCTGGAGGTGGCTGACATACTGAGGAGAGAACAAGTAAAAGTTATTATGAGTTGTGGAGAATTATTTTTTTTGCTAAATCTTCATCCTACAAAGGAGTTAGAGACTCCAGGATAATTAGAGCAGTTTAGGTCTAACCAAGAAAAACAACTGACCCCTCAATGTCTGCATTTTACTCATGTGGAAGTTAAGAATAAGGGAGAGATGTAGCCAAAGTCCACCCATGAGTAAGACCTAGAGAATTAGAACCCACTCTTTTCCTGCATGAGGTTTAGAATATATCCATCAGTCCACCAGGCACAGGAACACTTCTTGTGGTGCTGGCTGTTTAGTACAAAGGTATTAGTATTGGTGGGCTTCCCCATGCACATACTTGCTAAAAGGTCAGCTAATTTACAGCTTCATCTTTCAGATAATGAGAAGATTGCCTGAGTGTAAATCTGTTTAACAGACTTCCCTTCATCTCTGTTATCGTGTTCTTATGATTGAAGTTAGTAAAATTCGTATTTATATCTCTGTCTGTTTGTCCTGCCAGCTGCTCTCTCAGTGATCACTCAAGCTAATACAGGTTAGTGGCAGCACAGTGAACTTCACCTCTATCCCTGTGCATCCACCACAATTATTTACCAAGGCACTCCTAAGCCAGCAATTATGGCATAAGAAGACAAAACAAGCCATCAAGAACAAAAGCCCCTCAATATGCCTGTCCTTGTACAGAGAGGGCACATTGCTTAGAGACTATGTGAGTCAATGTTTCAGCCCCTTTGATGTGTGCTTAGAGCATGAAAACTCATTTTAATGTTAACCTAATTGATATCTAATGAAAGATGAATGAAAAAATCTCTTTGTCTTTTAGAAAGATACTTTCACTTTTAACTTCATATTCCTGATGGTAAAATGTACGATGTAGAACAGAATAGATACACCCTAAGGTCCTTGTGACTATTCTGAGGCTAGGATGTTGGTCTTGATAAACAGTCTTTCTTTCTGTGATGGGTGCTGATAGAAATATGGAAAGAACCACAGCATTCAAGCTCCAAGGTGTGACACACATGCATTCTATTCTTGGGTATGCCACTTACTGGCACCTGATTTGGACGATTTACTTAACCTCTGAGAGACCAAGCTAACGTCCGTGTCATATAGATAAATGATTAACACTAATTGAAAGGAAGATTGTGAAGAGTCAATGAGATAATGAATATGAAGTCCTTATGACACAGTTGACCAGAAAGTTCCCATCATTTTTCCCATGTAACTGAGACCCAGTAGTGTGGCCTCAGAATTATCCAATATGAGAGTCCCAAATATCTCCTTTCTTGATTAATTAAGCTCTTGCTTCTCCAGATAAAGGCACAAGCAGAGAATGCACACACACACGTACCCCTTGTTTATTTCATGCTTCATCCCAAGAAACTTTCCTCACACTCTTCACCACGCATCTTCTCCCCAGAACATACACCAATACCCTGGTCCTCCTACAGCCCGGGTCCTCTGCAGGCCCCTTCAAAGCCTCAGTCAGACTCACCCCGGAAGCAGCTGGGCAACTCTGGCTCCCATCTGTTTTGGGCCTGGCATCGCACACTGGAGGGTCCTTTCATGACAAAGCCAGGCTCACACCTAAACCTCACGATTTCATTTAAGGAGAAGAAGCTTTCTGTTCTCAGACACCCTTATTCCATTTTCAACTTCTGGAGGGGTGCATTTATTAGGTATGAGGCACTGAGGCGGAGGGCCACTCCAGGTGCCAGAATGATTGTCTTCGCTGGTGCAAAAGATTGACTTCTCACCCACAAGGACAAACTTTTCCCTTGTCTTTTGATCAGTGCAGCTATAGGTCACCACTGTTCCATATGGAAAATACTCTCTGTTGGTGCCATAATAATCTCCATGGGCTATGGCTGGGGGTGGCCTGCAATGAATACCTAAAGAGGGGACAGCAAGTTAAACAAAACCTCAATATCTTACAAGCTATATTTATACATTTTGGCAAGCAGGTTTTTAAAAATCCGATTCACTAAATGTGAATACTCACAACACCTCTCTCTGCTCTTGTCTAATCTTTTCTAATGTACAGACATGTCTTTGCACAATGTAGATTCAGTGATCACGATGTGATGGCTCCTGCCCTTCTCCATTAACATTATTTCAATAAATGTGTCATATCTTAAGGGTCTCATTTTAAGTGAGAACTTTCATGTTATTTCAATGTAATTAATTAATTCAGTTCTCTTTCTATAGAAGGCATTTGGCACGATTCTATTGGTTAGTAATATGATGCAGCACACAGTATGGCATCTTTACCAAATAAACAAAAACAAAATCTCTGGCACAACTAATAAAATAGAGATAAAGCACAAATATAAAATATCACACCTGACCCAATAGTCACAGATTCAGAAGAAATGAAAATAACTGAGTATGTGTTCCACTGTATCTTAGTAAGTTGGAAAATGTGAGTATTAAGGATGTAGTGCCAATATTGCCAACGTTTTGCCAAATATTGAGTCAGAAAAATGGAGGATATACAAGTGGGGAAAATGTGTTAAAATGCTACTCGTAAAAACATTTTGAAAAACACACCTCATTTTATGGACAAATTAAGTCTAATATCTAAGTATGAGATTACTCCGAGGCATTTTAAAGCTTTCCAAAGCATACAACATATTTTCCGTCATTTTTGGCAGGTATACATTAATGTAGAAAGATATTTCTTTATTTATTTTTACTTTAAAAATATTTAAGAAGATACAGATTTCTTGTAGAAAATTTATAAAATATAAATGAAAATTATCTTTAAGTCCATTGCCTAGAAGCACCACTGGTAATTCTTTAATCTGTAATCTTAAATAAGAGCAGACAAACACACCATGTTTTCCAAAATACCTTTGTTGTCTTAATAATATTTCAGTGTAACAATGTATTCTACAGTTTAATTTTTTTTTAGCTTGGGATAGATTTTTCTGTATTTCTTTATTTTAGTCATTGTTCAAGTACAGTTTTCTGCTTTTATTTGCATTCCAGCCTACCCACCCATCCCTCCCCAACTGCCTCCCATTTCAACACCCCCCCCAGGTTTTTGTCCATGTGTCCTTTATATTTGTTCCTGTAAACCCTTCCCATTCTCCCCTGAAATTCCCTCTTCACTCCCCTCTGGTCACTGTCACCCTGACCTCTATTTCACTGTCTTTGACTATATTTTGCTTGTTTCTTTGTTTTGTTGTTTAGGTTCCTGGTAAAGATGAGATCATATGGTATTTGTGTTTCACTGCCTGGCTTATTTCGCTTAGCATAATGCTTTCCAGCTCCATCCATACTGTTGCAAAGGGTAGGAGCTCCTTCTTTCTTTCTGCTGCATAGAATTCCATTGTGTAAATGCACCATAGTTTTTTGATCCATTCATTTACTAATGGGCACATAGGTTGTTTCCAGCACTTAGCTGTTGTAAATTGTGCTGCTATGAACATTGGGGTGCAAAGGTTCTTATGGATGGTGTTTCAGGATTCTTAGGATACAGTCCCAGCACTGGAATTGCTGGGCCAAGAGGCATATCTATTTTTAGTTTTCTAAGGGAGTTTCATACTGCTTTCCATAGTGGTTGTACCAGTCTGCAGTCCCACCACCAGTGCACTAGGGTCCCCTTTTCTCCACAACCTGTCCAACACTTTTTGTTTGTTGTTTTGTTTATGAGGGCCATTCTTACCAGTGTGAATTGGTATCTCATTATGGTTTTAATTTGCATCTTTCTGATAGCTAGCAATACTGAGCATCTTTTCTTGTGTCTCTTGATCCTCTGTATGTCCTCCTTGAAGAAGTGTCTGTTCAAGTCCTTTGTCCAGTTTTAATTGGGTTGCTTGTCTTCTTAGAGTGGAGTCATGTAAATTCTTTCTTTATTTTGGAGATTAAACCCTTGTCTGAGGTATCATTGGCAAATATATTTTCCCATACATGTGGTTTCCTTTTTATTTTAATACTGTTTTCTTTAGCCACAGAGAAGCTTTTATTTTGATGAGATCCCATTTGTTTATTCTTCCCTGTATGTCCCTTGCTCTAAGGGACATGTCAGTAAAAATGTTTCTGCATAAAATATCTGAGATTTTCCTACCTACATTCTCCTCTATGATTTTAATGGTGTCAGGGTTTATATTTAAGTCTTTTATCCACCTTCAATTTATTTTTGTGTATGGTGTAAGTTGGTGCTTGAGTTTCACTTTTTTGCATGTAGCTGTCCAGTTCTCCCAACACCATTTGTTGAAGAGGCTCTTTTTTACTCCATTTTATGTTCCTGCCCCCTTTCTCAAATATTAATTGACCATAGAGTCTTGGGTTTATTTCTGGGCTCTCTGTTCTGTTCCATTGGTCCATGTGCCTGGTTTTATGCCAGTACCAGGCTGTTTTGATTCCAGTGGCCTTGTAATACAGTTTATATCAGGTATTGTGATCCCTTCTACTTTACTCTTCTTTCTTAAAATTGCAGCAGCTATTTCGGGTCATTTATGGTTCCATATAAATTTTTGCAGTGTTTGTTCTATGTCTGTGAAATATGCCATTGGTACTTTCATAGGTATTGCATTGAATGTGTAAATTGCTTTGGGTAGTATGGACATTTTGATGATGTTAATTCTTCCAATCCACGAACACGGTATATATTTCCTTTGTTTGTGTCTTCCTTGATTTCTTTCTTCAGTGTTATGTAGTTTTCTGAATACAGGTTGTTTACTTCTTTGGTTTGGTTTATTCCTAGGTAGTTTATTTTTCTTTTCGCTATATCAAATGAGGATGTTTTCTTGATTTCTTATCTCCTGTTTCATTGATGGTGTACAGAAATGCCTTTGATTTCTGGATATTGACTTCGTATCCCGCTGTTTGGCCAAATTCATTTATTAGGTCAAGTAGTTTTTTGGCTGAGTCTATTGGACTTTCTATGGACACTGTCATGTCATTTGCAAACAGTGACAGTTTTGTTTCCTCCTTTCTGATTTGGATGCCTTCTATTTCCTTTTCTTGTCTGATTGCTGTGGCTAAAACTTCCAGTACTATGTTGAATGGAAGTGGTGAAAGTGGACAGCCTTGTCTTGTTCCTGATGTTAGGGGAAAAGTATTTTAGTTTTTGCCCATTGAGTATGATGTTGGCTGTAGGTCTCTCGTATGTGGCCTTTATTATGTTGAAGGATGGTGCCTCTATTCCCACTTTTGCTGAGTGTTTTTATCATAAATGGGTGCTGTACCTTATCAAATGCTTTTTCTGCATCTATTGATATGATCATGTGATTTTGGTCTTTGTTTTTGTTTATGTGATGTATTACATTTACTGGTTTGTGAATATTGTACCATCCTTGCATCCTTAGAATGGATCCCACTTGGTCATGGTATATGAACTTTGTAATGTATTGATGGATGCGGTTCGCCAGTATTTTGTTGAGGATTTTCATGTCTTTGATCATCAGCGATATTCACCTCAAATTTTCGTTCTTTGTTGTGTCTTTACCTGGTTTTGGGATTAGGATGATGTTGGCCTCATAAAAAGAGTTTGGGAGTGTTCCATCTTTTTAGATTTTTTGGAATAGTCTGTGACAGATAAGGGTTAGCTCTTCCTTAAATGCTGTGTAGAATTTTCCTGTGAAACCATCTGGTCCAGGGCTTTTGTGTGCCAGAAATTTTTTGATTACTGCTTCCATTTCCTTTGCTATCATTGGTCTGTTCAGGCTTTTTGGCCTCTACTTCATTGAGTTTTGGAAGATTGTATTTTTCTAGAAATTTGTCATTTCACCTAGGTTTCCAAATTTCTTGGCATACAGTTCTTTGTAGTAATTTCTTACAATCCTTTGTATTTCTGTGGTATCAGTTGTAATGTCTCTCATTTCTGATTGTGTTTATTTGGGTCTTCTCTCTGTTTTTCTGGATGAATCTACTTAAAGGCTTGTCAATTTTGTTTATCTTTTCAAAGAATCAACTCCTGGATTCATTGATCCTTAGAATTGTGCTTTTAGTATGTATGTTATTTAATTCTGCTCTGATCTTGGTTATTCCCTTCCTTCTACTTGCTCTGGGCTGTCTTTGTTGTTGTTCTTTGAGTTCTTGTGGACATAGGGTTTCTATCTTGTAGACATAGGGTTTCTATCTTTTTTTAGGAAGGCCTGTATGGCTATGAACTTCCTTCTCAGGACTGCCTTAGCTGTGTTCCCATAGTTTTATCGTTGTTGTGAGTTCATTTTCATTTATTTCCAGAAATATCTTGATTCATTCCCTAATTTCATTTTTGACCCATTCATTGTTTAATAGCATGCTATTTAATCTCCATGATTTTGAGTGTTTATTGTTTTTCTCCTTGGGGTTGGTTTCTAGTTTCAGTCCTTTGTGATCAGAGAAGATGCTTGGTATGGTTTGAATTTCTTGAATTTGTTGAGGCTTGTTTTGTGTCCTATAATGTGGTGCATCTTTGAAAATGTTCCATGTACATTAGAAAAGAATGTGTATTTCGCTTCTTTGGGATGAAGGGCTCTGTATATATCAGTTAAGTCCATTTCATCTAGGGCATTGCCACAATGTGGCACTGTTCAATGGCACAATATCTTTGTTGATATTTTGTTTGGAAGATCTGTCCATTTTTGACAATGGGGTGTTAATATCCCCCACTATAATTTTGTTGCTGTCAATATCTTTCTTGAAGTTCTCTAAGATTTTCTTTATGTATTTATGTGCTCCTGTTGGGACTGCCCTGCCTGGTCTCAGGAAGCTATAGCCCTCCTGACTTAGGCTGAGTGAAAGACCTCCCGACCAGAAGCCATGAAGGAGACAAAACTTATTTCCCTGGCATGAACGCTGCCTGTTCTAATGTCTGGCTCTCATTGCATGATCGGCAGTCAATGACAGGTAACAATTCTCTAAGAAAGAGAATGAATGTAAGACAGACTCGATCATGTGAGAATGCCCTAAGGGAAGAGACTCGGAGCTGTGGATACCAAGGGGTGATGGACATCAACCCCTGCCCCCTCGGATTTGTCAAAGCCTGAGTCCTTGTTAGAAATCCAAGTGTCCTGGCTGCTTTTGTCTTCTCTGTTAACTCACGACTGTGGAAATAGCAGGGCGGTGCAGCCCAGACCAGAAACGGTGGAACCCTGGGGTAATCAGGCCTGGGACATAGAATATGCAAGATCCTGTGATATGTTTGCTGGAGGATGTTATTAACTTGGAATTTAAAGGTACAGACAGGAAACCTTTGGAACCTGTAGTCCTTTCATATGTTAAAACCCCAATCATTGCCCAGAATCACAGTGGGGGTTCTGTCTGCATCTTTGTAAGTCACCTACATCTTTTGATCTTTTATGCCAGACTGTGAATCCAATTCTGTTTTCTGTGAAACTAGTTTCTGTGAAATTAGTTTCTGTGAAACTAATTCTGTTTTCTCAATAAAAATCTGCTTGGGCATGGAGACGAGGTGATCTCCCCACTAGAGAGAGTCGCCATTCTGTTTTTACTTCCCCACAGAAACTTCTTGACTCTGTGTATGTCTTTCTCGTGTTTTGACGAGCCATCCGCAGTGTTCAACTCTCACTGCCGTCTGGGTGAGCATGCATCATGCTCTTATGTTGGATGCATATATATTTACAATGTTTATGTCTTCTTGGTGGATTCTTCCCTTGAGTATTATGAAGTGACCTTCTGGGTCTCTCTTTATGGCCTTGTGTTTGGAAGTCTATTTTGTCAAATATGAGTATTGCTACCCTGGCTTTTTTCTTCCTGTCCGTTTGCTTGGAAAATTTGTTTCCAGCCCTTCACTTTCAGCCTGTGTAGGTTTTTTATCCTGAGGTGGGTCTCTCATAGGCAGCATATGTGTGGGTCATGTTTTCTTATCCATTCAGCTATTCTATGTCTTTTAATTGGAGCATTTCATCCATTTACATTTAACGTTCTTATTGATAGGTACTTATTCATTGCCATTTGCGTATCTGTGTTCCTCTCTCTCTCTCTCTCTCTCTCTCTCTCTCTCTCTTACTTCGTTTCATTAAAGCAGTCCCTTTAGCATCTCTTGCAAAGCTGGTTTGGTGGAGGTGTATTCTTTTAGACGTCTTTTGTCTGGGAAGCTTCCTATTTGATCTTCTCTCTTGATTGATAGCCTTGCTGGGTAAAGTAGCCTTGCTTGCAGACCTCTGGCTGTCATTACTTGGAATATTTCTTGCCATTCTCTTCTGGCTTGGAGTGTTTCCACTGAGAAGTCAGCTGCTAGCTTTATTCGGGCTCCCTTGCTGCCTTAAAGATTCTCTCTTTGTCTTGAAATTTTGCCATTTTAATTATGATGTGTCTTGAGGTGGGCCTCTTTGTGTTCCTCTTGATTGGGACTCACTGTGTTTCCTGGATTTGTGTGAGTTTTTCTGTCATATAATTAGGGAAGTTTTCCATCATTCCTTTTTTCAAATAGGTTTTCTATCCCTTGCTGTTTTTCTTCTCCTTCTGGTATCCCTATTATATGGAAATTATTATGTTTCATATTGTCTTGCATTTCTCTTAATCCCTCTTCATTCTTTCTGAGCAGGAAGACAGCATACCTTGTTCAAAGAACAAGGAGGAAGGGAGAGAGCCACTGCTTCAATACATGACCTGATGCTGAGAGTTGACAGAGAGGAAGCTGGGCTACTTTCACTAACTTTGCATTTGTTTACTTCCCTGAAGAGAATGATCTTCAAATTGGGAAATGTTCACCCAACAAAAGAGGAAGCTGGGGGGCTGTTTTAACTAAATGATACACCAAGATAAGGAAAAAAACAGAAAGACCTGGGAGCTTAGAACACTGCAAGCACTTTTCATCAAATGACCAGTCTCTTTTGAAATATTGGAAGAACATCATTGCCAAGAGAAATGAGACTGTTTCTTAGTAATTCCAGGGGGGTGATGCTAGGATTAACTGGTGGGACAAATAGGAAGAGATTGTAACTCACGTTCACAGAGTGGTGGCTCCATATCCCAAATGACAGTATTATCTGAGATGATACATTTGGCAGATGGGTGGCCAATGAGATGAAACCTGAAGGTAAAAAGTGAAAATTATTCCATCCACCTCCCATCAGCTTCCTCACAGCAGGAATACAAGGCAGATCTGACAACGTTTGATCTGGGGGAAGTCTAGGGACTAGCATAAAGTCCACTTGTTTGATCTGGGTTTTCTTGTTTCTCTTTTCCTATCCTCTAACTATTGCAAGGGCTATTTCATCTTTAATTTCTCATGACAATACTCTGCTTCTTAATTTTTGGCTTCATTATGGATTGCACCAGGAACCAAAATAAACAATCCTTTTGTAGACCTGTTCAATACTTTACCTCTTAAATTCTGTATTTTTCTCATATTATTATTAGTGCCAGTTTTAAATCTTTGTATTTTTCTAATATGCATATATAATTAGCACTGCTATGTCATTTTAACTTAGGCATGGTTCTTGTAAGCATCATTATATGTGGTGCTCTTGATCCTATTTACAAGCCATTGTATTTTGTATATGAAGCAGAAAGGTGAACTATTTTAGGTGTTCTAATAAATTGAAAGTTAAATATGCAATTTTAATTTCATTAGAAATTTCATTTCATGTGTGCATGTGGCATATCTACACAAACATTTGTACTTAGGTCTATATTCTCAATTATAGTGTAGTCAAAATATGTATAGTTTACCTATTGCCCATGTAATATAAGTATAGCACATATTTTCTTGCTCTCTCCAATTTTTTTCAAGTTTTATGGATACATTTTATAACTTTGGAGATTGTTATTTAATTATTACATTGCAGAGTTACAATTTTGAAAAATTAGTTCTATCATTCCATTAGGGTTCTTAACTTTGTTGAAAATATTTGACCATGCTTTTTGAAAATTATGTGGTTTTTTTTCTTTTTTGGATTTTACAAATTTTACGTCACTGACAGTTTTTTATACTTCATCATTTTTCATTAAAAAAAAACTGTTTCTGGACGGCCTGGATTTTTTCCTACTGTGTATACTTATGTGTCATAACTTTTTTCGTGAATGTATATTTGGAGGCTATAGACATGAATATAGCTTGGCTCATTAGAAACACTATCTTTTGCAATTTAGTGATGGAAAGGATTACAGTTATATCAATGTGCACAACATTTTTGCATGGTTTATAGTTATGAATTTCCCTTCTGAATTATTGAAGCCACTAAAATTTCTTTTATTTTTCTTCTTTCATATTTAAAATAAATTTATCAGCATGGCATTGGTTAATATTATTTATAGGTTGCTAGTGTACAATTCTATAATACATTATCGGCATATTGCAATGAGTGTTTGCCACCCAAATGTAATCTTTTTCCCTGAAATAAGAATGTTTCCCTAGTGATGGGTGGGTATGCATTATTATTTTTCTTTCTACATTTTTTACCGGTATTTTGAATCCTCATACTGTCTGTTTACACATACCTTCTCTTTGGTCTCTTTCTTTATTCTATTTCACCAAATTCACAGAGAATTTGGTTGTTCATTTCTTACTTTCTGTACTAATTTTATTCAATATTCAATGTGTTTGTCATAGATTTTGAGTTTGACAATTGTGCTTTTCATTCATGTGCAAACATTCTCAGTTTTCAAGGGGCTTTACAGAAACAGCATGCAACTGAATCCTACTAAAAATGTAAACAGGAGTGGATTCCAAGATGGCTTCAGAGTAGGTGGAAGCTACACAGACTGGCTTTTGGCACTCACCAAATTTACAACTAAATTACACAGCCGCCAACCTGAACAACCAACTGAACTCTAGCTGACCTGAAATATTAAACCAAGATGTACAGAAGAAGTCACATAGCTGCTGGAAAGACAGGAAGAGATGCAGGAAATGATAGCCCCTGCATTCAGGTGCAGCAGTGGCCTCAAAGCCAGAGAGACAACATGGCTGCAAAACTCCATCCTCCTAGGAGTGTGAGGTTTCATCCCCGTGCAGGGAGACCCAGCCTAAGGGCAAGAGAGACAAGAAGGGGAGCCCTCATAGCAACTGCTGGTAAAAGTAAGTGGGAATGCTGTCTGCCTGAAATATTCAGATGGCACACTGCTAGGGAAGAGCCCTCCTATTGTTACAGAACCAGCTGGGGAGTTCACAGTGTAGACTCTGACTGCTGGTAGGGCCACATGGCCATCTCTGGGTTCTGTGGAGGGATCTGCTGGCTACACACAGAGGTGACTTTAAGGGGCTGTCTTTTTAGTGGTGATGCTTTTGGAGGCAACCCAGACAGTGGCCACAATATGTGGCTTGGGAAAGAGAGGACAGTGCATCCCACCTGGAGCACACAGTCAGATGCCCGCCCATCACTTTTTGAGTCACTCAGCTGGCCTGGTCCTTGTGTCTTCCTGTAGGGTGGTTTCTGTCTAGGAACTAGATGGGCAAGTGCCAGGCTGTGTGGCTACATCGATAGGAGGCAAATCCAATCTCCATTGCTAGTTCAGCCTCTGCTACCCTGAGAAGGGGAAGAAATGTCTACTTCTTTTCAAAAGGGTTGTAGACACTGCCTATAATGGGAGACCATTAGAATGAGGACTGGCCATATATGAACAACCTACAGCCAACATCATACTGAAACACTAACTGAAAGTGAACCCTGTAATATTGGGAACAAGTAGATGTCCACCTTCAATTCTCTTGCTCAACATATTCCTGGAAAGAATATGTGGCTGGAAGTCCTAGACACAGTAAACAGACCAAAAGGAAAAATAAAAGGTATCCAAACTGGAAAGGAGGAAGTACAATGGTCATTATTCACACATGACACAATATTGTACATACAAAATCCCAAATATTCCCCCCAAAACCTCTTGGTTCTAATGAATGAATTGGACAAAATGTCAGGATATAAAACTAATATTCAGAAATTGGTGAGAATTTTATGCACAAATAATGAACTATCAGAAAGAGAAACTACAAAAAACAATCCCCTTTACTATTGCAACAGTAAAATAAGGTACCTAAGAATAAATTTAACCAAGGAAGTAAGAGTACTGTACTTGGAAAACTGTAGGACATTGAAGAAAGAAAATGAGAAAGATACAAATAGGTAAGATAGAAAAATTAACATCATTGAAATGTCCATACTACCCACAGCTATCTGTGGATTCAGTGAAATTCCACTAAAATATCAATGGCATGTTTCACAGATCTAGAACAAATAATTCAAAAATTTGTGTGCAACCAGGAAAACCCTGAATAGCTTCAGCAGTCTTGACAAAGAAGAACAATGCTGGAGGTATCACAATGTCTGATGTCAAACTATACTACAAGGGCATTGTAATCAAAACAACCTGATACTGGCATAAGAACAGGCATGTAATCAATGGAAAAGCACAGGGAGCCTGGGAATCAACCCATGCCCATATGGACAATTAATATTTGACAAAGGATACAAGAGCATACAAGGAAGTAAAGGTAGTTTCTTCAAGGAATGGTGTTGGGAAAACTCTACAGGTACATGTGAAAAATGAAACTAGACAACTAAGTAACTCTATACACAAGAAAAACTGAAAATGGAAAAAAAAAACCTGTCAGTTGTAAAAGCATAAAAATTCTACAAGAAAACATAGGCAGTAAAATCTCAGACATCTCACATAGCAATATGTTTGCTGATATGTCTCCTAAGGTAAAAGGCACAAAAGAAAAATAAATAAATGGGAGTATGTCAAACTAAAAAGCTTCTTCACAGCAAAGAAACCATAAAAAAAAAAAAAGAAAAGGGAACCCATGTCATGGGAGAACATATTTACCAATGATATATCCAATAAGGGGTTAATTTCCAAAATATATAAATAATTTATACAATTAACACCAGGAAGGCAAACAATCCAATTTAAAAAGTGGGTGGAATAGCCGCAGCAATTTTGAGAAAGAAGAACACAGTAGAAGGGATCACAAACTATGATCCCTTCTGATATAAAACTATGTTACAAGGCCTCTGTAACCACAACAGTATGGTCCTGGCCTAAGAACAGGCACATACACCAATGGAACAGAATAGAGTGCCCATAAATGAACTCAAGTCTCAATGGTCAATTAATATTTGACAAAGGGGGAAGAAGCACAAAATGGAGGAAAAAGGACCTCCTCAACATATGGGGTTGGGAGAGCTGGACAGCTACATGCAAAAAAAATGAAACTGGATCACCAACTTACACCATACATAAAAAGTAAATTCAAGGTGGACAAAAGACGTAAGAATAAGTTGTGACACCATCGAAGTCTTGGAAGAGAAAAGATAGGCAGGGAAATCTCAGGCATTCTATTCAGCAATTTTTTCACCTATATGTCCCCTACAGGAAGAGGCATATGGGAAAGAATAAAAAAAAATGGAATCTCATCAAAATAAAGAGCTTCTGCACAGCTAAAGAAAATAGCATGCAAATGAAAAGAGAACTAACTCAGTGGGAAAACATATTTGCAAACGATACCTCACACAAGGGTTTGATCTCCAAAATATATAAAGAACTCACATGACTCCATTTTCAGGAGGAAAAAGAATCCAATTATGAAATGGGCAAAGGACCTGAACAGACACTTCTCCAAAGAAGATGTACAGAGGGCCCAGAGACATATCAAAGGATGCTCAGCATCACTAGCCATCAGAGAAATGCACATTTAAACCACAGTGAGATACCACTTCAAACTGGTCAGAATGGCCATCATGAGCAAATCAACAAACAACAAGTGCTGGTGAAGTTGTGGAGAAAAGGAAACCCTAGTGCACTGTTAGTAGGAATGCAGGCTGGTGCAGCCACTGTGGAAAACAGTATGGAACTTCCTCAGAAAACTAAAAATGGAACTGCCTTTTGACCCAGCAGTACCAATGTTGGGGTTATACTCTGAGGATCCTGAAACACCAATCCAAAAGAACCTATGCACCCCAGTGTTCCCAGCAGCACAATTTACAATAGCCAAGTACTGGAAGCAACCTAAGTGCCCATCAGTAAATGAGAGGATAAAAAAACTGTGGTATATTTACACACAGGAATACTATGCAGCAGAAAGAAGGGAGCTCCTACCCTTTGGGACAGCACTGATGGAACTGGCAAACATTATGCTAAGTGAAATAAGCCAGTCAGTGTGAAAGAGAAATACCATATGACCTCACCTATAAGTGCAACCTAACCAACAAAACAAAGAAGCAAGCAAAATACAATCAGAGACAATGAAATCAAGAATAAACTGACAGTAACCAGAGAGGACAGGTGAGAGGGATAATAGAGGAAGGGCTATCAAAAGCATGTAAACAGGACACATGGACAAAGCCAAAGGGAGTAGGTTCGAGAATGTGAAGTGTGGAAGGGTGGGGCAGGGTGGCATGGTAGGGTGAAAATGGAGACAACTGTACTGGAACAACAAGGAAAATGTAACAAGTACAAAATATGAGAAAAAAATGGTTGAAGGACCTCAATAGACACTTTTCCAAAGAAGACACACAGATGGCCCTTGAAATTTTCAAGGGTAGAAGTAATCATGCTAAGTAAAATAAACCCATCAAAGAGAGAAAAATACCATGTTTTTTCATTTACATGTGGAGTCTAATGAACAAAAGAAACTCATGAACAAAATAGATACAGAAGTATGGATACATGGAACAGACTGACAGCTGTCAGAGGGGAGGAGAGGGGGACTGGATAAGAGAACGTGAAGGGAAATGTCAAAGAACATAGTTGCAGAACCTGCAGACACAGCCAACAGTATGGTGATGGCCAGAGGGAAGATGGGCCATGGTCTCAGTGGAAGTGGACAAAAGTGTGGAGCTGGAATATTGTAACAGTGTCAACAGTAAAACTAAAATTAAAAATATACACAAACCAGACATTTTTCTAAAAGTCTTCCTGATCTCTTGGAAGTAACTCTGTTTTGTAAGAAGAAATACTGATTCTTCAAATTGGTCTGTTTACATTTTTTCTGGGATTTGTCATGAGCTTAATGGTTTCCTATTTCATACCATAGACAGGTTCACCTCACTCAGTAATGCAAGATGAAGAGGGAACAGTCAGAGTATTTGGAGACTGTACTTAAAAGTGCTCAGAGAAAGAGAAATGTATAGATTTACTCTAATTTTACTTTGTCAGATTACATGTACTCTGGTCTTCTAGGCCTTGGGTGGCAAATACATTTGCTGAGGACCATAAATGACTCTCCAGTGCCAACTGTGGCACAAATGTAGCCCAGATTCTCTAATGGGCTCAGCTGCTTGAACTGAGAGTGCAGTCAAGAGTCCACTGTGTGCTGAGCAAGGGTAACCACCAAGGGCAGGACAACCACCCAGTACAGATTTTATGTTGGACATTTTCACATGGGCCCTGTTACAGGGCTGTATAGTGTTCTTCAAAAAGGTATGTTAAAGTCCTAAACCCCAGTCCCCATGAATGTGACCTCATTTGGAAGTAAGGTCTTTGAAGATGTAATCAAGTCTACATGAGGCCATTAGGGTGGCCCTAATGCAATAGGAATGGCATCTTTATATAGATAGAACTTTGGACATAGAGCCATACAGAGAGGAGAAATGCTGTGTACCACGGGAGGCAGCGGGAGACACAGATGCAGAAGGAAGATGGCCATGGGAAGACAGAGGCAGAAGTGGGCGTGATGCAGCCACACACCAAGGAAGGACTGAGGCTACCAGTAGCTGGCAGAGGTAAGGAGAGAACCTCCCTCTGAGGCTTTGAAGGGATCATGCTGTGCCAGCACCTTAATTTTGAACTTCTGGGCTCCAAAACTGCCTGAGAATACATTCCTGTTGTTCTCAGACACCCAGTTTCTGGTACTTTGTTACAGCAGCCCTAGCAAACTAATAGTGCATTTACCTTTAAGATTTGTTTTCTCACACAATGCTCCATGGCCTTCCCTTTGTTCCAGCAATGTGCACTCTCACTTAGCGCTCTTTGTATGGTTTGGCTGTGCTCTCCCCACATTTTCTTCCTTTGCACGTGGTGAGTACCTCGCTTTTGTTGTATGCACTGTCGTGTTTTCCAGAAAGATTACACATGTCCCCCTTTATCTTATCATACCTTTGTTCATTTCAATCAGAAACTGAAACACTTAAGTTCAGGTTTTTAAGCAGCAGATGGTTATAGTCTAGTCCCCTTCCTACTGTGGTGTGACTAAACGGTAGTGTTGCCATTCTGCAAATCTTGAATCAAGAGATATTATGGCCAACTTACCCTGCATTACAAGTATACTTAATTCTGGATCCAAACTGGGTGTCTGTGTCTACGTGTACCATGCCATTCACTGGATCTGGAGGAGTTCTGCATACTTTACCTGTGGCAAGAAACAGAATTTTGGAGCCAGGTAGAGTAATCTGAACTTTTGTAGTACATGAGGTCCCAACCTCACTGTGTAGCTTTCCAACAAGTACATGCAATTCTGAAGGTTCCACATATTTTTGACTTACCCAACTGAGTTGGGCTGCCTACTAGACACCACATTAAGACAGACCTATCTAGACCTGTCTTATCTCTACCTGAAATTTGTCATCAAAATGTAAAGGTTAATTATGGATTTATTGCATAGTAGTTTCTTCCTACCTGGTTATTCAAACAATTTATCTTCCTTATTTTTTCCTGTAAAATATGTTGCTTTTCCTGCAAATATTTCTTGGAAAATTGTCATGAAACAAACGTGTCAACTAATAGTTAGGGATGATCTACAACACTGACTCTTACATCCACCCATGTGGACACTTGTGAGAAGCAAAGTTTCCTTGTCTCTAAACTTGGAAAACTTAGATATCCAAAGATCCTATGGATAATTTGACAGACATGGAAAAGCTCCAATGCAAGGTTTACTCACGTCGACAGACATCCTTGGCACTTGACCACTCCAGGTTGTCTAGACAACTGATAGAGAATGACTTCCTATAGTACCCAGGGAGGCATTCATACTTTAGTGATGTCCCAACAGGAAACTCAGATTCATTGGTTTGGATTTTCAGCTTAGCAAATTGAAAATGACCTGGGGCATTACAGTAACCTAGGAAACAAAATATCAAGAACATCACATTTAACATAAAGCTACCCAGGGACCTTATTTCTCTCTCCCGTTAGATTCAGTGTCAGAGCAAAAGAAACTTTTAGTCCTGGAGAGATAATTTCCACATAGCCTTGGGAGGGGAAGTTCCATTTTTAGCACAGGCCCTTTAGAAAATATACTTTCTGAAAGGGTATTCCACTCTTTTGGTCGCTTTCTTCATATAATTTACTGTAAAAGGCAGCTTCAATTCTTTTCCACATTTTTTTTTCTGGGAAAGAGCTCTCCTGCCCAGGTTCCACCATCCTGTCTGGTTTCTTTGTCCTTTAGTGCATCAAGTCCCCCATGGAGGCCTCTCAAGCATGAATGGAGAACTCAAGGTATTTCTTGACACTAGGAAGCAGCCACCAGTTCTGTAGGTCTGATTCCTAAGCAAGCCATTTTGACACAAGGAGGAACTGATAGCATCTCCTTAAAATAAAACAAACTAACATACTGCACTTACCATTACAAGAAGACATTGTTGGAAGTGTACATCGAATTAAATTCTAGCTTTAGCTCCACGCCCTTATGGCCTATTAGCTCTAGGCTCACTTTGGATTCAAAATGTGAATCCAATAAAGTACATATGCTTGGAAAAATAGAAATCATTTCCACTTGGTTTTGACAATACCTTCTCTTTTAGTTTTTCTTTCAGCTGTCCTCCACCTCTCTTCCAATTATTCATTCACATAGAAATGGTTATACCATAGCCAATTCTGCACCCAGAGTATTCTCATTTGGAAGATCATCAAGCAATTTCTCACCTCTTGAGATTACTCAATAATTTCTCTCTCTATAAATATTGACTTATTTTTAATATTTTCCCTGGGATATTAGTTTATTTATATCACCCTTTGACTTTTATCTTACAGCTGAAATATTCGTTCTCCTACCTTCCAGTTCAAGGAGTCCCCAGTATGATTGAAATTTACCCCTAAGGACAAATCACACATGAAGATGTCTCCAGTCTAGTAATCTAGATGATAGCACAAGGGTTGCCATCTCAGATAGAGGTCTGATGAAAAAATAAAATCATAGAACTTAAGGGAAGACTGTCTCTCACTATAGATTCAGTGAGTATGGACTAGGTCTCTACATTGATAAACAGGCTCCTAAGTGCACCTGACATTAAAGCCATGGTGATGGAGGAGGACAGTGCAGGCAAAAATGATTCTGGGAGACTAGACCTTGGTCCTTTTCCTTTTAGGATTGTTCTTTTCTCTCAGAGTTTCTCAGTTGTCAGTAAGTAAGGTGAAGACCAGGGTCCCTTCTACAATTCACTTTCTCCTTTCTGTCTTTTATGTCCTGAAGATGGGTGTCTTAGAGTGGTTGGATGTCTTCAGAAACATTCTCCAGACCTTAGATATACACACTTTCTTTATTTTGCATCTTCTTTTGGGTTCATATTCCTGTTCACTTCCCTTTTTCTGCAGTGAGAAGAATTCAATGACTACAATGGCTGGAGGCAAAGAACCAAAGAAGCATTATTTTAATTTACAACCTAGGCCAAATTGGCTGAAAGCATCTGTGGTGTTTGTCTACAAAGCAATTAAAAGTGAGGCACACTCCCCAAATTTTGGAAGTTCTGCTTTAGGTATTCTGGAACCATTTAGGATGTGGGGTAGTGTGCACTAACCTGGATGTCCACAGCGAGGGGCAGGGCCACTCCAAATCCCAATTCCCTTGACTGTCACTTGTGCAGCGTATGGTGCTCTCCCCAGTGAGAATGAAGGTCGTCCCTCTGTCTGTGTGGGGGTCACATGTGTAAGTTACTTCTTTTCCATAAGGAAAGATTTCCAGAGGTTTTCCTGTGTGTCTTCCATTATGGATATCTGGTGGATTTGGACATAAGATTTCTGGAAAGAAGGCAAAGGCTGTGAGTTTCATTGAGGAATTTTCTCCAGTGGTATTCCATAGTCATAGGTTGTTAGACTTGGTACTATCTAAAACACATTATGACAGTACATCTTTGGTTAAACCCTTTGATGAGATGAGCTAAATGAAATAAGTTCTCAATGTTGTTTTTCATGGAAAAAGTACGAAAGAAGTGGGCTTATCTTGAATCTTCCTGACAGTTAAATCTTCTTGATAATAAAACTTTATACTGTTAAATTATTTTCCAAAATTTTTCTAGAATTTTCTTTAGAAATATTTTAACTTTATTAAAAAATCTTTACAAGAATAATATCCCTTACAAAGGTAACTCATTCAACTACTTAATAAATATTACTTCAGCATTTATTCTGTGCCAGACACTCATCAGTGCTCTGTGATACAGCACAGGTAAAGTTGTTGTCCTCCAAGGAGCTTACATTCTTGACAAATATTTCTGCAATGTATCCATGTGTACTAATCAGCTTAAAAATATGAAACTCTTCCTTGAGAATTTATTTAATGTGGTCATCAATCCTGATTATGACAGTGTGCTGACACAATGAATTGGAGCATCTTGGTCATTGTGATAATTATCAGCCTTTCAATTGTTTTCTTTTTAAAATGTATGGATCTATTTGTAGTTTAATTTTCTTCTTTACTTTTGACAAGGCTTCAGATCATTACTTGTTTGTAGTTGATGTTTTTCTGTTTAAAACAGTCCCATTCTCGTTTCATATTGTTGTTTGTAACTAGGCTGAGGGTTTGGAAGAAGCTACTTCAACTTGGAAAGGTCATGTAAAATAAGAAAGATAGTTCAATCAGTAACTGAGCTTTAATACATGTCAAACTTAGGCAGCCACTTATTATGTCTCATCAAGAAATATTGTGTTTCATGGGTAGCAGACATACATATAAGTTATGTTTTTATAAGCTTTACTATAAGAAGTACACTTTTATGTCTGAGTAGATATCTAGTAATAAAAACATTGTAGTAAAATTTGATTGTTACATATATTCTAATCTTTAAAATCAAGGGATAAAGCAAGTTCTATTCTTATATTGGGCAAATTATAAATGAGAATAGGAGAACATGGTATTGATGCTACACATGGAAGACTCATTTTTTCATCAGCTTATTACTTGTGAACATAGTTTATTTAGTTCCATTTTTCGAGAGTTTCAGAAGTTTTAAACTGCATATCCCATGTAATGTTGCTTTCAACTTTGCCCTCATTCTTGCAATTGCTCTTATCTATTGTTTCCATAACATTTACTATAACACCAGTGCTTAGGAGAACATCAAACACATAGTATGTGCTCAGGAAACAGTTGTTTGAATGAATGAATTTTTTACAATAGAGACAGATATACTGAGTTGACAGTTGTGGGGATGGGGTTTGGGAGGCGGAAGACTGAGATAAAAGAAAGAACTATGAAAAAGGACAACAGTGTAGTGATGGGGAGGGAGAGGCATGTAGATGGTGGTGGAAAAGTGTATGGGGGATAAGTGGTAATACAAAAAAATATCATAGAAAGTGAACTGTTAAAAGAAAGGAAAACAAAACTTGTGATATGCATCTAAAGTAAAAAAAAGAATGTTTATGTTTATATATTAGAAAATAAGCAGAACAATTGTAGAAGAATTACAATCTGGTGGGTGAAGAACAGAAAGATTAAGGAAAGGAAGGACGGAAGAAATTTGTCAAAGATTCACATCATTTAATCTCTCTTGACCTAGAAGGAAACTAGGATATGTCACATGGAACACAGAATTCAAAATGACAGAGAGAGAGCAAGTGCTTCCCCAAACTCATGGTGCACAGCACAGTGCTTCACAACAAACTGATCACAGATAAATATGCATCAAGTCAGCAACTACTTCACAATAATTCAGATTAAAAAACAGAAGAACCACACAGGGGTGGCCATAGGTCAAAATCTTAACCAGATTAAGGGAGAAATTTGCCTAAAGTGTTTTTCCCTCTACTCACGTTCACACACAGGGACACTGCTATTCCAAAGGCTTTCCATTCCAGCCAAGACACAATGACTAGCAGAACTGCCTTTTAGGTGGAATCTAAAGAAGAAAAAGGTAGTGAATAGGTGAGCTGGCTTAGCCAAAACACCATTCAGTTTGCCAAACATCTTAGCATCTGAAACCAACAGGCAGCAGAGGTTTGGAGGCCACTCCAATCTGGACAGACACAGCCTCCAGCAGGGGAGAACAGTGAAGCACTGTTAGCTGGTCACATAACACGGAGTCCCAGCCTTGAAGAAGGCGGTCATAGTAGAGCAACCATCTCCTTGATCCTGAACTCAGACTCTGAGAAGTGAATCTCTAGCTGATTGTTCCAAGACAAACTTGATAAATGTACTCATTGCTCTGATGGAAAACTCAGTCTTCTAATGCAATGGCTGTCTAATTCTGATAATGAGAGAGCAACTAAAACAGCTCCCAGTTTGGACTGAAAAAAAACCCCCAAAACAGAGAATATCTGCAAAGAGAACAAAGCCTGTTCTTTTGTCTCTATATCTGTGATGGCTGCTAGGGAGGCTCACAACAGCACGCTGAGCCACTGGAGAGTAGATTTGAAAACTCTAGGGTAAAAGGAAAGGAGATCGGAAATTACTTTGTATGAAACTGTCCAAAATTCTCAATGTTACGTGGGACTGTGGTGGCTCCTAAATCTTATTGGGTACTGGCACTGAGTGCCTGCCAGGATTCTTTGGAACAGCCTGAGTCAGGTCCTTCACTGCTCACACTATATCCTTCCCATGCTGAGATGAGTACACTGAAGAGCACCAGATTCACACAAGTTAATGACCTTACCTAAAACATCACATCAGCCACCATGATCACAATTCAGAGACCTGAGCCCCTTACCAACCAGTAGATATATGACTGGATTAAAATGCCTGTTCTTATACTTTTAGAGTATTAAGTATACTCTGCATATATTGCTTATATTATAAATTTCATTTTTGATTGTCAAAGAAATAACTGAAATAATTCTTAAATAATCTTAGTTTTTTAATAAGCTTTTTGTTACATATCAATCTTTTCTTGGGACTCTCCAAGACTCTGATTCTTCTCTGCTTGGAAAATATGTTTTTTTCAAACAATGTATAACATATGTATTCATAACCACTCATTATATTGTCTTTATATATGCTCTTTAACATATGTTCCAATTTTTCCTTCATATCCCATATTATTAGTTCCACCTGTTTCTTAGTCTTACTTTTCTTACACACTTCCAAAATTTAATGTTCCTGAGGTTTTTCTTTTTTTAGCCACACCAAAATGTCGCCTTTTGAATTAAGTTTTAAGTCCTATTTCCATCTCCAGAAGGCCTGGCAAGCTCACACTCACCCCTCATCACAAACGAAGGACACTTTTGCTCCAAGCTGGAGATTAAGTGGAAGGAGCACACGGCCATTAGGAAGTTGGTCCAGGAAGTTGGCACATGATTTCACTGGAGAAAAAGGTAAACAGGGATGAAACAGGCAGGTGGAGAATAAAGCCCCAGGCTAAAAGCTTCAAACCAAGTGTCGCAGGTTTGATTCCTAGTCAGGGCACATGCCTGGGTTGCAGGCCACGGCCCCCAGCAACCATACATTGATGTTTCTCTCTCTCTCTCTTTCTCCCTCCTTTCCCTCTCTAAAAAATAAATAAATAAAATCTAACAAAAAGAATGTCTCCATTAAAAATATATTAAAAAATAATAATTGCTTGGTGGTGATAAACTCTTTAAAAAAATTCAAAACAGACAAGAGTATGTACGCACCCACACATCTGGGCACTGGGGGCTCCAGTCCCCCTGGGGTGTACAGCGCAGAGAGGAAGCCCCTCTGAGGTCATAGCCAGGCTCACAGCTGTAGAACACTTCCTGCCCAGGGGAAAAGCTGGCCTTGTCACTTAGGGTGCACTTACCATGCAGGATTTCTGGAGGTGGCTGACATACTGGGGAAAGAGACCCAGGTGCTGTTAATTTTATGAAAATTGCTTTTTCTCAGTAGTAATCTGAACAACAGAAATATACTCTAAGTCCATATATATTTTTTTAAAAATCTGGCTGACTAATACCCTTATCTTATTAATGGCAATGAGAGAGAGAGAGAGAGGCACATCGATTTGTTATTCCACCCACTGATGCACTCATTGGTTACATCTGGTGTGTGCCCTGATGGGGCAGTGGACCTCCAACCCTGATGTATGGGGATGACACTATACAGAACAGAGCTACCTCACCAGGGCTTGAAAGATTTTTTTAATCTTCATACTATTTTCTAGAAAAGTATCACCAATTTTTACTTTTTGGCAATAAAGAATGCTTGCATCCAAGTCTCATCTAACAGATTTGCCAATCACTCACCGCATCTGGTACAACAAAGAGGACTCACATCTCTTCCCATCTCCTTCCAAGTCCTTTCTTGGTGGCCCCCTGACATGGCCTGCAGAACTCGGAGACTCTTCTCTGTACTCCATATATATAGCCAGGTCTCCCTTAACCACTCATATCATGCCAACAAAAGGATGGGCAACCACTGAACAAAATCTTCTAGAAAAAGTAGAGCCCTCCTAATGAGAGTGCATATTGGATACAGCATATTGTAACTGAGTCTCTGACTGTCTCTTCAAACACTTGGGTTTAACTCAATCTGAATGCACTTGAGTCTCAAATGTATTATAGGAAACTGTAGTGAAATGAAAAATCATTTCATTTTGGCTTAGAGAAGGTCAGTTCCCTTCTCTGGACTTCAGCTTTCTCAAACAAGAAATAGGGACTCAGGCTACAATAAATGACTTTGGAAATACTCTGAGGCTCTAAAACCCATGTTCAGGGTTCATTTCCCCCGTGCCTCTCTTGATTGACAAAAGCACAGTGGTGCGGTACTCAAATGCTGTGTTGATTGCATTTCTGTGAACTCCCTGCCTCACACTCTGCATTCTCCTTTACTAGACTGGAAGCCTGCAAACTACAGTCGCTTATCTTCCTTGCCAGCTGGGTTGTGCTTAGACTTTGTCAACTGGTGGAATATACAGCGAATTAAAAGGCAGGAAGACGATAGGCCATTCTTCTTCTAGAGGAGGCTCAGGAAGTAGCAGCATTGGTGGTCCTTGCTGGGCAGTGGCAACATCACTTCTGCAATGCCATGGCTTGGCTCCAGGGACCTCAGCTGCGTCCTGGAAGCCACATCCGCTTTGGAGGAGAAGCTCCTCAGTGACAGTTTCAGCAGTCTGTGCAGGCGCATGTGCACCAGTCCAGGAGTAAGGGCAGCTCCCTGCACTGTGCAAACAGCCTTCCTCCTTTTGCTCTTCCTGCCCTTCCAATAATCCCCTACTCCTTGAAATATCTAGAGTGGCTTTTGATTTCCATGGTTCTGGAGTCAGGCGAACTTGGATTTTTGTCTTTAGTCTATGACTTAGTATGTGCTTAATCTTGGAAAGTTTTCTAACCACTCTAGGACTCGTTTTTCTCTGTAAATCATGCAAAGAATGGTAAGTAGGACAGGCCATTGTTTTAAGCTTACATTATTGTGCCCAAACAGAGAAATCACTTACTACTGTACTCAAGAGTAACTGGTAGATGATGAAGCACGGAGATAGGGACACGTGCAGAGAACTTCTGTTCTTAAGAATCCTAAGGAAACTTCACATTCTGTGCCCATATTCAGCTCTGTTTCTCAGCTTGAACACACACACACTTACACGCACAGAAACACACACATGGCCTTAATTTCATGCCCGATCTCAAGAAACTTGACTCACGCAGCTCACCGCGCATCTTGCTCCACAACATACACCAGTACCCTGGTCCTCCTACAGCCCGGGTCCTCTGCAGGCCCCTTCAAAGCCTCAGTCAGACTCACCCCGGAAGCAGCTGGGCAACTCCGGCTCCCATCTGTTTTGGGCCTGGCATCGCACGCTGGAGGGTCCTCTCATGAAGAAGCCAGGCTCACACCTAAACCTCACGATTTCATTTAAAGAGAAGAAGCTTCTGTTCTCAGACATCCTTATTCCATTTTCAACTTCTGGAGGAGTGCATTTATTAGGTATGAGGCACTGAGGCGGAGGGCCGCTCCAGGTGCCGAAATGATTGTCTTTGCTGGTGCAAAAGATTGACTCCTCACCCACGAGGACAAACTTTTCCCTTGTCTTTCGATCAGTGCAGCTATAGGTCACCACTGTTCCATATGGAAAATACTCTCTACTGGAGCTAGAGAAATCTCCATAGGCGATGGCTGGGGGTGGCTCACATTTAATACCTAGAAAAGGAAACAATTTAAATAATAGTGAATGGAAGTAGCTAGTGAGAACATTCCAATGAATTACTAACTAAACTATTATCATTATAACATTCATTATTTGCTTTTAACCTTTTCTAACATGTATATTAGATTTTACAAAGTTGTAATTTGTTGTGCAAAACAAAAGCATAATTCTGCTTTTCCTACTTATATTATTTGCTATAAGTATATCCATTTATTAATACAATTCACATTTTTAAGATTGTATATTTTATTTCATTTTTTCCACTTTTTATTGTTTTATTATAAAACAATGTCCCAATTTCCCCCCCTTGCTCTCGCCTTCCCTGTAAACGTGCATTTATTAATACAATTCTCATTCTTTTAATTGCAAATAGCGCTTGTTTATATGATGACATAGTTTACACAGTTTTCCCCTTACTCTTTTCCAATTGTTTTCTTCTCATTCTTGTTATAAATGAAATCAGCATAGCTTTTTAAAGAAATAAAATCAAAAGATCCTTGCTTTAAATAAAATATATAGGGAAAGAGAAGAAGCACAGACATGTAGCAGTAGGAAATAAAATTTGAATATATTTGCATATACATGAGAACATTTATGAAACTGTAGACTACTGTATTTTAAACATTTTAAAAATCTAAATGAGGCACTGGCTGGCATAGTTCAGTGGGTTGAGCGCCGGGTGCAAACCAAAGTGTCTCAGGTTCTATTCCCAGTCAGGGCACATGCCTAGGTTGCAGGCCACAGCCCCCAGCAACTGCACATTGATGTTTCTCGCTCTCTCTTTCTCCTTCCCTTCCCTCTCTAAAAATAAATAAATAAAATATTTTTAAAAAATCTAATTGATATAAATCAAACATAAATTACTAATATTCATTTACAAAAATAAGTAAAGTTACAAAGGGGGAGCATTGGGAAAGAATGGAAAGGAAAATAAGTTATATTCTACTTGTCTAGTAGTTTTATACAGTGTCATCCAGGCTAAATGGAACTAGGTCACCCAGATTATCTTTGCCTATATGGCTCTAGGTTAGGGTTGAAGCTTGAGAAAGCAGCCTGAAATTTGAGGGCAGGAGTGAAGCAACAGCCAGTCTCCTCTGTAGGTCATCCTTTGCTGGAGGTGACTGGGGGACAGATGCAGAGGAGTTGGGGATTTTGGTTTGTTGTTGCTCCCCCTTTTTTGCATATACCTCTCCCAAAATGCTGGACCTGCTCACATACACTGAATCCTACCCATTGTCAGATGTGTCACTATGAATTTAGAGCAGCAGCAGCAGCCGTTGTGAAGAGCCAGCCAGCCATCCTTACATTTTTCTACACCAGCTCCTCACAGCTCTACCCCAGCAGCCAGGTGTCCTTCCACTCCTGAAAGCTCTGACTCTGAGGCACCTGGTTAATGCTGGTTCTCATGTTTTTAGACTGGGTGCTCACACAATAAGTTCTAATTTGATAATAAATCTCTTATTTCATAATTCTGATAGTTCTGCTTCTGTATTTGGACAAATATTTATCCCAGGGTAACAGAGGAAATTAGGATTGGTTCTTTAATATGATTATATCTAAGAAATTAATGTTAATGCTACTGTGGAAAAGGGAACACCAATAGTTGATGGCATGCATGGACAAATGATCACCTAGTAATCACACGTAGCCATCTATAAGCATGGAAGCAAAGCTTTGAGAGACAAAGTGGTTGCTGTCCTAGAATATTTTAAGGAGGCATATCATATGGTTGGTTGCTTGCTTTTAAGTACACTAGAGAATTTGAGAGAATGAAAATGGTGAGTTCAAAGCTTTAAATTCCTGGTCAATGTCTGGATCTGAAAGTGTACATATTTGTGCTGAAATACACTTGCATCCAATAGTCACAGGGCTAAGATTTCTGAAAAACAAATCCAACACCTAATCCTGTGGCTGACTTCTAATGCAAATTGAATTCACAGCTTCACAGGGTCTCTATGCTAGAGCTGGAGTAATGCTTGGAAAAGATTCTAAAAAGTGAGCTGGAGATCCATGGACAGATTCCAATGAAGCGGAATAACTTGAACCTGGAAACTGTGCTGAGTTGTCCTTTGCTAGGAGAAACAACCCTTCCTCCCCTGTCTGAGAAGGTAAGCCTCCACTTGCCTGAAGAAACTCCAGTGGCCCCTCCTGAGGTAGCTGCCCTCATACAGTTACCAGAGGAAATGTAGGTGGTCCAGTTAGATTTGAAATTTGAAAAAATAATAACAAACTTCTAACTATAAGTATGTCCCAGAATTGCATGGTGAATATCTATACTGCAAAAATATTTGTTTATCTGAAATTCAAATTTAACTGGGTATAGTACATTTTTATTTACTAATAATGGCAACTCAACTGATAACAACTCATGCTATTCCTCGGGACCTACACCTACCACCTCACATCCTTTGACAGGAATGAAGTCCTGGCAGGACTGGAGGTGAGGTTGGGTGGAGAGGGAAAAAAATTATGACTCATGAGAAGTGCAAATGCAGCAAAAGAAATGAGATTCTGATTTCAATGTGTTAGTTTGAGTGTGGATTATACTGAATAAAGTTGAGAGGACAGAATTCTACTAACATACCTCAGAGGAAGAAACCTATTAATATGGAGAGGAGCATGAGAACTACACAATTTAACTAAAGGAAGACAAAAGTAGGTCAGGGGCCTGCCACGTGCTGCCTAACATGGCACTCAGCTGACTGGAGATGCAAGCAGACCACAAGGAGCCTTGGGACAAAGAAAATTCTTGGAAAGGTTGATCAGCACCTCATTATTTACCCATACCATAAAGCAGGGGTGTCAAATTCATTTTCACTGGGGGCCACATCAGCCTCGTGGTTGCCTTAAAAGGGCTGAATATAATTTTAGGAATATATACATATAACTACTCCTTAACTCGGGGCAAGGAGCTCAGCGCTGCCACCTGATAGAAAGAAGGTGCTGGGCTGGATAAAACAAGCTGGAGGGCCAGATTCAGCCCACAGGCCTTGTGTTTGCCACCTGTGCCATAAGGGGAGAACATGAAGCCACAAAATGCACCAAACAGAGGTTAAAGTTAATCCCAACTTACTCTACTGTCTACTTTCCCATACCCCCAATTTTCCATTGAAACTATGAACAGATATAAGCTCTCCCTTTAGAGACGGTTGGGGTCTTTCTCTCTTCCTTCTCTCATGAGGAGAGACCTCTACTCTGCCTATGCATTGGCTTTTCGTGTTTGTTCTCCCTAATCAATAAAACCTGCTTTTCCACTTTAACCTTTTATTTGTCTAACTTGGGTCTTGAATTCTTTCCTGTGCAGGGCCAAGAACTCTCTTGGCTCTGGGCTCAAGTCCCCACTAGGGAATAGGGGACTGAGAATGCAAGAGTGGGTTAATTTTGTAAGACTTGATCACCCATTCCTTAACTAACTCTGTAGGGTTGGTTGGGGAGTGGGTGGAGAAATGGGTTGAAAGAGAGACTGTTCTCCCAAGACTTTGAGAAATACATTCACATAGGAGTTCCAGCATCTTTGAAGAACTCTGAAATAGCTATTCTATGTAGGCCAGCTTGACTGTGGGGACTGTAGCTATTGAACCAGTTTCCTTGAATTCAAGGGGGATGAAAACACTTTAGTGTGGCAGAGGACAAGTGGCAGCACTTCATTGCCAAAGACATTTGAAACAGAAATCATAATGATTTATCTGCAGAGATCTTTGTCGTCAGTTAATTGATCATGGAGTCTCAAAAAGCCAGGGAGATGAATAGTGGACTAAAGTGTTAGTGTTGGTTTGTACAACCAGAAAAAGTCTAGGTCTGGTGACAAGAAGTCTGACTTGAAACACTGAAAAAGAGAATGTGGTTATTCATCAGCCAGTTCCCAGATTTGAAACCCATTTACAGGCACAGAGGAGTTTGAAGAAAGGGGAGACTGGACCTTCTTGAGGAAGCACCCAGCTACACATCCAAAAAGTATATGTAACTTTTCCCTCTCACCTTCACCAAGGAGGCTTAAAACCATTTACTGGGATTTAGCCCCAGCTGGTGTGGCTCAGTGGACTGAGCACCAGTCTGCAAACCAAGGGGTCACCGGTTTGATTCCCAGTCGGGGCACATGCCTGGGTTGCGAGCCAGGTCCCCAGTAGGGGGAGCACTCGAGGCAACCACACATTGATACTTCTCTCCCTCTCTTTCTCCCTCCTTTCCCCTCTGTCTAAAAATAAAATAAATAAAATCTTAAAAAAAAACATGTACTGGGATTTGGATATTAAAAAGGCTTGCAAAATTAGAGATAGAGATGAAAATAGAGAAATAATATGGATGTATTATTTTTAATAAAATGAGATCTTGTCATAAAACTGTTTTGTCATTTGTTTTGTTCACATAAAATATATGTAATAAACATCTTTACATGTCATTAAGTGCTTCTCCATATTTTTATTTTATGACTGAAGAAAGCTCTGATGTATAAATATCTTTCTCCTAACTATGTATGGTATTCATGTTTCCTAGGATATCCTATAGAGTCCTTTTTACCATGTGTCTTTCCTTCCAGTATTTATTTCTAAAGCATATTTTGAAATACATAGTGCATTTAGGTTAATGTAACAATTTTGCTATTATAAAGAAAGCAACAATGAAAAGTTTACAGTGAACTCCTTACAAAAATCTGTGTTTATTTCCTAAGTATGAATTCTAAGAATTGGGCCAAAATTCACATATATGCCCACTTTTCCGGCTTATAGTACACAGTGTCTTTCAAAAGGGTTTGCAGAACCCTCAGGACCTGAGAGTGTTGGTTCCTCCACAACTTCACTAACCTTGGAGAGCATCACTTTATAAATCTTTCTTTCTTTACAAAGCAGAATGATTATTACACTGGGGATGGCAGAGCCAACAGAATTCCAAATTATTGAAGTAAAAATAAATTTTAGAGGTTTTATATATTTATAAGTCCCAGATTTAGGGAAAAGGCACATCCCAAAATAAGGGAGAACTCAATGAAACAGTTTCCAGGAAACCCACAAGTACTTTGAGGATACTAGAGCCATCTTCCACTGTCTGAAGAACAAAATGCACAAAAGGAATTCAATTCAGATTTTTATAAGCCCAGGTGAACATTTAGAGTCTACTGGTAAAAATAATAACAAAGAATATTACAACTTACTCTCACAAACAGGTACTTTGTTATCCCAGGTGACAATATTGCCTACAATGATGCATGCAGTAGAGGATTCACCAATGAGTCGGTATCTAGAGGCAAAGAACAATGAATGTTATCTTTTAAGTTCACAGGTAATGTCCCTGCCGAGATTGTTACTTACAAAAAAATCACAATCTTGAAGAATTCAGAAGAAGAATTTCCATTTATCAAAGAGCTATCAATTTCTTAATTTTTATGTCTGTACTTGGATTTTAAAATTTTCTTTTTCATACCTTGTAAACTGGATGGGATTTCTCTTCTTTATTACCTTAAGACACATTTTTATATCAATCTAAGTTCAGTAATATTCATCAAAGTAGAACCAAAGGAAATCCAAGCAGAATAGAAACAGCTTAACATTTTAAATTTTACATTTTATATTTTAAATATATTTTATATTTTAAATGTTATATTTTACATCTTAAATGTTAAAGGCAGAGATTCTCCATTAGTATCCCCCAAAGTTTGCCATATACCTTGAAAAAAAAGGACATTTCTATTTGCTTCAACAAAGACTCTGTATAGTGATGGAATATTGGGCTGAACAATTCACAAGAATTGGTATAGAGTAGGGCTAAACTTGATACTACTACAAATTGAGACAAATAATGTCAAATAACAGTCAAGTGTTATTTGGTATAGCTAGAACATTGTCTTATAAATTTACATAAAAATAATGGCAGCACAAACTTTATTCAAACAGCAAAACAAACCAACTGGGGCTCAAATGGAAAATGTGAAAGCAATGGATGTCATTTAGGTAGTGGGTAGATTCTGGCCTCCTTTTGTGGGATTTAGTTCCAATGACAACTTAGTCTTTTGGAGCTTTGCAATGCCGTTCTGGTCTGTTTCATTCTTCTGGCTCCATATAAGTCCTCAGGGGACCCCTGCTGAAGCTGCCTGTGAGAGTGAAGGTGCTTTGCTAGGCTGCCTGGGGTCACTAGATGAGGAATGAAGAGTGATCAGCCATTGGGATAGAGAATAAACTCTCTGGTCTGTCCTCTGGCTTCCTGGTGAGGGTGAGCTTCCCACTTCACTTGTGTTGGTGGCAACAGGAGAAGGAAGCATCTATCTAGTCTGTCTACAGTGGCTGTGTGGAGGTCCTGGAGACATGGGTCTGGGAGGTTTCTCCCACTGGTTGGAAGATCAAGAGACTCCAGGCTTGATTTACCTTCTGGTCCTAAATTGGCTCACTGTCATGGGTGTAGGGTTAAAAGACACTGACCCTGGGATGTTCTCTGCTACCGTGAGGAGGACACTGGGCTTTGTGGCATTTCTGCCATAAGGCAAGAGACCCTCTTCTTGTTGTCTTGAACTTTGGGTCCTGTTATTTGGGCTCTGCTAACATTGCTGCTGCCAATAGAATAGGACTCACTGCTTTGGGCTGGTGTGGAGCATGAGATGTGTCAGCCCACCCAGAATCTACAATTGAGAGAGCTGTTGGTGGAGTAGGGGTGGAGTGCAGCCTGCTGCTTCTCATGGGTGTGGGGGATGGAAGGGATGGACTTCCTTCATCCCTGATTTCTGCTTATGCTTCTAATATGTGCAGAGTAGAGTGCAATTGTCACTAAGAATGGGTCTCCCCACTATGTCTCTGCTTGGTTTCTTCTTTTCTAGTCCTGTGACCAGAGAGCAGGTCCTCTCCCCTTCTCTCCCCTTCCCTTTCATCCCCTTCCCTTCTTTCCTGCTCTCCCCTTCTTTTTCTGTCTGTTACTGTTCCCAGCTTCCAGTCCTCTCCAGAAAAGCACTCAGCATTGGAGATAAAAGAAGACCCAAAGAACTCACAATGGTGTCATTCTTTAAGTTCTATGGACCTCAGGAATTCACCTTTCTCCAAATTTTGTGTTCATTTAATAGTTGTATTTGAACTATTTCTAGGGTATTTAGTTATGTATACAGAGAGAAGCAGAGAAAAGTGAATCTTCCCATGTTTTCCTGAAACTGTAAGTTTTAGTATTAACTCTTTAAAAGCTGATTCAAGAAGTTCATACATATTCATTGTGAAAAAAATTAGAAAGGTACAGAAAATTCCACTAATGGGGAAAAAATATGCTAGTGCTATATTATAGAAATTAGCATAGTTAATGGTTTAGAGCAGTGCTATGTAAGAGTTTTATTTGCATGGAAATCACCTGGGGATTATGTGAAAATTGGTTCTGATTCAATGAATATGAAGATTCTGCATTTCTAACAAGCTCCCAGAATATGCTGACCTTGATGGTCTGTGAACCATTTTGGGGTGGTAAGGACTTAGAGTAAATTCTTTCATCCTTTTCTATAAAGATATATACACATAACATGGATATCAACTGTCACACATGTGTGGCTAAACTGGACCAGGTCCTGTACTTCACAGCTGTGTGAGTCCTCCATCTTCATGATTCCCGTGCATCCCAGGCTTCCTTCCCCACACTTTTCTCTGCTTCCACCTCTGGAGTCTGTCTCTGTTGTCTTAGGGTTGTGTACTCCAGTTCACCCAGCAGCAAAGCCCTGTCTTTCTATATGTGTCTCCTCTAAATACACTTACTCAAAGCATTTTTTGTGTGTGTAATTTGGGGGCAGTTTTAGGGAGGTATTACACTGGGGAGTGGTTGCCATTAGGCATTTTATTTTCTTGCTTACTTGCCTTTCTATTCCTGCTGTTCTGAAGTAACAAGCAACTTCTCTTTCCCTTGCACAGAATAGCTTTTTGGAGATTCAACTTTGTAAGATACAATGTCTATCCTAAGAGGAATTCTGGTTTATAACTTTTTCTATCTTCTTATGTATGTATGCATCTTAATTATATATGTGTGTGTATATATATATATATATATATATATATAAAACTAATAATAATTTCAGTTGGAAATTATGTTTGACAGTTTTTATTACACTGAAGTAACATCCATTAAAATACATATGTTATTTATTTAGTGTTGTGTGTTAGGAAAAAATGCTTCTGTTCCATTCATGATATTTACTCCTTTCATGCTTTCAGATCAAATAAAAAATATTGAAGCCGTTCATCTTTCTCTTTGTATTTCAACTCCATATCTGGTTTATTCAGAAATTTTGTCATCTCTACTTTTGTAATATACCTTGAATACAATCACTTCTCACCTCTCTAACTGTAGTTCAATGTTTCTCAACCTATACATAGTTAATATCTTGGGCCATTAATTTTTTGATGTGAGGAGAACATCCTCACACCAAAACATGTTCATTATAACAAGTTTCACAGTGCCCCTGGCCTCTATCCACTAGATGCCAGTAGCACCCTCTCAGCTGGGACACCAAAAGCATTTGCAGAGATTGCCAAATTGAGAACCACTGTTCCAGTCCTGCCCAGAGGCATCTTTCACCTGAACAAAAGAATAGCTCTTAACTGACTTTGCTGTTTCATTTGCCCTCCAAGAACAGATCCTTCTTGTGACAGCTAAAGTGAAACTTTAAAATCCCAAATCAGATCATGTTGCTCCTTTGCTTAAAACCCTCCAATGACCTCCTGACAAATCTACACTGAGTCCAAAGTCCTTGCTGTGGTCTGCATAACCATCCTATATCTAGCTCTGGCTATTCTTCAGACCACTTTTCCTATCACTGTTTTTTTTCACTCACTCTGCTATAGTCATACTGGTTTCCTTACAAAACCTTCACAACTCCAATAACATTTCTCCAACAAAGCTTTGTCATTGTCAGGATGCAACTTCCCCATATGACTCAGTCTCTCACTCTGTTCAAGTCTCCAAATTTTACTAACTCAGCATTGCCTTCTCTTACTTCTCTATGTCCCCTGTGGCTCTCTATTCCCTCAGCCTATATATTTTCCTTCATAGCAGTTATCACTCTCATATTACAATATTATTTATTTATTTGTTTATTTAGTGTCTGTTACCCCCACTATAATTTAGCTTCTTTAGAGATGAATTTTCTTTGCTTAACTGGTTTATTCCCAATCCCCTCAACAGTTCTGAGCATAGAGTAAGTACTAAATAAATATTTATCACACAAATGCATAAATAAATATAGTTTCATAGAGTAAGTGTACTATTGAATACATTTGCAAATTCAAATTTGAAAGTTTTGTTCAGTCTATGTAATGATGGTGGGGCATAAATATATTGTGATTAAATTTAGAATTTTAAAGTATGCAAGTGAAGAGTTCCAGGATAACTTTTAAACTAATATAAACATAGGCTATAATTTTTAAACTAGTAAAGGAAATAATAGGATAAGAATATGAAACCTAATCAACACAAAATATGTTCAAAAAGTATGGAAAATATTGAGTAAAAGTAGTCCAATATAAAACACAAAATAATATGGTAGGCATTAATGTTAAGTATTAGTAATTACATTAAAAGTAAATAAAATCTTTAGTTATAAGGCAGAGATGATCAGATTGGGTTAAAAAGTTTAAATAAGTTGCTTACTATAGACTCACCTAAAACAATGACACAGCAAGGTAAAAAGTAAAAAAAATATTTAGAAAGTATGAAAATAAGCCTTGGCTGGTGTAGCTCAGTAGATTGATTGCGGGCTGCGAACCAAAGTGTCGCAGGTTCGATTCCCAGTCAGGGTACATGCCTGGGTTGCAGGCCATGACCCCCAGCAACCACACATTGATGTTTCTCTCTCTCTCTCTTTCTCCCTCCCTTCTTTCTCTAAAAATAAATAAATAAATAAAATCTTAAAAAAAGAAATTCTGTTTTTAAAAAAGTATAAAAATAATAAAAGAAATACTATGGTTATATTAAGAGTACTAATAATTTAAGTCTACACACAAATTTGATACATGCAAAAAGCATTGCTTGAGAGAAATAGCAACCCTACATAATGTTAAACTTTTAATACTCTTGGAACATAAGCAAGTGTTAAATGTGTATGCACCTATGTACATAGCCTCAAGAATATAGTATAAACAAAAAAAGAGATATAAATTCAATATAGAAATTGAAAAAATTTCTAAGTAAGGGCTTATGTCCAAGATTGAGGCATAGGTAGATACACTGTGCCTCCTCACACCACCAAAAGAAAGACAACAGCAAATATAAAAACAAAAAACAAC